GCTTTACAAATGTACTGTACTATACATTCTTACAGTGGATATGCCTTGTATTTCTTTATCTTACCTAAACTATTTTCAAAATATGCAACAAATTAATAAATCTTGACTTAAAGCTTTCGTGACTGCAGGAATTCATATTCTTTGGGTCTTTCCGTAAAGTCACGTAGATAGATTCAAAGTTAATACAATTAGTAAAAGTTTCTCAAAAATCAATGTAGAAGTTTCTCATTGGTACTTTTAAGCAAAATCCAGTTAGTAACCAAAAAGAACTTCGCATTAGCAAAAAGGCCTGACCTTTAAAAGGTCAACATTCCACACCATCTAACCGCAGAGTCAAATGTGGCCTTCATATGACACGAGCCCACAAAAACCACAACATAACGATATGGATGCAAATTGCACAGATAAAGCAGAATGTGAGACGTTGCAATACTTAAACACTGCATAAGTTGTGGCTAATTCATCAATGGGTAATACACTGTGAGGTGGCATTGGGGTGTACTGAGGACAACTAAGCATTCTTCACAACTTACATGCGACATTGAACTCGGCTCACACCACTTTTCTAAAGTTGAGTCAGCGTGTAAGCCGGCGACGTCCAGATAGAGAGGAGAAAGATTCAGTGTTGGCCTGGTGAGTTTGGTGTGCAAGCGGGGTGTTGCATGGTTGTGCAACTGGTGGCAACTGGTGGCTCACAACTGGTGGCTGACTAGATTAGTACAAGAATTCTGTAGTGGGTGACTTGTTGCTGACCGGATTGGTGGGTTTGAACTTAAACAATTCTGGTTATATTGACCAAAAAAGAAGTCTGCCAGAGTTTTCAAAGAATTTGAAAATAATTTGAAAACTGGTTGAAGGTTTTATGCAATCCGAATCATGTGATGGTGAATGTTCCTTTTTGTCCCCGAGGATTGTTTGACCTTCACCACGGTGGTCAGTGCGAGTTGGTGAATGTAGGACCCAGGTTTGATTTATATATTGTTTGCCAGTTGTGGCCTATTAATGGGGCAAAGTTTTTGGCTATTTCGTCAAGATGTGAGTCTGCTACTATGTTCTATTAAGTAATTGCATGTGATGCATTGTACAGTATTGTATATATGCGAGTGTGTGGTGAGATACTTAAAATTATACAGCATATGAAGCTCATTGCGGGACCCATGGGTCCCGAATAAACAGAATTAAATATCATAATTAATTTATGTATTTTTGGCGATTCCGTGACATCGCGACCCACTTGGCGCGGATCATTCTGTTGTCATGTCGTTTCCAAAATTACCCTAGTCATAAACAAAACTTTGAAACTTTGATTATCTCATCGTGTAGAGCTTGTCGAGAGGAATAGATTGCCGTATCGTTCGCCTTAAACAGACATAAAATGATGTCGCATCGCAGTTTATGCGAGAGCCGGGGTCCCACCGTAAGGTTCATATGCCTCTTTTAAAATTTCCACCGTTGACATGAGATTATGCCCCTCAAGGGGGATTTTTGTGTGAGTAAGTGAATACAATTTAACAAATTAAATATCAACATCTACCAGCAAAACGTGTTAATTCTCACCGACACCCACGCTGGACTGCCACAGTAGTAGCTTGGCCCATGCGATAATTGTTCATGTTGGCCATCACAGCATCACGCTTTTACCCAATTACAGTGCTGTATGTTTAATGCGCCACAATTTACTGTTGTATGTTGATGCATTCATCATAATTGTTATGCATATTGAGCCAAACAGATTTTATGAAATATTTGAGCCGATCTGAAATTCTATAAAGGCCTGGGTGCCGTCGTTTGTGCACTGCACTCTGAACCTGGTGTCCAAAGTTAAATTCCCAGACATGGCTAACATCATTGGCAAGTGATACTTTCACTAACCCACACTGACCAGCATGGTGAAGTATGGTCAAACAACCCTGATGATTAAAATGGCACGATGAGCTGGCCTTCATCTGGCAGTGATTTGACAACAGGATTTAAGTTATCGTAATTTAAAATGATGATCATAGATAATGACTCTAAACATGCATGTTTAAGTACTCTGAGGCCATAACTACGAATCCTAAATATAGAAAGAAATCCATATAGTTTCAATGATAACACTCAAGTTGGCTGTTATTTAATCAGGCAAGTCCATTGCAATGTATTATCTATTAGGCAAAGGGTGCTTGAGAGATAATACATGAGAGTATAGTAGTAATTAATTGTATTACTTAGCCTGTGATACTGAAACGAGGTCTTTCCTATAGAATTTACTCTCCATAGCAGCATATAGCAGGTGATGTGGTCTGATAACCTGGAAAAATGTTACAGAGTAACGGTGGGAATATAACCATTGCGCCGCGTAGGCTGCTTCAGTGCTATTCACAATGACCACCAGGCTGCCCGGCCACTCAATGTGTATACTGTAGTAAAGACATGGACACTACAATCAAAGTCAACACTAACTAACTTTAAAAGTGAATTAAGAACATTGGGTGACACGGAATGGTAGAGTGTTACCAGGTTTCAAGTTAATTTTTATATTGGAATAATTGTCACATATAAACAATTTGGAAAATCGATAGGTTGTTTACAAATGTATGCATCCTTTAATAAACTTGTCCAACTCATGCAGATAATAGAAACAAATATTACATCCTTTATGATTTTTTGAGATAAATACATTTTGGACAACGTCAGTGCATTTTTATGCAAATTACGCCTCAATGAATTTCAATTACAAACACTTCGGCAGTAATTAGGAACGTACTATACAACCAATCCATGCATAACCATCACATTGCACTGTTTGGTGGCTGATAAAGATTTTAAAAAATCCGTACTGGAAACAAGTAAACTCCGCGACTTATTTGAATAGATGTTTATTTATGTTAATTCAAATCAGTTACGTGTTTTTTTTACTATAGATTGGATCACATGATTATTGTGTTATCCTCATGGTTTGCAGTCTTCTCTATAAAGCACATGCACTGTCACTTACTGCTTCTGTTATGCAAATGTTGCGTGATACGGTCCACCTTTTAAAAGGTGAATGTATGTATGTGCATGTATGTTGAACTTCTTTCGTACCGTATGTAGCCAACCTTGCTAATTGGAGGTGCAGGCCAGAGACCACTTGCTCACACCACTGCTTGCAAAAGGGCCTCCACCAGACCGAGCTCTCGAGAGTCACTCTGGAGGCTTTGTAGCCCTAGTCTTCCACACTGGCCTGACGTTTTGGAAGAGGTGAAAGTACCCACACGACCTGCTGCTGGTCGACTATCTGTTGGTGTACCATTTACTGTACTGTGTACTGCTGAGTGGACAGAGACGTGGGGTTCGGGGGGGGGGGTTAAGGAACCTGTCCCATTGTTTCAACTGCCCCGCTGGGAGATCGAACCAGCGACGTCTGGATTGCAAGTCCAGTGTGATAACCATTGCAAAAATGCATTCTTGCCTCGTAATGTTTAAATGGCAACACTGGACAAATGCTGGACGGCTTAATGTTGCATCTGCAAGTTCTAATATTGCATATGGGCAAAGTCCAACTGGTGCTGCAATGTTTCATTGTGAGAGTTGAGAAAGTTAATTGTTAACAGCTGGCAGTCTACACTCAGCTGTTCTCTGGTATCACTTGTGATAGTTATACAAAAATTGTCCCACAGTGATGTTGTGTTTTGCAACGTGTATTTTATTCAAAGTTGTACTGTTGGCATGGAAATGATTTATATGGTGTTAACAGTAACCTTGGGATATGGTGGTGGCAGTACTTCGTGCACTCTGTGGATCCAGAAACTGACGTTCTATTCCCAGATATGGCTAACATCAATCGCAAGCAATTTCTGAACTAGTTCTGGGCATTCCCTTTCACTGCTACCCACACAGACCAGCATGGAAAAGCACGGTCAAACAACCCCCATGACTGACTTTGGATTCCTCCAGTGTAAATACATATTCTAATTCCGAATCTGAATTTGCAAGAACTTAAATGGTGATTAAATGATAAACAATGGCCTTGTATTTTTTTGTCCTGAATGGATTTTTCTACATTGAAAGTGGTATGCAGGGTATTTTTTGTGGTGTTTTCCTCAGTCCAACTGGTTTAAGCTTGAATGCAGTCTAACTTTAATGCGTGACAAATGACACGTTCTATTTTCCATTTTGAACCAATCATCCAATAACAAAAAAAATATTTTACTAATTTGTATTAAAAAAATCAAATTATAGGTTTAAATAACATTAGAGTCACATTACCTTAAAGCAGCCAATACATAAGCAGGGAATATGTATGTTCATTTAACACTGCCTTGCTGTTTATACTCAAGCTCTGTATGTATAAAAAGATTTAGATGCTTGCTCTGGTGACTCAAAATCCATTAAAACATGACGCATCAATAAGTGTTCTGCGTTGTGTGGAACTATTAGCAGTACATTTTAGTGCGGTTCATAGACATGTCGATGTGCCGGTGTGGTTGTGCTACTTACGATGCCATGTTGAATGTCTGCAAGGGTTGACATCAAGTTGGTGCATCGTGTTTTAGTATGTTGGTGTAACAGCGTGGGTGTGGTGCTTTGTAACTGAAGGCGGTGCGTTGACCGTATTTCATGGCAGAGCACTGGCAGTGGTGGTGGTGCTAGGTCATTAAGGGGCCCAAAGCATAAATTACTTGTTTGCATCACGTGACAATACACATTATAGAGTGGACAAGCTGCGTAACTTAACCATTGTAAATCAAGGTTGTGTGAAATCATTACATTAATGAAATACTTCTAATTAGTTTAACAAGCGTGATTATATTTGAGCTTTTTTATTTTAATAAGCATCTCTTGTTTGAGCTGATATTTGGTGCCCACCATTTTTTTTGCATGAATCCATGGGCCCCCTTTGAGCTGCTTGGCACCTTAAACGTTTGCTTAGTTGGTGCCTAGTGCCAGCTTAATAATAGCACCAGCACTGCGCGCTGGTGCTATTATTAAGGAGACATGCTGGTGCCAATGGCGGTGCGGTGTGTGGTCTCTGCTAGGTTCGTGGACGGGCAGTTGAACATGTGCTACAATGCACTGGACCGGCACGTGGAGGCTGGCCGTGGAGACCAAGCTGCCATCATCCACGACAGCCCCGTCACAGGCATCATTCAAACTATCACATACCGCCAGGCTCTGAGCGAGGTAAACGGGGCCCCTTCACCTTGAACACAAAAACATTAAAGTCAACTATTTAGTCACTGCTCTCAAAAACCGTGTTTCCCAACTGCATTCCGCACACAGTACGCAGTGTGTTAATGTCTTAATTTACACATGAATATAAATATATTGGTCATAAAAAAAGGACCGTGGTGAGGTTGTTATCGACTGGAGTTGAGAAACTTTGCTCGAAAGCCAACCTCGCCTAACATCGTCAGGCACAGCACATTGTGGGCTCTTGCACAATGAAATGTATAAAATCTAAATTTAAATGATCAGATTTAAAGCGATGGGGCCAATTCATATGTTGGTAGAGGGCCTTTTAATTCCAGCAAAGCGCTTTGGCATTTTTCCATTGGTTCCACAAAGACGGCGCTATCCGCCAACGTCGAGCGGTTTTACCCATGGACCGGATTAACTTAAAGATTTGATCTATCAGCTTTGAGACCATACGTATCATTAGATATTAGACTCCCATAAAAAAGTAGCACTGGCATCACAATACACCATTTTACAAATCACCAGCTGAGCAGAAGGCAGTGAAACGTCAGCTTTGCAAGCTGTATATCTGACCCAGGTACATAACGCCGGGTCACAACGTGGTGATAAATGATGTGCAAACCTGCTTGACCACATGTAATTCGTTGTTGTGTGTGCACGTTCATGCTTGTCCATCTATACGTGTGCATGCATGTGTAAGCATGGCTGTGCAATCACACCTAAGAATGCGTGCTCTTGTGTTGTCCTTGTTATGGCTCTGTGTGTGCAATGTTGTGTGAAAGGCTCTACTTAGACAAACTGATTACTATAATGACTGAGTGAATAATGTGGGTTGCATGGTTGCATGTGCTTGTAAAATTTGTTCATATATATTTTACAAACAAATGCCTCCAATCATTATACCTAACTATATATATCTTATTTTAAAAAATCCTCGTGATGGTAAATTACATATATTCACTTCAGTGCTAAATGAATAATAACGACTTCTATTGGTGGCGGTGTTTGAGTACAAACAGAAATCACATTTTTACCACCACCATGAATGCTACCTGGCTCTTTTCAAAAGCAGTGTGGCAGTCTTTGATCTGTATAGATGTCATTGTCCACAGTGCGAGCCTACTATGCTATATATCAATGCCAAACTGTCTGGTGAGGCTAGCACGGGGCAGCGCCATTCTCTGTTTGGTGACCCCGTGTCTGAGCGTACGCATGTGTGTGTGTGTGTGTGCGCACGCGCCTGTGTGCAGGTGTCTCGTCTTGCCAGCGTCCTGGTGAAGAACGGAGTGCAGAAGGGCGATCGTGTGGTCATCTACATGCCCATGATCCCCCAGGCCATGTTTGCCATGCTGGCCTGTGCTCGCATTGGAGCCATCCACAGCCTCATATTTGGAGGCTTTGCTTCCAAGGAGCTGGCCGTCCGCATCAACCACGCCAAGGTGTCGGGGCGTCATAAACGTTCTCTTAGATGTGGGCTGTCTCGTTATTCATATAAATCCATTTCTCTACCGATTACGGTTATATTGTGTCATCAGATAGGACAAAAATATTTGGAAAATTAGTCTAACTTTTGTTCTCACGCTTGCCGCTGGACGGGAGGTGATGGGCAGGGTTTTCTTACTGATGTCATCGGCATTGCAAGCCGCATCACGCTGGGCGTGGATCTTTGGGGGTTTCCTGCCTTCGGTAGGCAGGTTGTTGGGGCATCTGCTATTTTTAATCTATGGCAAAAATGGTTGAATATAATTGTGAAGCACCTTAATTGGCTAAACATTCATGCATCAAATTCCTCATTAACCGACTTGTTGGTATATAATTGCAACATCACCAGGGCAGTACAAATCTTATTTGCCTGGTTCCAGGCTCATTCTCTCAATAGGTTCACCACCTCTGACCTCCCACAAAGTAATATACGTTTTACCAGCCACAAATGATGATGGGATGAATAGGCTTACGATAGATATGACCTACTTATTCATCATTATCTGTATGTCTTATTTACTGGAGATTTGCAATTCCCACATTAAATACAGTAGTTACCATAGAGTGTACAGTAATTGTAAATAGTCAAGGTCAAGTAATCCACCTTTTTCAACAAATATCGATTTCCCTGTCTGATTGCCATTCATTATATATATCCACTTAAGTACTCAAAATGTTGGTTATTATGTCTCCATTGATGTCTTTCATTGTTCCTTGCAAAGATATGGATGATAGATCTATTTCTGGTTATATCTTTTTTTCCATAAATCTTTGACACTTTGTAGCTTTATGCCTTTAGTATTGTATTTCAGCATTTAACATTCAGATTACAGATTAGTATCACTTAATCCGACATTAAGGCTGTAGTTTAGCACATTAGTCATCAACCTTATCATTTGGCATTCGAGCCTTTAACATTAAGTCAATAAATTTTGATTTAAAGCTTTGGTGACTGCAGGGATTCATATTATTGATTCTTTCGGTAAAGTCACGTAGAAGGGAAACAATAAAATAATACAAATATAAAACAATAAAATTCTCACGACGTTTCGACTGCAACACAAGCAATCATCAGGTGTGAAAACCACAGCAAGAAAATTTGAAAAAAGTGGCGTAATTTATCGCAGTAAAAGTTCTATATCCGATGGTCTGAAATCCGTTTTAGCTAAAGGGCTAAACTTTGCAGTCACACCTAAACACATACCAGTTAATGATATCATTGCCCATGTCGACGTGGCTCTCAAGGGCATGGGTCACATCGCTGCAGATGTAGCAAGATCTGAAATCGCTGCAACCCTCAAAAACGCTAAGATGCCAGCTAGCAACCTCAGCAAAGATGAGCGTTTTGATTTATATAAATTAAAAAAGAGGGATGACATTGTCATCCTCTTAGCCGACAAGGGCAATGCCACTGTCATCATAAATAAAATAGAATATAACAACAAAATTCAAGAATTACTCAACGATGGCAGCTATACAAAAATAAAAAGAGATCCCACCAACAGCCTCGTCATACAAACCAACAAAATCATTTCTGATTCAACCGCATTAATTGATCAAACCAAACAGTTCTCGTTGAAACCTTCTGCTGCCAGGCCACCAAGATCATACAACTTACCAAAAATACATAAAGTAGATACACCCCTTCGTCCCATCATCTCTAATTTCAACTCCCCCACCTACAAACTAGCTCGTTTTCTGTCTGAAATCCTGCGGCCTTTCACTGGAAAAACCACCTCTGCGGTACAAAATTCTACTCACCTGGTATCGACAATCACGGGTATTTCCCTGTCCCCAGACGACCTGCTTGTCAGTTTTGATGTAGTTCCCTTATTCACCAAATTTCCTGTACCTGACACCATGGCAATCATTGAAGACTTGGTTCATCAAGGACTAAACACTGAGGTACCCCCCTGGTGAGACACTGCTTTTCCAATACATGCTTCACTTGGAATGGAACTTTCTACAAACAAACTGAGGGCACCCCAATGGGCTTCCCCCTATCTCCGGTTGTAGCCAACATTTTCATGGAGAAATTTGAGACGCCATCCAGACTGCCACTCTGCGCCTAACCTTATGGAAGAGGTACGTGGCCACATGGCCGGCCTGCTCTAGACCAATTCCTCGACCACATCAATACCATACACCCAGCCATCGGATTTACCATGGAAGTCAAAAGAGATGGCAAGCTACCTTTTTTGGATGTCCTAATAAAAAAGAGACCTGATGGTTCAATGAGCCACTCTGTCTACAGGAAAGCTACCCATATGGATGCTTACCTGAAACCGGATTCCCACCACCATCCATCCCAGAAGGATTCCCTCATCAAGACTCTGCACCATAGAGCCCAATGCATATCCGACCAGGAACACATAGGCAGTGAACTCAAGCACGTACACCAAGCTCTTAAGGCTAATGGTTACTCCGACTACACAGTCCGCAAAACTATCACTCCAACCATGAAGAAGGACCCTCTTGAGGAGCCTTTCAAAACCATCACTTTACCCTACATTGCGGGGATCACAAAAAAGATCTCCAAAATCTTGAATAAACACAAGATCCAGGTCCGATTCATCAAATTGCATAAAATCCGTGATCTGGTTCCATCTGTAAAAGATGTGATTCCAGACATACTTTACCCTGGCGTCTACAAACTAAGTTGCCTCTGTGGTAGTAGTTACATTGGAGAAACCAAACGACATGTCTCGGATCGCATTCGTGAACACAAAGCAGACCTAAAACACGGTAGGACCAACACCTCGACCGTGGCAGATCACTGTTATAATTCAGTAGCTCACATGACATTGACTTCTCCAAGACAGAGGTTCTTTGCAAGCCATCTGACTACCATGAGAGATTCGTTCATGAGGCTATCCACATATACAAACACAGAGACAATTTGAACCGAGAAGATGGATTCTGGCTTAGCAATCATTGGAAGGATTTGATAAACCATTTCGGGTCTTAATTGATTGTTCACGCTTACGGTGGCTTTCAGACCGCATCCATTATTTTCGTCTTCCCTTCAACGTGACTTTACCGAAAGAGCTAAGAATATGAATTACTGCAGTCACGAAAGCTTTAAATCAAAATAGATGGACTCGTCCATCTGAATAACTGCCAAATCGCTCTCCGTGGTGCTAACGTAAAAAAAACGCCACTTTTTTCTAAATTTCTTGCTGTGGTTTTCACACCTGATGATGATTGCTTGTGTTGCAGTCGAAACGTCGTGATAATTTTATTGTTATATATATTTTAATTATTTTATTGTTTCCCTTCTACGTGACTTTACCGAAAGAACCACGAATATTAAATCAATAGTTTAGGATTACATCAGCATGATATCCTTTAATGTACTTTTAGCATTGCGGTATTGCCATTAATATGCCTCAATTATAGCATTATACCTTTCAATATTAAGCCTCTGGTTTAGCATTCCAGGCATCCATGTTTAACCCATGGTTTAATGTGGCTGTGTTTGTACAGCAGTGGCACAATGGTTAGCATGCTGAACTACAAACCTGGCAAACCAAGTTCGATTTCCTCTCACGGCCAACACCAGTGACGATTATCTGAACCGGTTCTGAGCCTCTCCTAGGTCGACTCAGCCTCAAATGAGTACTTGGTTCAGTGTGTGGTAAACATCGCTACTAGGGAGACGAAGGCGGTGGGTGTGGTGCTGGCCACCCACCCCTCGTGTGTCGTGCCAGCCTTCGTAGGTGCTCGCTAACAGAACTTGCCCAAAAAGCTTGGTATGGGTACATGGGGGATCTTTGTCTTTTGTCTACAGCCCAAGATGGTGCTGAGTGCTTCGTTTGGGATTGAACCAGGCCGTCAGGTTGCATACAAGCCGCTCTTGGAGGCAGCTCTTGACATCGCCACGCACAAGCCTGAAAAAGTCCTCGTCTACAGCCGGCCTGGCATGGTATCGTGAACACGTACCCTCCTAGCCACACCGTGCACGGCAGCTGCTTGCCGTGTCATACTGTTGAGCAGGAACATTGGACTAGCAGCTCATTCCCATGCTTCAAGTCCTCGTGCTCCCGAACACCACGCCACGTCTCGCAACGACATTTTGTACCACCCCTGTACCGTGTTGCACCGCATTACTATGCCATGCTGCTAACCACCAGCGAAGCACGGTTGCAATAAAATACAGTGAGCAAATATTCGTGACGTTTTGGAAATGTCAAAAAAAAAAGCCAAAAACGATTATTCTGCCTGTCAAGATGTTCCTGACATTTGTTTTTCCTTGACTGTGCGATGACAGGCGCGGGCATCGCTGATTCCGGGCCGGGACATGTGCTGGCAGGAGGAGGTCTCAGCTGCCAAGCCCCACGACTGCGTGCCCGTCTCGTCGGACCACCCCCTCTACATCCTCTACACGTCCGGCACAACTGGAGCCCCCAAGGTGCGATCACGACAGTGCCTCCCGCTATAAAAGAACGATGGGTGGATCACGATTGGCCTCAGACAATGTCCTGCCTCCAACATACCTGCACGCAACTGCTTCATACCGCAGATGAGGAGCCTGCCATGGGGCACACATAGCACGTGCGATGTAATTATAATGTAGGCCATGGTAACGGACTTACAAATAGACTTTTACACATGTAAATTACCACTTTATTTGACAGCCAAAATATGGTTAATTGCTTACCTAAGTATACTCATTAAATAATTGCTTATTAATGTCTGATTTCTGTGTTATGAAGTAATTACGCTTACATAAAACTTAAACATAGGGACATAATGATGAACACATGGATCAGAGAACGTACAAAATTCAGGGACATCACATTCACTGTTAATAAAAAATAACTGGGCTTGGGCAGGACACATCTCTCGAATGGATGATGGCCACTGGTCAAAGTTAATGAGGGAGTGGAAGATGAAGGAGGGAACATGCCTGACAAGACATCCACAACTGAGATGGAGCAATAAAATCAGTTAATGCGCAGGAGCTAGATGGATTGTCTCTAGTTTGTTGTCCTTCCTCCGCACCTCCAATTAGCACGGTTGGCTACGTACGATGCGAAAGAAGTTCAACATACATACGTATGCAAGACCATGAGAGATGATAATGAATTTGGCATGCTTTCGTGCAGAAGGCGATAAATCACTTCTGTAGATGATGATGAGACCTTAACTTATATGAGAGGACACACAGACATTAAGATAAACTGTCCATTAGATTCCATTGTTAATGAGGTAATGATATCACCCAGAACGTAATATTACTTTTGTTTTCAGATTCCGTTCTTCGCAACGTAATAATGGTGCGGTTAAGTTTGTAGGAATATTTTGTGTTCTTAGAAACTTTCTTTTTACTATATTACATGCCTAAATCTGTGACCAATTCCTAATAGCCACAAACAGAGATTCAGAATCTTTATTTATATCAGAGGAATCTTATGAGCTATAAAGCTCTTTTTTTTACAGATGTCCAGTAGACATCTCTCCAGTAGACATCCGTGAAAACACGAGCAACCCCTCTTTTATATTCTCTCAATTTTCTTGTCCAGAAGTAACATTTAAACTAGCGAATTGTGAGTGCTATTATGGCCTAAATATTAGCAACTATATAAACAGTACATGCATTCACACATTTTACATATATATAAAATGCAATTTCATTTGCTTGACATCTGAAAATAACGTAGACTTCAAGTCTAAGCATCAATGGTTGATACTGAAATGAGCTGGCGGTGTGTGAATGATTGTTGTTTTGTGTGTGTGGTAATGGCAGGGCGTTGTGAGGCCTACTGGAGGCCATGCTGTCATGTTGAACTGGAGCATGTCGGCCATCTATGGCCTGAAGCCTGGCGAGGTGAGCAACCATAAAGGCAACCCGTTGCTTATCTGTAGAGCGCCTGTTTACACAGACCTGAACTACGTAATAATTAGTTTTTTTTTATTTTGACTGCAAAAACATGTTTCCAAAACTTGGCATTTACTCCAATATCGAAATCATGGACCAATTCATTCTTATTTTGAGTATCTTTAGTGAGGCGTAGCCATCTTCCCAATTTCAGTACTGTATTTGCATTTTATGTACTGCTGCCAATCAACACACTTTCAGGCTTAAATGTATCATAGAAGTGGCAACATTATTTGACCAAATTACACTTTGGCAAGAATATAAATGCAGTATATTGACAAATTCACCTCCTGAGTGCCGTGATAACAATATAGCATTATCTTCTTTGGTTCTTTCGGTAAAGTCACGTAGAATGAGAATAAAATAATAAATTGATAAAATATTTTATTTCATCAATTTATTTTATTTTATCCATTTATTATTTTATTCTTATTCTACGTGACTTTACCGAAAGAACCAAAGAAGATGAATCATTGCAGTCACGAAAGCTTTAAATCGAAATATAGCATTATGTTTTGCCCAGTCATCTGAGGCTACATGCAAGAATTCCACAACACCACGAGTGAGTTTACAGGCAACGGCATTGTCAGAGCCCTGTAGCATTGTCAGATCAAAGTGTGAGGTTACAACAAGAAGATCCTTTCAACTGTAGTGATAATACTCACTCCAGCATTTCATGGAAGGGAATGGCTACTTCAATTATTCCATAGTACTCTACTGGCTGACAGCGTTATTGGTGACGGTTTAAAGCATTGGCCTTTTGACCTTCCTACCCTGATAAGGATTCCTAACCCCCATGAAGGAGAGTGTCGAGAATAAATATGCTATTGCATTTTACCAGGGCACTGATAAGCAAGTTGAGCAAGACGCTAAAGTGTAAAAAAAATGTTTTGGCTCTGCAGGCACATTTATTTATTTATTTTTGAACCGCATGCAGAAGCAATTATTCGCAGGAAGTGTTCATGTTTTTACACTGAGGGGCCATGGAGGAGGAAAATGTAAGTCCTACATTCCAGTTTTACTGCCATATTGCTGTGATCTTTGAGATGTCACGTGCTCACCGTGCGTGATCGGTGATGGTGCTACAGTGGCATCCCCATCCTTATTAGACACACGTCATTGCTGTGGTTTGTTTTCCCACTTAACAATAGTTTTAATGTCTTTTTGGAACGTCCGTTTAAAATACACTGCTTGTATAGTCACACACGTACAATTCATAACCCACGTTTTCATGCAAACAAATATAGGAATAGTCTTTAATATACCATACAAAAAAATTGCGTGTTTTGATTATTTAAATGAAGTACCGACAAACTGTTGGAAAACTGAACCAACAACGCGGACGAAACAGTCGTGGAAAGTAAAAATAGTGCACTGCAATCTATAAAAAAACAATCAATTAAGGGAGGGTGTATGCCAATTGCAGAGCAGGTAATTGCTTGTGGTTTTACAAATACAAATAAACAATGCTCTCTTCACAGGAGATCAAAGTGAATGTTTCTACTTTCAGCATGTTCAACAATGTGCCATAAAATATGAGGGTAGAGAGAGTGAGCCTTGAAACAGCTTTTGCTATTCATACATGTAACTGCATTGTAAATAGTGGCAGTATAATAGTATTCAGTCACAGTAAAATGCGTTTAAGGTAAATTCAGTCTGACATGCCCCTCATGGCAGATTTTTTAAACGAGGAATAGTAAAATCGTCTTCAGGTGAAGACGATTGCTTGTGTTGCGATCGAAACATTGTGATTTTTGTATTATTTTACTATTTTTCTATCTACGTGACTTTACCGAAAGACCCAAAGAGTGTGAATTCCTGCAGTCACGATAGCCTTAAGTCAAGAGGAATAGTAAGTTTTAGAAAATATAAATTTCAGGAAATGTTAATAGATATTTTCAGTTTTGTTCTTCTGACATGCACAGTAGTAAGTGATGGAATTATAATATTATTATTCTACAAAAAAGTTATTTTTGCTGAAACGCTCAGGAAAAAATAATGGTCTGAATGTTGCACTATTAACATTGATCAGTGATATGTTTCTAAAGTTACTAGTTGATATTTTGCTCATTAAAGGGCGAGGTTATGTAGGGCATACGTTATGTAATTTAACAATTTAATTATAAATCCCAACTCAAGTGATACTTTCACCTGTTTGGAAGAGTAATTAATCAAAGCGTTGTACAATGATTTAGGTAAATATACTTTGCTGCATTCTTTATGTCTCCTGAAGTCCTCAGTCGTAAGTATATGAAAGTTCGGAGAGAAAAAAAATTGAAACCAATGAAACAAATACTCTCCAAAGACATACGTCTACATAAATTGGGTTTTAAAAGTTGTAGACTTCAGATTAATAAATGCAGCACAATGGTATTTTTATTTTAATAATGTCACGAGACACGACAATCTATGTTTCTGGCTTGCAAATTTAAAATACGTTTTCTCACCTTATCAAAATCTACGTTTCGTTTATTAGCTCAGTGCATTTAATGATGTTTGATATGTAGGGGGATGATTGTACTGGTAAACATCAATTTTCTAAAGGAACAAGATCGATTATGTGTAGTACATGATCGAATCCTTGACCCAATTAAAATACCTGTAAATTTAGCCACTCTGTGGTTTTTCTCTCCGAATGTCACCGTGACGTGTTTGCAAACGGTGAATTGGTAATGTAATGAAATGACTGTGGAGTTGGGCGTGTGTGCTCGGGCCTGCAGGTGTGGTGGGCTGCCTCTGACCTGGGCTGGGTGGTGGGACACTCTTACATCTGCTACGGTCCACTGCTGCACGGGAACACAACCGTTCTGTATGAGGTGAGATGGGGAACAGGTGCAGCGGTGACCACATCAGCCCCACTTTTGTGCCATGCTACCCCTAATCGGTGTTTACGAATGACACTTGTTCCACCCATGTATAGAGGTTGTATGAATTACATACCTGTCAACCCAAACGGTTTACCCGTATTCCTGTATAGGGATATTGAGTTTTCAGGTCCATACGACAAAGCCATTTCAAATGGTCAATTTGTTTGTGTTTCTCCATTGTAATGGGATTTTGTAGGATGAACGTTGAGATTTATAAGGGCACAGGGTGACCAATAATGTCTGAATTGGTCTGTAATAAGATAGGTACTGACAACGGGTAGACAGGTGTGGAATTATAATTTATATTTTACATTTCTATACTGTGGCAGTCTGCGCTATGAACGTCACATAAGGTTGGGGTTAGGGTTTGAGTAAGGTTTGGGGTTAGGGTTAGAGTTAAGGTTAGACCTAGGGTTAGAGTTAAGGCTGGTGTTAGAGCTAGAGTTATAGTTGGGGATACAGTTGATTATACGTGTGTATATGTGTATATGCTTGCTAACAGCAATTGCCCCAACAGTCTGTTAAAGACTATATTGGGGATCTTTGTCTTTGTATGAGAGCGGTAGTGCAGTGGGTTCAATTCCCGCTCATGGCTAACACCGGTGACAATTATCTGAACTGGTCCTCGGCCGTCTCCCCTAGGTCGACTCAGCCTCAAATGAGTACCTGGTGCAGTGTGTAAACATCACCACTGGGGAGAAAAAGGCGGCCAGCCGTGGTGCTGGCCACCCACCCCCTCGTGTGCCATTGCGCTCTCTATACAGTAGTTGTTCGCTAACAGCACTTGCCCCAACAATCTGTTAAGGCTACACGAGGGATCTTTGTCTTTGTGTGCTTGGGCAGGGCAAGCCCGTGGGCACGCCGGACAGCGGAGCCTTCTTCCGCGTGATCTCGCAGCACAACGTCGTCTCCATGTTCACGTCGCCCACAGCGCTGCGTGTCATCAACCAGCACGACCCGACAGCGTCGCTCGGCCGCCAGTACAACATGAGCCGGTGAGGCTCACCCCCCTACCGCCTCTCCAGCTCAGCCATGTACCCATCGTCAGCATCATCACTTGGCATTCTCAGTCCGGGTTTTGCCACTGCCCCCAAGATTATCATCATTATCTTTTGATTTAAAGCTTTCGTGACTGCAGGGATTCATATTCTTGGTTCTTTCGGTAAAGTCACATAGAAGGGAAACAATAAAATAATAAAAATATAAACAATTAAATTATCACGACGTTTCGACTGCAACACAAGCAATCATAATCAGGTGTGAAAACCACAGCAAGAAAATGTCTTGCTGTGGTTTTCACACCTGATGATGATTGAAGAAAATGTCTTGCTGTGGTTTTCACACCTGATGATGATTGCTTGTGTTGCAGTCGAAACGTCGTGATAATTTTATTGTTTTATATTTTTATTATTTTATTGTTTCCCTTCTATGTGACTTTACCGAAAGAACCAAGAATATCATCATCATCATCATCCTCAAATGCATAATCAACAGTACTGATATGCCACTGCATAATGAGTACTCTTCATGCAATGTTTGTGAAAGCCTGCAGGCACCCATTCTGGCACTGTCATCTCTAATCCAGTGCAGCACACTTCCTGCAGAAATGTACCAAATATATCAAGGACAATCATGAAAGACGCCTTGAGCTTAGATGACGCGTTTTTGGGAAAATAAATCGATTACTTATGATAATGATGAGAATGATGATTTCAAGGCACTATTCAGTGTATAACGTCATGGCGTATGGATAAACCTGTACCATGCTTCCGGTTAAACAAATAATTTTGTATCTGTATATTTAACCATCTGTATATCAAAACTCCTTGCGTACCCAGGTTCCGCTCGATGTTTGTTGCCGGTGAGATCTGTGACAAGGAGACTCTCAACTGGGGAAAGGCCACCTTCAATGTCCCCCTGCTAGATCACTGGTGGCAGACAGGTGAGGCCTGACGCAAATCATCACTGACAGCCTACACCGCCGACAGCCTACACCGCCGACAGCCTACACCGCCGACAGCCTACACCGCCGACAGCCTACACCGCCGACAGCCTACACCGCCGACAGCCTACACCGCGGGCAGCGCCGACGCCTGCCTTTTCAAGTGATCGGCCGGCGACTTACGATTGCTTGTGTCGTTCTGCCTTTACTGGGCGCTTGCAGAGACGGGCTCGGCCATAACGGCCACCTGCACAGGACTGGGTGGATCTCTGTACCCGCCAGCAGGGCAGTGTGGAAAATCTGTGCCCGGATACGACGGTAAGTGACCCGGACTCCCCCCCCCCCTTCAGATGTGACATTGAGGTGCCGCAGGTTTTTACGTTGGGTTGTCACAGAGCGCGTTATTCAAGGTAAGCGACTTGCATCGCATCTCATTCATGACTTTTTTTTTGTTTAAAGGGCATCTCACTCGTGGCATCTGTCTGTGGGAACATGGTGGCTCAGCGCCTGGCCTGCAGTTGGACTTTAGCCTGCCAGTATGGGGGAATTATTACAAAGCGAATTGACAATTGTGTAACAATGGTCATCCTTTACTTAATTCAACTCTTGGAAATGCCAAATTTGAGCTCTGATGAAGCTAGTTTACAACATGACATGCTTGTAACAGTTTACGTTTAAATAAAATGCCTCAATTGAGGAATGATACCCGAGTTACTTTTCCATTCAAAAATGCAGACAATACTGCTTTAAAGAAATCAGGAACTTTAGCTTCCCATCACCTGAATACAACAACATTCATGAACATCACAGGGTAGCAAATAATGGACTTTATAGAGGCCTACCGACCACGTGAGCAACGTGGATGTGGAAAGTTTTGTTTTGTACATTGACCACATAATTACCATGAATCATATCCTAAAGAGAAAAAAAAGCAAACGAATATTAGATACCATTATGCCTGGCTTGTACAGATGAATATTCAAAACGTTTCTTTTAGTCTCGTGTTTATTTCTGTTTTTCACTGAGATCATTGACTTTTAATCAGCATTGGCATCTTCACTACATGACCCCTGATATTGTAGAGTTGTCAGCGTTTTATTTCCACATTCATGCCGGACAACATTGGTCCTAAATATGTTATGGCTTATGGCCCAAATTTGCATTCAAAGATTTGATACTGAAACAGAGCATTGTGTGTTTAACTATTTATAATAGTTATGGTCATTATCACAATGCATTAAGTTAAATAAATTATGTTGAATGTGATTATAGACAATGGCAGAGCCAGGATTTTCAGGTAGGGGGGTGCAACCCCTCCAGCAATGAAAAATGATAGAGGAGTTGTTAGTAAGTAAGGAGTTGTTAGTAAGTAAGGAGTTGTTAGTAAGTAAGGAGTTGTTAGTAAGTAAGGAGTTGTTAGTAAGGAGTTGTTAGTAAGTAAGGAGTTGTTAGTGAGTAAGGAGTTGTTAGTGAGTAAGGACTTGTTAGTGAGTAAGGAGTTGTTAGTGAGTAAGGAGTTGTCTCTTGTTAGTGAGTAAGGACTTGTCTCTTGTTAGTGAGTAAGGAGTTGTTAGTGAGTAAGGAGTTGTTAGTGAGTAAGGAGTTGTTAGTGAGTAAGGAGTTGTTAGTAAGTAAGGAGTTGTTAGTGAGTAAGGAGTTGTTAGTGAGTAAGGAGTTGTTAGTGAGTAAGGAGTTGTTAGTGAGTAAGGACTTGTCTCTTGTTAGTAAGTAAGGACTTGTCCCTTGTTAGTGAGTAAGGAGTTGTTAGTGAGTAAGGAGTTGTTAGTGAGTAAGGAGTTGTTAGTGAGTAAGGAGTTGTTAGTGAGTAAGGAGTTGTTAGTAAGTAAGGAGTTGTTAGTGAGTAAGGAGTTGTTAGTGAGTAAGGAGTTGTTAGTGAGTAAGGAGTTGTTAGTGAGTAAGGAGTTGTCTCTTGTTAGTAAGTAAGGACTTGTCCCTTGTTAGTGAGTAAGGAGTTGTTAGTGAGTAAGGAGTTGTTAGTGAGTAAGGAGTTGTTAGTGAGTAAGGAGTTGTTAGTAAGTAAGGAGTTGTTAGTGAGTAAGGAGTTGTTAGTGAGTAAGGAGTTGTTAGTGAGTAAGGAGTTGTTAGTAAGTAAAGACTTGTTAGTGAGTAAGGAGTTGTTAGTGAGTAAGGAGTTGTTAGTGAGTAAGGAGTTGTTAGTAAGTAAGGAGTTGTTAGTGAGTAAGGAGTTGTTAGTGAGTAAGGAGTTGGTAGTGAGTAAGGAGTTGTTAGTGAGTAAGGAGTTGTCTCTTGTTAGTAAGTAAGGACTTGTCCCTTGTTAGTGAGTAAGGAGTTGTTAGTGAGTAAGGAGTTGTTAGTGAGTAAGGAGTTGTTAGTGAGTAAGGAGTTGTTAGTGAGTAAGGAGTTGTTAGTGAGTAAGGAGTTGTTAGTGAGTAAGGAGTTGTTAGTAAGTAAAGACTTGTTAGTGAGTAAGGAGTTGTTAGTGAGTAAGGAGTTGTTAGTGAGTAAGGACTTGTCCCTTGTTAGTGAGTAAGGAGTTGTCCCTTGTTAGTGAGTAAGGACTTGTCCCTTGTTAGTGAGTAAGGACTTGTCCCTTGTTAGTAAGTAAGGACTTGTCCCTTGTTAGTGAGTAAAGACTTGTCCCTTGTTAGTGAGTAAGGACTTGTCCCTTGTTAGTGAGTAAAGACTTGTCCCTGTTAGTGAGTAAGGACTTGTCCCTTGTTAGTGAGTAAGGACTTGTCCCTTGTTAGTGAGTAAGGACTTGTCCCTTGTTAGTGAGTAAAGACTTGTCCCTTGTTAGTGAGTAAGGACGTGTCCCTTGTTAGTGAGTAAGGAGTTGTTAGTGAGTAAAGACTTGTCCCTTGTTAGTGAGTAAGGACTTGTCCCTTGTTAGTAAGTAAGGACTTGTTAGTGAGTAAAGACTTGTCCCTTGTTAGTGAGTAAGGACTTGTCCCTTGTTAGTGAGTAAGGACTTGTCCCTTGTTAGTAAGTAAGGAGTTGTTAGTGAGTAAAGAGTTGTCCCTTGTTAGTGAGTAAGGACTTGTCCCTTGTTAGTGAGTAAGGACTTGTCCCTTGTTAGTAAGTAAGGACTTGTCCCTTGTTAGTAAGTAAGGAGTTGTTAGTGAGTAAAGAGTTGTCCCTTGTTAGTGAGTAAGGACTTGTCCCTTGTTAATAAGTAAGGACTTGTCCCTTGTTAGTGAGTAAAGACTTGTCCCTTGTTAGTGAGTAAAGACTTGTCCCTTGTTAGTGAGTAAGGACTTGTCCCTTGTTAGTAAGTAAGGAGTTGTTAGTGAGTAAAGAGTTGTCCCTTGTTAGTGAGTAAGGACTTGTCCCTTGTTAATAAGTAAGGACTTGTCCCTTGTTAGTGAGTAAGGACTTGTCCCTTGCTTTTTATTCGACGCGTGTGCGGCGATGCCGCAGCTATCGATCGAGAGTCGAATTCGAACCATTGTGTAGATCGGCATCGCGCTCACTGAAGGTGAATGCCTTCAGGGAAGTCGTGTACTATATACGCGACTGCGCACAATTCTGTGAGTGACTTATAACTGCTTTGCCATTACTTATTGCCAATTATGGACTCAGTCTATTGTCCTATCATCTCATAGCACGTAATAATATGCTACACAGTGGCAGTGGGGGTCGCAAAATGCCGATTTATTACTAATAAACCCCAATGATCCGATCGAAATGAGGGATTTCGATCGGATCATTGGGGGGGAACGTGCCACCCCAACCCCCCCCCCCCCCCCCCACTGGCTCCGCCAGTGATTATAGACACTACTACAGTGTATATGTTTAAAAGTACGGTAATAAATGTGGGACTGTCTGTACTCTCAGTGTATTATCAAATCAGATAGTATTATCACTCATGTAAAAAGTTACAGACAATTGTATGCTTATGTTACGTTAAATACCGCATTGCAGTAAGTGTACACTGCATGGAGTTAAAGTATGGTGCCTTAACGTGCCGTCATTTCCACAGTGCGAGTGGTGGATAGCAATAACCAGGAGTCAAAGAGAGGCAACCTGGGAAACATTGTCGTCAAGTAAGTCCACACGGATTCCAGAGAATCCCTAACAGTGAACGAATGAGGTTCTGAACAATCATTGTCTTTGGGTGCTTCTTTGACCGACGTTCAGACGAACGAGGCTGTATACCCGCATCTGTTCTGCCCTGGCAATGGTATCAGTTATGATGTGTACCTCGCGTGGAATACCACGTGTATCTTATTCAATGCATCCGCTTACAACCTGTGCCCTGGAATAGCGAATGAATCTCGACATCAGTGTATAACTTCTGTTGCTATTCTTGAAATCAGTTGCTTATCTCTCCAACTCGCCATACATACCAATGAAGAACAATATTTGTTTGTGCATTTTTAGCTGACAGGCATCCATTTAACACAATGCTTGCAAATAACAGTAAAAACGTTTCCTTTATTGTTTAAACAAATGCGGTCAACAGTTCAATGCATGTGCCTCCTTTCATTGGTATTTAATAAGAGCTCTTTAATTCACTTTATTTTCGTACAACCGCCAATTGAATCAGCTTCTGGATTTATTATATCCCTGCTGTATAAACTTATATCAAGCATTACCGCCCAGTGCCTCAGTGGAATATTTATGCCCGCAAGGCGCTGATCTACGTTATTTATTCTTACACGGATATATACAATCTCTATTGAGCCACGAATTCATTGACATATTGAAATACATTTGTATCAAAGCACCATTCGGCACCTTCACTGAAATATGTGCCAGCAATGCATCGGAATGTTGATTAACCGCTGATTAAAACATAAATCTGGAAGCTTATGATGATGGTGCTTGCACAAACGATCGGGATGAGGTGAGCGTTGGGTGTACTGCCTCCTGCTGGCTACCACCATCACACGCAGCGGCGACGCTGCACGAGCGGGGAAGCGCACACGTTACGGGCGGTCCCCCGACTTACGAACGCCCGACTTACGAACGCCCGACCTACGAACGCCCGACTTACGAACAGCCGCACTTACGAATGAGCTTAAGTAAGATTGTTTTTTTAACCATCCGACTTGCGAACGCGAACTTGCACTTTGCGAACCGAACCGCGGAACCATTTTGCAGTGTCACATGCAAATCTACAATATTACCTCTTCTTTATGAGTTTAACAATGCTTCCCCTTTTTTTGTTGAACCGTAACATGTTTCGTAACACTGACCATATGTGCATTTAAATACGGCACATTATTGTGTTCCGACTTATGAAACGTTGGACTTACGAACGGGTCTCGGGAACGGTACCCACTCGTAAGTTGGGGACTGCCCGTACTGACCTTACACCCCAGAAGCGGTTATCGAAACATGGCATTTTAAACATATAAATGCACGTCTTTCTCTGACATTTATAACTAAAATACCAATTAGTTTTATAATTATAATACTTTCCATTTGTAAGGTGCGTTCCATCCGTAGATCCCGATGCGGCATGTATGGAAAGCAGGAAATCAACAGAGCCAGTGTAAATGGTCAGAACTAGCGGATGAATGCCAATTTAAAGAGGTTGAGTTTTCAAGACAAGACTTAAATTAGCTTTAACGACTCTGATTGTCTTATGGCCAAAGACAAAGCGTTAATTAGTCTGGGAACTGCACTGATAACTCCCCGATCACCCCAGGAACAGAGCCTTGACCTTGGAGTACTTTGAAGAAGGTGATCCGAAGAGCTAAGGGACATCGTTCGAGTATAAAAATTGATAAGTTCCTGTGAATGTTGTGGGGCGAACACATTGAGAGCCTTTGTAGGCCAGCAGCAGGATCTTATAGTCCACTCGATGCTTGGCATTGGGGGTGGGCGATTACTCCCCATCGTCACTGCTAAGAGCCAGATACAAAAATCTACATATGGCCGAGAAACACAGGACACACACGGTGGTTACGCAGCGCCGGTTGCCTGTGGAGTTTGAGTTTAGAAATCTGCAGGAGTGTGCCGGGAGTACTCTGACTGGCTCTGCTGCAAGTGGCTAGTGTCCCAGGTTGCTCCTCCTTCCGCACATGTTTTCTGTTTGAAATGAAGTTACAACAAATTTAAACGTTTTATTCACAAGATATGACCGTTCGTTGTTTGTGTTATAGCATTCTAGTTGCCATATTTTAGTTATTTCTCATATATAAATCTAAATTCTTCCATACAAGGAATCCACAAATCACTGTTTCCAAATGACCACAATGCCATGCTACAATTATTATGATTATTATGCTAAACATGAGGGTAATTACAACAGACTCGATCATTATAATATAACTAATCACTCACTGTCGTTGATGGGGATAAATGAGGTGGCAGTAATGGGTGCTATGTTGGTATTGATGGTGTTTAGCATTCCTCACGTACAGTCCCTTTGTCAATCTCCTGCTGAATGAGGGCCCTGCCCATGCCTTGTGAATTATTTGTGAGTAATATTTGACCATAGTCCCCCACGTTGGTCAGTGCAGGCTGGTGAAGGCAGGGAGCACAGACTCGGAAGCATAGAAGCACAGTACAACAATTAATTTCGCTGCACTGCCATTTGCTGTCCATCATCCATCACATGGCCCCACAGTTGATTACGAAGTTAATTCGAAAATAGAAGAAAAAAAACAGTCACGACTTTATTATTACTGGTGAGGATATCACCGTGTTGAGAATTAGGTCATGTCTTGCACAAACCTATTTGCATAGTAATTACGAGATGATAATAGCGATGATGGTGGTGGTGGTGATCAATGTCCTATGTGCTGCGATTCAGGTTGCCCCTGGCACCTGGTTGCATGGCCACGCTGTGGGAAAACAACCAGAAGTACGAAGACACCTACTTCAAGTCATTCCCCGTACGTACACACGGCGACCTTGGCAGATTTCCCTGCCTTAGTGCATAGTCAGAGAACGCATGGTCTTGCATCGCGTGGTTATAAATGAATGCAATCTGGTGCGAGTGCAATGAGACCTTGATAAATATTGTACGTATTCTTAGCTCTTTCGGTAAAGTCACGTTGAAGGGAAAGCATAAAATAATAAAATATATATAAAACAATAAAAAATTCTCACGACGTTTCGACCATAACACAAACGGTCGTCATCACACCTGTGTTATGGTCGAAACGTCGTGATAATTTTTTTATTGTTTTCTATATATTTTATTGTTTCCCTTCAACGTGACTTTACCGAAAGAGCTAAGAATATGAATTACTGCAGTCACGAAAGCTTTAAATCAAAAAATATTGTACGCTCATTATACGTGCGTTGAATCCGGCAGCAATGCGTTTTGTTCCTGCTGTCTTTCCCTGGACGCACCACAGGGGTACTATGACACGATGGACGCCGGCAAGATGGACGAGGACGGCTACGTGTACGTGATGGCGCGTGTCGACGATGTCATCAACGTGGCTGGTCACAGGCTGTCGTCGGGCGCCATTGAGGAGGTACGCGGCGGCGGCGGCGGCGGTGGCGCCCCAACCCGAGACGATTCCCGGACGCGCCGTCGCACGGCGAGGAGGCCCTCCGCGTGACGCTGCGTCGTGAAAGTGAACGCGGCCGGTGTATTGTGATGCAGCCGATTAGCGCACGGTTGGCTGCTAATGGTGCGAAAAAAACACGTTGCAGGGTGATCCATTTATAGACAACCCACTAAAACATTTCGGGGACATGTTTTTGAGAAAACAGCGTTGAATCCCACCACCATCCTCATTACATGGTAAAGGTGCATCGCTGGCACAATCCACTGCTGACAGAAGGGGCTCCACTCGAGAGCCCCTCTCGAGGGTTATTTCAGCTGACCTGGCACTTATTTTTATTTTATTATGTTTTATTTTTATTATTTTATTATTTCCCTTCTACATGACTTTACCGAAAGAACCAAGAAGATGAATCCCTGCAGTCACGAAAGCTTTAAATCGAAATTTAACCTGGCACTGTGGAAGAGGTGGGAGTACACACACCTTGCCAAACCGCATGCGACCTGCCGATTGACTAACTGTGGTGAACCCATTTATACAGCTGGCTGGACAGAGTTCAGTTTCAGCAAAAAATATTCCTGAAAAAAGCAGCAAAAATATTCCTGAAAAAAGCAGCAAAAATATTCCTGAAAATAGCACCGTACACCAACGCTGTGTGCAAAAAATCCCAGTGGGATGCAAGTCAAACAACAACAACAACCACAAGAAAACTTAGATTAAGGCCATCAGTCTAACTCCGTACTACAACAAAACAAACATTTGGGGGGGAGGGGGGGCGGGATTATTAAATCCTGGCTTTCATTTCACTTGCCGTGCTGGGAGATTGAACAAGCGAGCTCTGGTTTGGAGGCGAACCATCACGAGTGTGCTAACCGTGACACCGCGGCAGCAAGCCACCACCAATTACAATACACTTATTGAATCTGTTAACGCTCTCCTCTGTAAATGATGGCACCATTGCTTTCACAATATTTCATTGCCTGTCGAGATTAAAGTAAGAGGGTCATGGTAAATCACTAGGACTTCTATAAATCAATCACCCTGTGAGCATCTGCAAACTCATAGACCCGGCTCAGTAATATCCATTTTTTTTTTTTACTGAAGCCAAGATGTATTTGATTGTGTGCGATGCTTAAAACGTGCACGAATGTTGAATGCACTTTGGAATTAAGTCCAACGAAGGTAAATAAATAATTTCATATAACAACTTTCAGGTTCTCAACATCTGGGTTCGTTGTCGCATAACTTAATTTGCATGGCAATTGACTACCTCGCCATTGTCAAGAATCTGCCAACTGATTTTGTGTGCCCTGCGTTTCATCCATGTCAAAGGAGTCTTGTAATGAATATTGCATATGTGGGTCCTATCTCGAGTGTCCTTTGTGTCATATTTTCTATCAGTATTCATGTCCCGCCTATTTCTGTATAGCACCACAACAGAAATGTACTCATTATCTTACGGATCGGTGACACAACCTTCGTGAAATAATTTAGCAATCAACAAACGTACCAGCATGTGGCAATAACAGCACGTGTACAGTGTTGCTGTCACGCCGAGGATTAAATCTCAGCGCTCGCATTTTCTTCAAATAGCATTCACGTGCCTGACCTCATGGGTAACAGCTTGTTCACAAACATAAAATCCATGCAGGCATAGGGTGGCTGGAGCAGGTCTCTAAATCTGTCTCTTTCATCAGTCGCAGGCACATGGCCATGTTTTCTTTGAAGTTAAGGTCGAATTTCCCTTCCTTATTTTGTCACAACTACTGCCTCGTAAGAACTCATCTGGTTCCTTCTACCCGAATTCCGTCCGACCAGGTCGAACCTCACCCGTTCCTCTCTGATCTCCCCGTGACCCTCCTCGTTTCCCCGTGCATATTGGAGGCCGCCCTCATCCGACCTCCCCTCCTCCCTCTCTCCCCTCTCCCGTCAGCCCTGTCCCTGCTTTACCGGTCTTCTCTTTCTCCGGCTCTTCCGCCTGCTCACATCCATCCGCTTTAATCAAAACCTCACTGGCCCTGATTGTGCCTGCCAGCTTGCCACTCATTGGGGCCTTTTTGTTGTTGTTGTTGTTGCAAAAACCTCTACGACTTTGAATTGCTATCCTCGTGTAACCTACCGCTTGCTGTTGATCTTCAGTGGCTGCTGTTCAAGTCTTCTGTTTCTTACTTCACCTTCCTCGCCTTCCCCCCCCCCCTCCTGCAACGCTGCCTCTGTAGACCCACGGCTTCCCTGACCTTGATTCCCTCCCTTAACGTCGTAAATCTTCCTTCACAAAATATCCCGAGGCAGAATATTGGTGCTGGATACAACCACATTTGTAAATGTGATTTGTAACTTTGATCCGTATCCATGTATCGATAGTTCAATGGTAATGTGCAATTTAATGGAGAGACTGTGCGATTTCTTGGTGTGTTCTGGGACTGTTATTGTTGGTGTTGTTTGCTGCCTGGCTAAAGCTTGCATTTGGTCTGGAAACATCGACAGAAATGTATGTATTTGTGCAATTTGTACTTATGTACTTTATCAATTTCATTTTAGTGACTTTGCCTAGCTTTTCTCTATTTTACGCTATGATGTTTTGTATTGCGTGTTGTTGTAACTTGCTGACCCGCCTCTGCTGGACATCTGTGAAAAAGAGCTTCAAAGCTCATCGGATTCCTTCTCCAGTCTACATATATTCTGATTTTCCCTTAGTGTATCTTGATTAAAATTTCCTGTCCAGCTATCCTTGTCTGTGCCTGCGGTACAATTGTCTGTCTTTGCTTTGTTTTCCTGTCCATCGCCGTCCCTGCTTGTCGTTTGCCTCACCTTACCTCTAGTTGCTTGTCCTCCCTTCGTGTTACCGTTCTTCACCTGCAACTCTTTGCATACCCTTACTAGCCACTGTGAAACCTGCACCTAATCTGGCCTTACTTGACCTTGTCGTGCTCTGCCTGTCTTTAGTTGCTCTCACATTCCCTTGGCCTTGCCTTTCACTGCCTACCTCTGCCTAGCCTGCATCCCTCCACGTGCCCCTCGCCGCGGCGGAGAGATGTTAACGGCCTCGCTTGGTATAGACTATAGAGGATGTCGTGGGTTCTATCCCAAACACTGACGCCTGTATATTTGGAGTTTGCATGTGCTGCCTGTGGTCGCGTGGATGTTTCTCTACAAAATTTTGCAACAGCATGCATTAACAGTTTTTTGGCTGCTATAATTTCCACCTTGATAAGCCACTTCGTTGAGCTATCATTTGTGACCAGGTCGCTTCTGAAAAAGATCTACGCAGCTCAGTGGGCCTTAGCTGGTGGAAAAAAAAAAACAAAGTTTAAACTTGATCGTCTCTTGATCGTCACTGCCACGTGTGGCTCACCCACGCTCGCTTGACCCCCTCCAGGCCATCCTGCAACACTCGGCGGTGGTGGACTGCGCTGTGGTAGGGCTGGAGGACTCCGTGAAGGGGCTGGTGCCCTTCGCGCTGTGTGTCCTCAAGAGCGGTAAGGCGACACGCGCGGCATGGCACGCTCGCCTGCCGAGCCGACGTTAAGCGGTGCGACTTCCAATTGCAATGTTATCAATAACACTGCGGGGAGAGTTGCGCTATTTAACTTCGGCGAAGCATCTCTCCACTCCTCCCACTACACTCGCTTAATCAAGCTAACAGTCGCGGCTATTTGTTTCCATCTGCAGTCACCGCCACTTTTGCAGGCTCAAGCGAGAACACACGCTGCGGTCTCCCAATCCACATATCAGCACTCTCGTAAAAAAATATATGGCGATAATTACGTACAGCCCTGTGCAATAAACGGTGTGTAATATGCGACAAGTGTGGCAGTTAACCACCCGTGGTGGATTAAATCATTTACAATTTAAAAACACACGGCATTTATTTATTGCCTTCTGCTTTGTGAGCGGAGAACACCCATGATGAATGAACAGGCTCGCACGTTTGTCATTTGCACGCTTGCTTGCGTTAGGTTAACGCAAAAGGTTTGCGGCGCTATTTGGCACAAGAGTGTCACTTCGTTTATCATTAAGCTGGTGAGATGTCTGCCGAGCAGCTGCGCGAAGTCCAGCCGCGCATTACGAGGGATTTCCCAAGCGCCAGCGCAAAACGGGTTGAAAAGGGGACAACTGGTCAGAGTGTGACGATTCACCCCCTCAACGTACCGTCCCGTCCATAAATCAGTGACCAGCAGTCGGCTGAAGGCTGCACGGGGTGTGGGTCTCTGCCGGCGCGCGAGTAGGTGTGACCAAGAAGCACGACGAGCTGCTCCGTGAGGTCGTGGACCTCGTGCGCAACAGCGTTGGCCCCGTTGCCGCCTTCCGGCGCGCCATCTTCGTGCAGCGGCTGCCGCGTACGCGTTCCGGCAAGGTTCCCCGCTCCACCATCGCCGCGCTGGTCAACCGCAAGCCGTACACGGTGATGCCCTCGCTCCCACGGACGCGCAAGCCCTGCCGCCTTGATAGCGCTCGCTCACAATTGTGGTTGCCGCGATATGGCGATGTTACCATACAATGCACGCGATAGTGTCCGCGATAATGGTAATCATCTCTTTTGCAAAATTTCGCCACGTCGGAATTATTTATTAAACGTCTTATTTAGTGTGCAAAAATATTTCTGAAACGAGAAAGTAATTACACGAATTATGTATGTATATAGGTAGAATGAGTTGCCGATTACGCATATGGGAATACCGTCACACAGGACCAGAGAATGTTCCCAACATGCAGAGCCCTTCATCCAGCGATAGACTGACAACCACTTGTCTGATAATTCTCATGATGGTAAATGTGCAATGTGCTTCTATAACCATAGGTTTGTAAGATGTGGCCCATGCAAGTAGCTGGTCTGAGTTATTTCGTATTTTGGGGAGTTGATCAGCAACATTTATATGTTCATGTCGAGAGTGCAGAGCTGGTGAATGGCTTCAGGATTAGAATTGTGAATAATGATAGAAGCGGGAACTGCTGTCACTTTGTGATCCACGGTTTGAGATTGATGGCTGCGGTTGCACTGTGGATTTTTCTTAATTGTCCATTATTGGTGCAGGAGGTAGCTCTTGCATCTGCCATGCGATGTAGCTGATCATACCAGGGAGAGCTGGTTTGAGTTCAGCACTGGTATCGATCATTTATTTACGATTCTCTTGACATATCGTTGCATGTGCACACAGCTTTACTGTAAAACAGCCACATTCCATACACACGGTTAATTCTAATTTCACATTTCGCTATGCTCTTGAGTGTGCATGAGTGAACTGTGATGTAGCATTAATGCATTCATTTATGTGATGAGTAATGCACAGCATGTACTGGCATTAAAATGGTGAAATAAAGAGGTGAATGAGAGGAGGCTAGAGTTATTTTAGAAAGTTACATTTTGAAAATTAAAACAAAATTACACTCTGCTAAGGCATATACATAAGTAAGATAGGCACTAAATAAAATGGATCATAAACTGAAAATGTACGCAAAGAAGCATGGACGGGTACATTCTGGCAATTTCAATAAGAGGTGAAAAAAACCACATGGAACCAGACAATACATGCAAATTGGAGAAATCGCATTAACCTTTAGAAAAGTAAGCAGGCTTTCCCACGGCACATTGCGCGAAGGTTGATGGACAAACATAGTGATGGACTCGCAGCCAAAGGAGGGGGAACACGCCTCAGAGGACGATCGCCACAGAGATTGAGCAGTGACATCAGCTTATGTGCAAGGAGTGAAATGGATTATTGCTTTGCAAGACAATGAGGGTTGTCAACAACATGGGGAGGTCATCATCCAGCAGTGAATAGAACATGGCTGTTTACGATGATGATGGATGCACAGCTAAAGAAATGTGATCTTATCCAATGTTAACATGCATAAAAATGGATTGTATGACTGTGCTAATGTGTACAAGAAAATACATTGTCCAGCGTAATTCATCAGGTGGCACAGGAATGCAATGCCTTGCATGACTTAATACCCGGCCGGTACTGACGCTTGCGGATGTGTTCTGCTTTGGTTTTTACCCCCAGATCACCTCCACCATCGAAGAGCCGCTCGTGTTTAAAGAGCTGGAGGAGGCCATGAAAAATGTGAAGTGAACGCTGTGAAATGCTGCAAACCCAACGGGGACCTGTGCACTGGGGTCTCACGTAGTAGAGCAGTCGTAGCCTGTGGAAGGGCAGAGTTACCTTGGATTGACACACACACACGGGCATTGTCAGTGGCCAATTTGGTGCTGGGCCACCCAACTGAAATACTTCATTGTCTGACAGATGCAAGAAGTATTCTTTAAACAAACCTATTTTTTACCCTTTCCTGTATATATAGTTTAAACAATAAGATACCTAAAGGCAAGCAACGCATAGAATACATTTTTGGTGTCACTACAGTGTAAGCAGACAGTGGTTGGCAAAAGGCCTTATTTGCCAAAATTATTAGAAAAGAGATAACATTTTACTTTAGATAAATTACATTTAAGTTAGACAAACTCCTATTCTTGGTTCTTTCGGTAAAGTCACGTAGAAGGGAAACAATAATAGTAAATAATAAAAACATTATAAAACAATAAAATGCTCACGACGTTTCGAATGCAACACAAGCAATCATCATCAGGTGTGAAAACCACAAGAAAATTAGAAAAAAAATTATTGTTTTATATTTTTTTATTATTTTTTGTTTCCCTTCTACGTGACTTTACCGAAAGAACCAAGAATATGAATCCCTGCAGTCACGAAAGCTTTAAATGAAAATTCGACAAACTCATTTAAAAATATTATCAGTTTCCCTATCTTGGGAGTCAGGTACTTGGTCGGATAAGATTGCAATAAGTTAAGTTGTTTTAAAACCATTGTTGTCTGCATGGCCTAAAGTGGTAATACATATTGATGATACCTCCGATACCTCAAATGCTTGAAGCCAACATCTTTTGCCAAATGGAATGGATTTACACCCTTTGAACGTGCACTCACTCGTTTAAATTAGTCTCAAAGTTAGGTCATTCTCTATCTTCGTGTTTTAATACATTGCCTTTAGAAACTTGAGTTTCCCAATTACATTCCCAGGTGTCTTGCTGACTGTTTTACAACTGGTCAGACAGCGTGCAATCAAACACAGCAGCAAATGGCTGGGATTAGATGGTTTATTTTTTTTATTCCACAATAGAGTATGCTGGTGTAAAACAGGCCACGTACTCGTACCACTCACCAACAACACTCTGCCTAAAGCCATTGAAAATAAATATTTGCGGTGTACATTTGAGTATTGTAAGTGATCGTATACCACTTAAACACTGCAGATAATGATCCTGCTCTGAGGAACACGTTGTATTACATATGCACTCACTAGAAAATAATTTGAAAGTTTTGAAAATGCTTTTCGTAGAATGCACTGACTTGGAATACCTCTTGAAAGAAGTCTGGATTACAGGGTCTTCTACTCGCAAGCCAAGTAGCAGCGACAATTGGCGGAATCGCTGCTCATCTGTGTTAATCGCAATACAGTTTGAGTGTGCATACATCACTGCCATTTATTTTATTCCACTGGATGCAAATGGTGATGAATTGCACAGAGGTCATTAATCTACTCATGTACAATAACGGTTTTTGACCTAAAAAAAAATCACGTGACGAAAATGTCCGTGAAGTGCCTATGGAAGGTGGAAATCTGTAATTTAATAATGTAATGTGAAAACACTTCCATTGTCTTGGTATTCTTTAATGTTACTGGAATGTATCCACTATTTTCGATCTTATACATATGAAAACGAGACACTATACAGCGTTACATTTTACATGTTTTTATCGTACTCTACAATGCATTTTGGCCTGCTCTGTGAAAATTACCCAGACTAATGATCACACCATGCTCTCATTGTTATTTACAGGCCATGCCAAGTAACCAAACATGTATTTCAAAATATATGTAAGACAGTAATGGAATGATGTTATTCATAATAAAGGTTTTTGATGTTGACAATACAAATTTGCACAGTTAAAATTGCCATGTCATTTAAAGGCATTACTGAAATAAAACGGAATCATATGTACATCTGTCTGTGACAAATAAACAAAGATGTATACCCAACATTCTAGGTGCTGTCGGATTGTATTATTGCTGCATAAAATGAGCTTATCATGTGAGATAGTCTGACGGGTTTTGGTGATGCTGCATGGGCAGTGGTGCACAAGCAAAATCAACAATAAACATTCATTCATCTATTACACTGGGGCCTGAAAAAGAGAAATGAGCTGAGGAATGGCCGTTGTCCAAAACGTTGCCGACTACGTTTTCTTGACTGCAACTGAAGAAATTTTTTTTAGTATGAAGAGATGTTAAGTGAAAACTACTTTTGAAAAATGAATGTCTAAAGGCATTAACCCTACTCTGCTTGTTGGCCTGCAACTATCAAATTTAAATATACGCGTTCAAATCTTATATTTCCACAAGTCAATATTTATTTAAAGTAGAATAATTAGACGAGTTTTGTACAATTATGAAATATTTACTGTGGTAAAATCCGAAGGCTTAATCACTGAAAGACGTGCCTCTCATCGTTCTGATGTACCTCATCGGTGTTGGCCTAGAGATGGTCACAGGCCTCATTGGCTGCATCAGATCAACCTTTGCTCTTAACGCCTGGAGATACCAAGCTCGCTTGGTGGTTTTTGCAGGAGAGACCCTGGGGGTTGAAACCGGAGGAGTGGATGCTCCGACACTCATGTCTCAAAGGGTCTTCTCAAAGCTGTTCTCAGAGCACCGCTAATATCTGCGAAGCTGAATCTTGAAAGCACACTGACGGCATGTGATGTAATACAGAAAACCAAATGACCCGGTTTAAAATTGAAAGAACTCGATGTTTTACCACAATAGCAAAACCAACCACATAGTACAAAAAAATGATCATTAAACGACCTCATCTGTATCTCGAGACGCTGTAAAGGTGCTTTTAAAACCCTTAGGATGCCAACTAAAGGCAGGGCAATCATTTGCGCAGACAGGTCCGGGGATCAAAAATAATTGTGCTACTCCAGCAATCTTGTACGGTTCCTTTCATATCAGCACTTCTCTTAGCAGGCCATGTACTCAAACAGTGCCTAGTCAAGACAAATTATTCCAGTCTCTTCTTACAGTCTAGGGTCAAGATCTCATCATGGCCAAAGCCACGGATAGCACCAAACCTCACCCAACACTTTCTACCCTCTCCCAGATCCTACTACTGCTGCTGCACCGTAGACAATCTACCTCTAAGATCTTCCCCGAGCAGCATCTTGGGTCGAGGCTTAACATGCTGAAAGACGAGGCAATGAACAGCAATTCATATAGTTAATTAAATAATCACACACAAGACATTGTTGAACCTTCATCCTCTTTTTTTATTGGCAGTGGCATTGACCAGAGAAGCAATTACCTCTTAAAATGAAATAACACTCTTCCAGGTCAGCTTTTGGAGCATGAATAGGACACAAACACTGTACAAAACCTGCCGTTGACATGTTTACAAAGCTGGGTGCAGGCATTGGGGGGGGGGGGGGGGGGGAGTGGCTTGGCTGCAGGCATTTGTCCGCCTTCGTGCTGCCGTGAGAAACAGCACCTGGCTTGGCCACAGCACAAAAAAAACCCATTACAAAAGTCGGGCAAATAGAAAATTCTGGATTTTACCACGCAGGAGGATTACCGTTTTGTTGCTGTTAGTTCGGACACTTTCATTCCTTGCTGGATGGCTAGAAAAGCAAGGGCAGAGACTACGTTAACCGTGGAATAAACATAAATGTTGCCTTTTCCCCATCCTAATGTTTTCCTAGTTTTTATATGACTGCGTGGCATCGCTGTGGGTTTAACGGGGTGGGGGGTTCAGTCGGGCTAAAAACTGAAACCTGGGGTCTATCTGGATCAGTGACCCGGATTTTTGTTGTTCTTCTCAGAGCAGGCAAAAAAAACACATCTCAGTATTAACCCTCGCTATGGCTGTGGCTACGAGTCGCGCGTGCCACCTACTCCAGTCCACCAGCGACCCAGACAATATTCGAGTCCAGGTCGGGTGACTTCAGAGGTCTTGTGGCATAAAAAAAGATGGCATCATAATATTTTTCTTGATTCACAACTTCTAATGCAGGTGATGATGCAAATGACAATGACCGTGCCAGATACTTATTATGGCGATGCGCATGATCAGGCCAACGATGACAATGATGACCGTGGATTACATATATTTTCTTTTGGTGCGAGGATTATTCAATAAAATATCTAACACACCTGTAGGGTTAACACCTTGGCAGAATAGAACACATGCAAGTATATTTTGGTCCTTCTTTAAATAAAGTTAATCAATTGCTTGGCAAGTTTTCATTACAGATGGTAAAGTAAATATTAAAAAGATTGCACACTCCGTGCCTCATTAGCAGAGGTGTAACAATTCACCGCCCTCATAATTCGATGAATTGTGACGATCAGATTTAAGAAATTATTCATTTGAATATTTGTTTTTACATCGTGGTGAATGTAGCAACAGCCTTTGGCGACTGTATGCCGGGCCACCCAGAGGTTCAATGTAAGCCCGGGACAAAATGTCACTTGAGGCCCCCATTATTCCACTATCCATAGGCCCACTGTGAGGCCCTCTGTTGTGCGAGGCCTAGGGCAAATTTCACCCTTAGCCCCCCACCCCCAACTCTGGGCAGCCCTGCCTGGAGGGGTCCACTTGAACCTTTTACATACAACATATGAATCGATTGGCAGTAGCCCGGGTCACCGCAAAATATTGGTGGGCCGGGCATAGTTTAAGGTTTTTTTTCTGGGAGCATCGCTGGTACTACCACCCTGTCCTGCCGGAGGGAGACGCTGGGAGCGATGATGACGATGTCGATCCCGCCAGCACGACCGTGACCGCCGGCCGTACCAAGAGAGCGCCTGGTGCACCATTGCCTCCAAGTGGTCTCGCTCCCAAAGACAAGGGGGGTGGCCGCCCCCGTAAGAAGCAGAACGTGCTGGGGCATGACCAGACCAGCATCCTGATGTACTTAAAAAAAAATAGCCGTTGCCACGCACAAATCCCCAGCAGCCCCCCTTGTTTATGGGTGTTTTGCGTGTTTTCTATTTCCATATTTGGCGTGCGTATCGGGCTCAGTGACATCTCCCGTCTTCATAGGCCTTCTGGTTTCGGAGTTTTGGAGGTTTTGGCACCCCCGTGTCACCACCAATCGATTCATATATGAAATGAAAAACATTGATGACACCCGCGGTGCGATTGCGTGCATCGCATACACCTTAGCAATCCGCTGTAAATCGATGACTCGATGCATCGCCGAACACCTTCTCAGCAAGTTTCCAAAGAAACCGTCCGTAACTTTCAAATTCCGGCGCTGCTCAAACTTGACTGCCGAGAGTCCCAACGTCGAGTTGCACCGCGGGAGTGCAGCACTTGTGCTTTTGGCAGCGCGGCCAGCGGGTACACCCATCGGGGTCCCATGGAAACGTGCCAAGTCTTGTCAACCCACGCGGGGCTCGAGATTCAAACCGTAAACCCCCACACTGCACGCGCTAAGTTCCAACTGGTCACGCCGTCGCGTCCTCTCCCGGCGAGCGGGCACAGCTCAGAGTGTCCCGTGCATCGCAGGGGTGACGCGGATGTTAAAAATGCATTGCCGTGTTTTTTGCCGGAACACGATTTGCACTGCGGTCAAAGGAGAAATTCTCTGGGAATACTGCCCCGCGTTTTTTTTTTTCAAAAATACGGAAACACAAGCCGGACGCACTGTGCTTTCATAGAATGTAATCATAGAGGGTAATTGCACAATTGAACACATAATTGCGCAAGAGGAGAAGACTGTCAGTGTGGTGTCAGTGGGGTTTTAAATAAACTGCTGTTACTTGGCACTGTGAAATGGACGCTCTGTACCTCGACCAGCATGCATTACCCAATTACACACACAAAAAACCTGCATGTAGAAATTGCTTTGTTGAGCTGAGCCTGCATGATCTGCCTGTGAATCCTCCCTCAGAGCGTAATTCACCATATGACTGCCACATTGTTTATTTTACTCCCTGCAGCCACATTTACCTTCTTCCTGCTTCCTCAAGAGATCTCATTCCTCGTGTCGATGGTCAGTGGGAACCGGCCTGGATCTCTGCATCGCAATTCCCATGGCAGTCCCTCCTTAACCGAGCCAATCCTAAAGCAAAAGCTTGGCATCCTATCTTCGGGCATGGTTATCAGGCCCTGCCAGCCCGTGCCGCAACCTTTCGTCTGGGCCGACCCCATAACCTGGCGTGACATAATCGTGGGGTCAACGTGAACGTCACGTGATCGTCTTGCCAGGCCTGGTTACATTAAAAGCACATGGTGAAAAAAACACAAAAGCAGTGGACTCTTAACGTCACTCAGCCGAACCCAGGGGAAGTCAGCAATCAAAATAACAAGAGGCATTTTTTTCGAGTGCGGTGAAAAAAACAACCCCGCAATATTTCAAGAGCCGCAATGCACGTGAATAACGTCACGACGCGGCCGCATGCGACCCCGTCGCCGCTAGGTTGACGATCCCCGACTCAGCCGAACCTAACCGACGCCTGTATTCAACTTGGTGTAAAACCAACGTTTTAAGACTACTTTCAGACTGCCACCTTCGAGAATGGGGGAGTATCGGAGAGGGAGGCATGGGTTTAGGGGGGAATAGCAGCAGTGGGCGATGTGCCCACAGAGACTCGTGGCTCGTGGGAACGTGACCACGTGGAGTCGGACACTGGTGCCGATCCGGCGACAGAAATGGACTGTTCCTGGGCTGGCAAAACCTGGTTCTCTGTGGCTGCATTAAAATTGGAGTATAGCTGTGCCAAGCCAGCCAACGAGGTTTAGCGGTGAGGATTTATTTTAGCTTATAGCTCCACGTGCCCCGAATCCAGGTTTGGTGTTGTCTAATTCGCCCGACTGACAAACATTGCCCCATCTTAAAAGTGTACGAATTTGGCTTATGCCTGAAAAATTTGATTCCACATTGTAAGTAGGAGACAGGCTGGTGTGTATGATGTATGATAACAGCATACCTAAAACAAGATATATTACTTTTATTTAATTAAAACACCTTATTGTTGGAGTGCATTCCCAGAGAATACATGTTGCTTCAAATCAAACAATGCAAACAAGCAATGATTCTAAAATAAATCCTTGGTAGCAGTCATAGCAACACACCATTTGGTCAACTGAAAGAAAAAAAACAGGGATTCACATATTTGCAAGTGTGAAATCCAGTGAACCATTTGAAAGGGAACTCAACACCAACAAAAACATGAGCACATTTGTGTGCGAGTGAATGAGTGACTCAAACGTGAGGTGGGTAAATATCGCAAAATCTTGCCAGCCACTTTCAGGAGAGGTATAGACATTTCTCGACAAAAAAAAAGAAAAATACGTATACGCATGAGGTTGGCGAATGCAGTGAGCCCGACAGCCGTGCCGGGGGGGGGGGCGGGTATAGATTTAAGAGTGCCGTCCTCACTCATAAAGTAGACCGCGCTCCCTCAAAACGCCCGCCAACACGCGTGACCATTCAAGTCACGGGAAAAAGAAACTTAACGGAGCTGCGTAACTTGACCGCAGCAGCGAGGGTGCAGCACGCTCTTTGTGCTGTTGACATTTCCCGACATCTCTCTCCTCACGCTCTTTCTCTCTCACGCTCTTTCTCTCTCTCTCTCACACACACCTGTGCAGCTTTACAAAAAGAAAATCTGCATATTACCTGGTAATTACATTTTCCCGATAAATTTACAAAACATCCCCAAAGCACAATTCGACCTTTTAGGTACATATACATACATCAGTATCGTACACAACCTGCAGAACAGCACGAAAAAAGGAAGCCGTCGCCAGCAAAAAAATAACGTAAAACGATAAATAAATTTCCAAGCAGATTAATGTCATTGTGTACATGATATGCAAGAGCAGACAGTAAAAGGTTCTTTTTACCGAAAGTGAAGAATTTTACACAATACAGTCATCGTAAGGTTTGGATCGATGGCAATATAAATATGAAGAGAAATTACAAAATGAAAGACAATTGATCTTTCAAAAAATTGTACAAGGAGCGCGCTTGGTCCATGCCGCGTGAGAGGTCCTCTCAGGGGGCATAGAGGGATGTCTTTGACTTGGCAAGGCCCTGCTTCATGGCGGTGATGCCAGGTCACCGACCGCTGTCGTCAAGTGGAACTCCACAATCAGCGGTGGTAACGGGCGCTCACTGCAGCAACAATGACAGCAACACGAGCAGATACAGCCACCAATCAACCAACGGCAGGCAATAGCGCACAATTAGCTGAGAAGTGCTCTCCTCGCGACAATAAATCAACACATTTCGCCTGCCGTCAAGAAGGTCCATTGCCTGAAACATCACCTGTTATATCATTGATTTCTTTTTATGCTCTTGGTTCTTTCGGTAAAGTCACGTAGATAGAAAATAAAAATAAAAGAAAAGAAAACCAATAAAAAAATTTTAGTGCAGGACTTGAGACGGATGCACTGCGTTTTGTTATTTGAACTTCTACACCCACTGCCAATGCACTATCACGTGTTGTTGTTGTTCTTGAGTAACTACCTCGCCTCGTATACAGCAGTGTGTGGGTTCAATCCCAACCCTGACTCCTCTATATATGGTGTCGGCATTGTTCCCCGCAGTGGTCGCGTGGATTTTTCTCCGGGTCCTCCGGTTTTACTCTCCACATTCAGAGTCATGCGTTTAGAGTATTTGGCTGCTGTACATTTCCGCATGACAAGCCACTTTGTTGAGCTGTCATTTGTGGACAGGTCGCTTCTGAAAAATAGCTACATAGCTCAGTGGGCCTTACCTGGTAAAATAAAAAAAAAGAGTTCATAGTTTTAACATAGTGAGTGGGTACTGCAGGTGGATGCCATCTTTTACACAGGTCCGTGAGGTTCAGCACTGTGTTAAGGAGCACCGTTCTGGATAAATGATCAAACGATAGAATAAATGGACTTGCGGGCAACATGGTACAAGGGGGGAAAGAAGTGACAAGTAATTACGAACTCTCAATTCGCTTGGGACATTTCAACTGTGGGGGGCTGCTGAGAAAACATTCAGCTTTAAACTCAAAATGGAATGAGAAAAGAGTGCTTCCAAACGAATGCAATGCCGAAACAATCTATAAGGGGATTTCACCTCCCAGCTACCCATTAACTCCTCGTAAACAAGATCTCACACTGCAATACGCCCCCTGGCAAATGTACTAAACAGCTTGTCTTTCCCGCCAGTTTTATTAAATTACAATTGTGTTAACAGTGTCATGTCACGAGACAGATTATTCATTATAATCTCTCTAAGTGCAACTCTTCATGTGGAACAATAGCCCATGGAAGCCGATATCACAGAACTATCTCTGAAATTCCCTGACGTGATCTCTGGTCCACAAAATGAGGTGACACTTTCCCACCTGCTCTGCCGCTGATAGGTTTGCAGTTCACATGACACTGAAACAGATATTACACGTTCTCAGTTAATATAAATGCAAAAACTAGGAGCAGAACCAAACTTAATGTAATGGGTTTTTTTGGTGGAGTCATTGGTTACTGGGCCGAGAACCATCAGCTCACTACACTCGTGAACCCGCTTTAAATCACAGGCGGCTGCCTAGATTCGAATCTAGCAATGCCAGCTCAGTGCTCCGACCACTGAGTCACCCAGCCCCGTCTAAATTAAATACAACCTTAATGCCACTCTTGTTTAACATCAGACTACTTTGGGATATGGGGCAATGCAGAAGAGTGCCTTGTATAATTAATTAAGATATATTTTTAGTGTATTATTTTATATAATTGATAGAGCTGTGACACCTCTCCCACCAGTGATTCAATCTCATGATTGAAGGTCACGTTTCGATTCAAGAATTGATGGCAAAAATAATTGGTACATATAGCACGTCGAGTGGCTGCAAAGGTAACAAGAACCCATGACATACAACTTACACGAATCGAGGCATGTACCATGAGCTTAATAATTTATATTAATCATGGAATCGATTCATTGGTCCACCTATTTTAATTTGTGCATTTTTATTGGCGGTCAGTGTGAGTCTAACATTGATGCAAAATCACTATTTTCGCAATATTTTCGAAACGTTTAACCACCGTGTAGATTTTCACGGCTTTTTGCTGTAGAGCTCTCCGATGTGTCCGGCAGGACGTCCGACGTTTCGCTCCCACACGCCGGGAGCCCCGGACTGGCCGATTTCAAAATTCAGTCCCAGCAAGCGAAACGTGCGGTACTACCCCGAAAAACACGTCGGACAGCTTTGTCTCAACCACGAGGGGGAGAACGCACAGACGGACAAGCGACATACGGGACACAGCCGCACCCATCGTGCAGCGATGTTACATTGAGTAGACAGCCCAGAAGTGGGGCGCTGTCACGTGTTGTGAACGTTGGGGGGGGGGGGGGGGGGGGGGGCGGGGAATAGCCTCGGCTCGCCCGACACTCACTTGGATGGCGTGAGGGACCGTGGCACGTGTCGGGTATCAGCACGAGTACGTCCGCACGACCGAGGATGGGTCAGCCCGCTGCGTCCCCGCCGTTGCACCTGGGAATACAAGCACGTACACACACACACGCACGCACACACGTATATAAAAGATAAAAAACAAAGATCTCCCGTAAAGCCTTAACAGACTGTAGGGGCAAGTGCTGTAAGTGCTGTTAGCGAGCACCTATGAAGGGCACCTTTGTCTCCCCAGTGGCAATGTTTACACATCGCACCAGGTACTCGTTTGAGACTGAGTTGACCTAGGAGAGGTCCAGGACTGGTTCAGATAATCGTCACTGTGGTGTTGGCCGTGAGCGCGGATCAAACTCGGGCCGCTTTGGTTCATAGTGCAGTGCGCTAACCGCTACACCACCACACACACAGACACACACGCGCGAGCGCGCGTACATACACAGATTTCACATTTAGCCTGAGAGAGCATCGTGGCAACAAGCGCTGTGATTACCTCGTGCTACTAGAGGACGACGTAAGGGTGCCGAGGCACGTAATAAGCGGTGTGGTCAGTACAACAACCGCCATGTGCCACTAAGTGGTGCTGATGTCACCACGGCGCTCGTGCCAGGCTATGTGCACTTTAAGGCCACGTGATGTGTCGAACGCCCGCTGGCATGAAGTCACAGGACAAACTCAGGTGCCGTGAGTTGGCTGACTGAGATGACTGGCAGATGCACCGCCTCTCAGTAGGGTACGATCTTTACTCCACCGGGTTCTGCGGGCCCAACAATCCACCTCATTCCTGCAGGAGCCAATCTCATCCCTCCATCTCGGTGGTGGACATCCTTCCCGGGAATGTTCCCATCCATGGCTGCAATTCTGTTGTTAGTCTCGACCAATGGGCATCATTGCGACCGCTCCCCATACACACGTATGCAAGCATACACAGACAAAGAGACACTCATGTACACACAAATTAAACCACCCATGTAACCTTGTGGACTATATAGGCTAGAATTGGACACACAGCGAGTCCTCGTTCAACAAAGTAGATGCATTCCTGAAGAGTGGCAGCGTGAAACGAAAAACGCGTTAAGCGAAAACTATTTCCCTACAAATAATAACGCTAAAGTTTGGCGAGATACGATGTAAGCACACACAGTAAGATGGCGGGACTAAAAACTGACGGGATTGCAATTTATCATTCAACGTACTGTATCACATCGCTCATCTGCGCAGCTCAAGAAAGTAGTCTGTCATCGACCGTTCAGAAACCGTGTTATAACGGGCGTGTTCAATCATGGAGGAACCGCGTTATAGTGAAAACGAGTTGTAGTGTGAATACCACGAATTAAGCGAGGATTTACCATATACAGACAAAAATCTCTCAGCCTTAATAGAATGTTAGTGAGCACTTATAAAGGCCGGCACGGCACACGAGGGGGTGGGTGGTCAGCACCATGCCTGGCCATCTTTGTCTCCCCAGTGGCGATGTTTACACGCCGCACCAGGTACTCACTCGAGTCGATCTACATATATATAAAACAGACACGCACACTCAAGACATAAATGCACACACACAAACCCATAAGCAGACAAGCATAATAAACCAAATAGTTTTCAAGACAAAACCACACTCACACGCATTCAACTATAACCATGGCAGGTCCGTAGCACAAACTTTAAGAGCACGGAAAATAATTTACACGTCCAAAAACTATGAACGCAGGCGCACAGGCACGCGCACGTGCCCATAGACACACAACACAGAACACAAGCACACAGAGATCTCTGTTAGTATGCGCTGCCACACTGCCATTAATCATGCTGGCAAAAGCCACCGTGGTACGGAAACAATGCACCAAACAACATAAGCATATGTTAGGCAGCTTGACAATTAATGGAGCGCAGTACATCTGCATCCCACGCATGCTGAAAGGTCACCTGCCTCATCAATAAACGTCTGTCGGCAGGCGACTGCCGTTAAGATACACAGAAATAGTTTCAGCTCCTTCGTACTTTACCCCCTGCTGTAACGACATATTTTGGCATCGCGTAATTTCGCCGGTGTTTTGCGGCAGTGTTTTCCGCTGCGTCTTCCGCTGCGTCGGAGAAACATCTTTGCCAGGGGTCTATTTAAACAATTTTTTTTTTATTTTACCCGGCAAAGCCCACTGAGCTATATAGCTCTTTTTCAGAAGCGACCTGGCCACAAATGATAGCTCAACGAAGTGGTTTATCACGTGGAAATTTATAGCAGCCAAATACTCTAAATGTGTTTCTAAATTTGCAGGGAAAAACTGGACGACGCGGAGAAAATACCACATCACCACGTAGAGAGAAACATGGAAACTCCAAATACACAGGCGTCAGTGTTGGGATCAAACCCACGACCTCCTGCATACCAGGCAAGGTAGTCAACATCTTGCCAACACGGCGCCCCTCTGCTTTGCGGCATAAGTTTCCACGTTTTAGCGACAAACCCGGCACTCTGGTGTACCTTGAGAAGTTATTCTTGTGAACAGAAACTCCTGAGGCTGTTGAAATCAATATTTAAATATGTTGCACTTACGCGATGTTTCTTTTGCAGCACAACTGTTATCTCAGAGGGACGTAGGGACGTGTGTACTTGAAGTTCCGTGCAGAAAGTTTTGGAAAGAATCAATGAATTATACGTGCATTGGTCATCGATGTAATACATAAATACAGGATTGGGTTATGTATAATTCCAGTTGCGTCAAAAATCTCCACAAACGATGGAAATGTTGATCTAAATTTGCATTTTTATAGAATGAGCATATAAAAATACAGCATTTCATAAATAAACCCACAAGTTTGTTCTCAGCAATATGTGATGAGCACTTAACATCATTCTAAGAGTAAAATGTTAAAAGACCATATTTGGTATCTTCTCCAAACACTTGTGCAACTTAAAACGAAGTCTGCGAAAGATTACCAATTTTACTATTTAAAAAGAGAACTGGCATTTATTTACATTTGAAAAGCGGCCCTATTTTTTATTTTCAATAAATTAGCTTCTATAAAATAGTGCTCATATGTATAAACTGCACTGGTACACAGACAAAGATCCCCCAAATAGCTGTTAACAGACGACTGAGGCAAGTGGTCTTAGCGAACTCCCGTTAAGGATGACAGGAGCACAAGCGGTGCTTGTTTGGCCAGCACTACACAGAGCACGCTTTTGTGCACTCTGTACACACATATTTCAAGTCAAGTTGACCTAGATGAGAGCTAGGGTGGATTCCGATTTCACTTGCCACGCAGCAGAGTCAGGTCACATGGTTTGTAAGGCAGTGTGCATAACCGCCACACACTACCGCTCCGCACGGGCAACATAACCAGAGATCAGGCATCAATGCCGTTTGTTCTGAAGCGATCACATTAGTGCTCCACTTTAGGCCAATTAAACACAAAGTGATGATTTCCAGAAAGCCAGCATGATCCATGAACGCATCCGTGCACTCGACGTAGTCCGTGTGTGGGATCTGCAAGCAGCCCTGGGGCTCAGAGTCATTAAGAGCTGCGCTGCTACCGACAGTGGGGATTGGACAACGCGTTGCTTCTGCTCGCGTGCAGATTTCGAGGAACGTATGTAATGGCATTTTTTTTTTTTAGCGGCACAGCAATGCACGCTGGCTTTACCTACAACATTAATGAGCTGGTATACGTTATTGAGATTAGAGGAAAACAAAATCCAATTTGTCGGATCATTTAACATTTTGAATGCCTTTTCAATGGCTTTGCTGGGTGATACTTATTTTTTTTTTAAATTAAGTTTAAAACCCAGTAAATCAATTATTCGAAATTTCCCATAAACCTAGCCTATCATCTCTGTATTCAATACAATTCTCACTACTTCGGAGGAAGTCAATGAGACTGGCTCCAACCATATAGGAATGTGGAATTTCAAATATTGGCTTAGGTTTGTTAACGAAGAGGAGTACAACCCCGAGCGTATTTGAGTCAGGAGACACTGACTTCCTCTACTGTAAATAAATAACATCAATAAATACATTATTTTTGGGACAGGTCACAATGACATCTAGTGGTCGAACTCGACAATCAATTACAGTACGAATATTGGCAGAAAAAAACCTGCGCATTGCATTCTTAATGAGTTTAGATGCTTATCGACTCATTAAAAATGCCCTCCCACAAACACGGATACAGTACGCGTAATTAAAATAATGCGTTGTGTTCAGATGAAATTAACAACGCTAAAGTACACGTTGTACGATAGCTACTTCCTTGCGCCGAGCACCTGGGACATTTATTCTAGTGACAGCACTTCGAAGCGCTTATGTACTCCGCTGAACAGCAGACTCACACGAAACCCTGTCTGACTTTCAAGAGACAAATGCAAAGCCCCCCCCCCTGTTGACACTAAAACAGAAGGCTGTCGACACTCTCTGTAGTTTTGAGTGATTCAAGTGCAAAGCAGTGGATCGTATGAGGTTGGTACGCTCGCACACACGACGAGAGCAAGGGGGTGTGGGTAAGTGTTGGTGCAGTGGTAAGTTCCACTGCCATATCAACACGGTGACCTGAGTTGGATTCCTGACCGTGGCTGGCATTAGCTGCGAGGTATATTTAAACCGGTTCTGCCCAACCCTCCACACAAACCAAAGTGGTGAAGTATGGTCAAACAACCAATGTAACGGACACTGCATGGAGGGTCTTTATCCAGCCCGTTGATTGACAAGGGGCTATAAATAATGTTTTTTTATATTATTATTTACAGAACAAACACAAAGATGGCCCTTACAGACAGCCAGGCCTACGGCTGTTATCGAGCCCCTATTTAACGCCAAGGCATGCCACACGAGGATGTGGTGTGCTCAGCCGCCTTTGTTATCCCCAGTACCGATGTTGATGTTGACTGCACTATATTGGATTTTAGGCTTAATGCACACAGGCAAGGCCCATACCATGTTCAGATTTCCACTGCCACTGGTGTGGAAACAGGCCTTGGTATCCAGGAGTCGAGCCGGAGTCAACACACGATTGGAGCACTGCACACGAACCACCACGTGCCCAATACACGTGTGCACAATGTGCACGCGTGTATTGAGCACGATGTGCACACGTGCAGCACCAGGGGTGGCGATATGTTATCTCTCTCGCCTGGTATTCAGGAGGTCGCGGGTTCAATCCCAACCCGGACACCTTAACATTTGGAGTTTGCATTTTCTCCCCGTGGCCGCGTGGATTTTTCTCCGGGTTCTCCGGCTTTTCCCCTCCGCATTTTGAAACATGCGTTAAGGGTATTTGGCTGCTTTCAATTTACACATGATCAGCCACTTCGTTGAGCGATCATTTTTGGCCAGGTCGTTTCTGAAAAGATCTATATTGCTCAGTAGGCCTTCCTTGGTGAAATAAAAACTAGTTTATAATAGTGTATAAAGACAACGATCCTGAGATAGCCTTAGTGGACTTTTGGGGCAAGTCCTGATAAAATAACCGATAACACTTGAGGGGGTGGTGCGTCTAGCACCATTTCCAGCCGCCTTCATCGACCCAGTGTTGATGTTTACACATTCGGTACTCATTTAAGGCTGAGTCAACCGAGAGGAGGTGCAATATTAATTCAGATATTTCCCATTGATTTTATCTGTTGCTGGAAATTTTACCCATTTAGCTCCGCACAGACATACACATTCATGTAAAAATAACCAAAGAATCCGTGTATAGCATTAACAAACTTTTGGGGCAAGTGCCATTAGCGAACACCCATAAAAGGCTGGCACGGTACACGACGGGATGGGTGGCCAGGACAACACCTGACCACCTTTGTCTCCCCAGTGATGGTGTTTATCCACTGCACCAGGTCCTCATTTGAGGCCGAGTGCACCTAGCGGAGGCCCAGTTTAGATGAATGTCACTGGTTTTGACTACAAGCAGGGATCAGACTCGGGCCGCCGGGTTTCTCATGCTGTGTGCGCTAACCGCTACACTACCGCTCAGGTACACACGTGCGTCATTCATACAGGCCATTCGTTTTTGAATTGTGAATGAATATCTGTCGCCATTCTACAGGGGGCATGTTTGCACTTCAAAGCTGCACTTGGATGGAGCAGAAAATCACAGCGCAGACGCGGAGGCAGTGAGTGGGGAGAGGAGGTTGCCGTGGTGAGGGGGGGATGAGAGGAGAGAGTGCTACTTTGAAACGCTCTCTCTCCTGCATGCCCCTCCATGCCTTTGAGCGTTAGCAGAAAGCTGACAGAAGTATGATAACATGTATTTTGAATTTGTTTTGCCTATTTCTTTCATTCCTTGTTGGGTTTTTTTTATTTAAAGCTTTCGTGACTGCAGTAATTCATATTCTTAGCTCTTTCGGTAAAGTCTCACGTTGAAGGGAAACAATAAAATAATAAGATGGATTCTGGCTTAGCAATCATTGTAAGGATTTGATAAACGATTTCAGGTCTTAATTGATTGTTCACGCTTACGGTAGCTTTCAGACAGCATACATTAATTTTTCGTCTCCCCCCTCCTCTTTTCAGAACATAGATGGACTCGTCCTTCTAAACAAACTGCCAAATCGCTGCCCGTGGTGCTAACGTTTTGTAAAAATAAATAAGCACAAACACCGTTTAAAAATAAATAAATGCAAACCGCCACTTCTTTCAAATGTTTCTTGCCGTTGGTTTTCACACCTGATGATGACCGTTTGTGTTATGGTCGAAACGTCGTGAGAATTTTTATTGTTTCATATATATTTTATTATTTTATTGTTTCCCTTCAACGTGAGTTTACCGAAAGAGCTAAGAATATGAACATTCCTTGTTGTTGTTGTTATTTTTGCTAAACCATACCAGAAGACAAGAGGTTACGTACGGACTAACTAACGCAATCATCCAGCATGCCCGATTTGCCGTGTTAGAATGGACTGCTGAATGGTGTGTCGGAAGATTGCGCCAACGCATCTCCGTCACCTCACCGAGTGCCCTTTTAGGTACCAAGTAACAATGGGACGATTGCGGTCGCATGCTCGAGCTTCTTTTCAGGATGCAGGTTCGACCGCTCGCATCAACAAAGGCGCTGAAGGCGTCCGCGCGCCAAATAATCTTTGCCCGCGGAGCCCTCCTCTAAAGCGTTATCCGAGACCTGCCGTGACTTAGAGAAGGGGGGCTCTTGTGTGCAGACCCGGATCACCGCTTCATTATCCCCTAATCAGCTTGGAGCAGCAGTGCCTACGCAAACACAGCGGGGGGGGGGGGGGGGCTACGGGCGGCACACATGGGCCCGCGGAGGCGCTGTGCATGGCAGATTGAGTGCGTTTGTCTCACAACGAGCCATGCAAAATTAGCTCCCCAAACTTTTTACAGCTGCCATTAATCCGCACGGTGTTACGAGCAATGGATATAGGAAGTGATGAGGCCGACCCCGATTTCTTACTGTATATTGTTTTTATATGTGTATATAGTGCACGGTTAAATTATGATCATTAATGCTGTACATATAGTGAAGGAACTGATCCTTCATACATGCTTTCTCAGGGGACAGGTGCTGTTTGAAAATTTCTATTGCAGCGTCGGATCTAATAAAATGTATTAATATATTATAAGATAACGTAACAATAAGGCCTCGCCGAGTCTCAAGACTCTTATTTCAGAGGTACCTGTTTAGCCACTGCCATTATGCAGTGTCTCTCATGTTACGGGAAAAACCCGCAAAACACACATTGAGCAAATCAAAAGTCCAAGGTGTCAACTGACGTGTTTACACAACCTATTTGCTGCTCTGCAATCTCCTGGCCTCACAAATCGATGAGATTCACCTCCAATCCTTGCCTCCAAAGAGCTACTTCACAGAAGTTGCGTCCACTATATCAATCTAATCTACTCGCAAACCAGGCCTCTGCGATCAATGCAACCCAGCAGTCGGTTTTTTGCCTTAACAAAGCAAATATCTCACAAAGCAGGTGGATCACATGCGGTGCATTGTCCACACCTGCTCACAGCGGTACACTTGAGCCCCGCGGGAAGGCTGTCTTGCCCAGGGCCGGATTAAATTTGATGGGGGCAGTCAAAGAGTTTTGAGGGCTTGTCTTCGTGAATTCAATTCGCTCCCCTTTAACGGTTTTACCTCCACCCATTCCCGATGCAAAACACACACTGTTGTTATTTAGAAACTCAACGCATTCATCGATGACTGTGCCTTAAATGGAAAATACTGACGTAATCGGTGACGCTTTGGCTAATGGCTCTCTTAAAAAGAGCATTGTTAATTTTTTATATTGTTTCAGTTATAGTTTTTAAATGTGATACTCACTGTAATGCTCAGTGAAAAATTAAAAGGAATATAAATACGTAAATTTTAGCCCATAATAGGTCGTATATATAGTGATGCTCCAGCTATAATTACGAAATAACTTATAGGATGTATAGGAGTACTGCAGTCTCGAATTTCAGTCATGAGAACGCTGTATATATAAAAGTAGAGACTCATCAAACTAAACTAAAATATTTTAGTTAGCAGGTAAAGCGCACTGAGCTATTTGCTGTTATACGTAGGCCACCTGGCCACACGTGATAGCTCATTGAATTTATAGGAGCCGCCACCTACTCTAAATGCACGATTCCAAATATGGAGGACAAGCCCCGAAAGGACCTGGAGAAAAATCCACACAACCTCCACGTGGAGAGAGAGAGAAAGAGAACGCGAAAACTCCAAATATACACGCGTCAGGGTCGGGATCGAACACACCGACCTTCTGCTAACTGGCCGAGGGAGATAACTCCTTGAGGATCCTAATGCCCCCCATTGTAGGGTTATATAATAATGCTGCAGGTTCGACCCCATGAACTCCGGTCGGACCGTCTGGATGCGCTTTCTTGGGCAGGGCGGTGGGGGACGCTGCGGCCGTGGCGTTGACGCGAAAGCCAGCGGGCAGCGTCTCGGCCGAGCCGGGCACCATCACGCCCACGCCCGACGCCTCCTGTGGGTGGAAGCGCTTCCGCCAGGACGGGCCGCGCTGGAAATTCTTGTCTTCGTTCTGAAAGAGGGCGTCCTTTGGGAGAAGAGGACAAAAAAAAACACACACACAAAGGGGAAAACCGTCTTGAAGCTGCCGAAGTGCACACGGGAAGGGCTGTCATGACAGCAAACAAAACTTTTTGTGTTGCATTAAAGACCGCGCAATTAGGCATTTTTTTTCATCTCGAATGAATTTTTTTTATTGCTTTTTGTGTTTGGGTTGTTGTCCTTCCCCCCACACCTCTAATTAGCACAGTTGGCTACGTACGGTGCGAAATAAGTTCAACTACATACATACGTGCGTACAGGACAGCACTGCTCGAGCACAAAACTTATTTTCTACCGTGCGACCGAGCCAGGGCCGTGCCAAGCCGGCGGTGCGGCTCCGGAGGCAACCGGCACTTTTTCCACCGTAGAACCCGAGCCGTCCCACGAACGTCGCGCGCACGGTGAACACGTGCGTGTGACGTCAGCGTCACGCGTTCAAGTGCAACTGACTGACGCAAAATTCGACGAACTCGTTTAAACCCACGCCTCGCTCTACTTGCCCCCAAGCCAGATGGCAGACGTCTTGTCAGGATGGCGTTTCATGTTTTGGTTTGGGCACGGCTCGGCAAATAGCCAGTGGGAAACAATGTTCCTGTCCTGTGGGGACTCTGCGTTGCCACGGGTGAGATGTGGTCGTGCAAAAGGGGCCATAAGATGATTCATTGCTGCCAGTGCCAATACGTATTGACTGAATAAAGACAAATATGCTGCCCATGGCATTGCGTCCTCTTCATGTGTTGAGAAAAGTGATGAATGCAGGTTTTAGGTGCTTATAAGGTTTGTTATTTTATAAAATGGAAATGGAGAGGGTTTTAAACAAAGTATCATCCTGCTTTCAAATGAAGTTTAATAATAATGAAACAATAATAATTTACAGCCCTTCATCAATCGACTACTGAATGCTGTGTTGGTGGTGGGAGTTATTTAACCATACTTGACCTCACTGGTTAGTACGGGTTGGTAAGGGGTGGGCCTCGAACTGGTTCCGATACAACTTGCCACTGATGTTCGCTGTGGATCCAGACTTGAACTCGGATCACCAGGCTCACTACAACACTGTTTCCCACAAAGTTTGACATGTGGTTCTTGATCGTGTTTCACAGTTTCCCCACGTTTTATACGTCCGCTTTCCCAATTATGAACCGATTTCCCCATGCTTCCAACAAAAACATTGACGATAAAAAGGCAGCTATGTGATCACACGATCTTAACCACTGAGTTTATTGTTTCTATCAAGACACGTTGGCGTGATTTTTAATGAAAAATACGTTTTGAGATGTTCATGACCTTGTTTTTTATTTTATTTTAAACAGGCCCAAAGGCCCAAAATGTCAAGTGGCCAGCAACAAGCAGCACTTGTTAAGTTGTAAAAGTTAAGAGTGAACGAGGTTCTTGAATTGAGAAAGGTGATTAAAAGAGCTTGGCAAAAGAGACGGAGGAGGCAAAATAGTCAGTGACTGGGTTCCAGAGTCCTCTAAACGTTTGGAGGAGTAAACCAGTGAAGTTCATGAGAACAGTAGCCATGGTAGTTGCGATACAAGAGTGACAAGTTGACATTTCCCATGAGTTCCAATAAGGCACTAGTAGGTGGCCGTTTGGTGGCACGTTGATGGCGGCTGGCCCAGCAGTGACGGAACCATCGAGACAGACATCAGCTGTGATCAGTGGCAGTCGCATCTCCCGGCGGAAGAAACTAAAACACGATGAGCGATTCCTCGAGATGCCTCCTCTTACCTCTTCCAGCCGACGCTCGGTGCCCAGGGCCAGGAGATTATTAAACTCCCTCTCCAGCACTTGCCGAGCCTGCAGCACAAACGGACGAGTGTCACCCGCGTATCCCACACAGCGTCCGTGCGCGTGTAACCGCCACGCAGCGGCATCGATACCGCCGGCTATTCACCACTAAGCGGTGGTGATGTCACGCTGGTGCCTGTGTCTGGGGTGCACTTTGAGAGCACGCAGGGACAGCGGCAGGCGTCTTGTTGTGTTCAAAATGTTCCAGGGTTGGAAAACAGTGGTGCTGATGCTGGTATCGCTGAAAGGATTTGAGTGTGCACCAGAGTTGTGTTTGTTTTTCCGTGAAGGTAATAGAACCCTTATCTGAAACATGCTCGTTCATCCACTGTGTGTGTGTATATATCTATGGCATATAATAACTAACCCCTTGCGATTGAATGAATTTTCACGGTTCAAGAAGACATGTTTTTCTTTTCAGCATTTTGGTAAATGTTACGCCCTCTAGTGGCTACATGGGCTATGTGCACAAATTACATAAAGTTACATCCCTTCATTGCCTGTTGCTCAATAAAGGCCTCCTTATGACTTTGGATCATGGGGGCTGATTGACCATACTTCACCATGCTGGTGAGTGTGGCTTGTTGAAAAGGATGAGCCCAGGACCAGATGAGACATTACTCAGCACTGGCACTAACCATTGGCTTACTCGTGGCTGGGAATGGAATTCAGGACGCCAGCTTAATATCATGAGCATTAAATAAATTTCAAAAGATTAATTGTTGCATCCTTACATGCCCAATATATATATAACCAATTATTGTAACTCGGAGTGCAGACACACCAGGTGAAGAGACACTCATTCTGTGAACTCCCTCCCGACTGCAGGGCATCGCAACAAAAAAAAATACATCGAGTGTCTCTTCAGGAGTGCTTTCTCACCACAGCTATAACATGAAGCCATTTAATGTTGTGTGGTCTATTGAAAATCATCGTCAAATACCAATCTGAAATAGGCTTGGCTGAATTCAACGAATTCAACATTTATACGGTACTTTTTAGAAGCAGCTGTTGGTAAATACAATATACCAAGGCCAGTAGTAACCTGTCTGCTTGAGACCCCGGAGTAATCTTAGGTGGGAATTAGCCATTCAAATGCAACTCTGTGCTGAGCGGTACTCGGTAGCTCTGTACACTGACATGGTCGATACGAGGTAAAAAAAAAATCCACCGAGCTCCAAACACAGACATCAGTGACTATATATAAAACAATAAGTATTTTTTTGTATTATATGTATATAAATATGGGTTTTTTTTGTTTAAGGTCACAGAAGCAGCTACTCCAAAAACTACCACGCTGAGGAGTTAAAGATGCCCACAGTAGTGAGTGGCAAAAGCTCGCGGTCAACACGCAGCCCAACAACTCCGGATGGCTGGATTCCTACTCCAGCCCCAACAAAGATTCCGAAATCTGCAAAACGAGCGGCATGTGAAAACCTCCTGTGCCGAATCGATCCCGGGGCCGCGAGGCCGGGCCGCCGGATGCGTCCGCGGCTCCTGCACCTGCGTGTTCTGCGTGGGGATCTGCAGCGAGAGGGCCAGGGCGATGTGGTCGAAAGTGTCGTCGAGGGCGATGAGCGCCCCGTGCACGCCGCTCTCCACCAGGCTGTTGGCGTAGTCGCGCAGGCCGATCGACTGGATCCAACGGATGACGCGCTCGTTGCTCCACACCATCACGTCTGAAACGCACCACGTCACGACCACCACCCCAGCATCCACGTGACGCTGGTGCCGCGCCGCCGCCGCCGCCGCGTCTTTTTCGTTCCAACCAGAGGCAACGACGACGTCCCCATGCTCGAGCCCAATGTGTGGGCTGTTCTCGGTCAACCGATCTTAAGTTGGTGTTGGATCACCCACATTCCTATGTTTGGGGACGCGACTATCATCACGACAACCGCTGTTGATTTGTTGATGATTATATTCTTGGTTCTTTCGGTAAAATTCACGTAAATAGGAAATAATAAAATCAAATAAAAGCAAAAAAACCACGACGTTTCGATCGCAACACAAGCGGTCTTTCATCATCTCCACCTGATGAAGACAACATTTACAATCTGAGTTCGACGTTTCGCCAGTAATTACAACTAGCTTCATCAGGCGACGGCCAGATTTGTGGAGACGTCCACCTGTTTCATTCCTCATATAGAGGCGTAGATGTGTTGACCACACCTTCTGCGCTCTTACACAATGGGGGGGGGGGGGGAGAATTACTGAGGCAACATCATTATGCATGCGCACTATGCAAGCCCTTTGAACTTGTACTTCCTGTCTATTGTGTTTATTAAAATAGCCCTCCCAACGGTAATCCCTATTGAAGTACGCTGCCCTTTGTAGGCATGCATTTAAATAATAGCTATCCGAACGGTTAAAGTTATTTTGATTTCGTTCAATTTCGATAGATTCTCTAATTAGCATTGGCCAGAAGTTAGCTAGTTTTGCACAAAACTTAAACATTATCAAAATCAATTGAGTGTCCTTGTTGGCACGCGTGTTCTGCTACTGCTGACAGTTGCATTTGGGAGAATTGAATATTTCTCTGATGTTCTTTTAGTCTCGTGCTGATCATTCGTCCTGTTTGCCCAACATAACATTTACCACACGTGCACTTAATGCTGTACAGACCTTCTGTTGATAGCTTCTTTAAATACATATTTTGTACCAGATATAAAAATCTGTATTTTATGTACCGTGCCAAATCTGACTCGGATGTTTTGTTTTTACAAACATCTGGCTAGTTTATCAGTTACTCCCGCCATGTATGGTATTTTGATCGTTTTAATTACTTGGGAAGTTTCAATGCTCTTGTAATTTGATTTGGTTTTGGTATTCAATGCCCTGTTGGTTTGTGCATCATTGTAACCGTTCATTTGCAGCGCTTTACATTGTATTGTGTGCTAGACGTGTCAATTGCATTTATAATTAAATTCTAATATTCAAATTACTGGCATATAGAAAATCAGGGGCGGAGCCAGGGGGGGTGACAGGGGTGACATTCTGCGTATAAGTGTACGACACTCGGTCTGGCGGACTCCGTGCAACTGCATTGTCAGAGTGTGTCGCCAACCGATGGCGTCTAGTCCAACAGCCTGACTCTCTAAATCATTCTTGAAATTAACATTTGTTGAATGTCACCCCGGGTTGAAAATCCTGGCTCCGCCCCTGTAGAAAACCACGGCACATTCATGAATTTTTTTTGATCTGATTAAAAAAAATAAAAAGGGCACGTGATGAATTGACACACGTCCACAACAGAAGCAAGCGGCGTAACAGTGAAACGCACGCACACACGGTGCCTCCAAACACAAACGGCTTGTGAACTTATTAGGGAGATCTCAATTAGCATTTGTTTTCTCCATCTAAAAGCTCGGGAGCCCCGTGTGCATGTGCTCGAGCGCAGCTTTTGCTGCTCTCTACACGAGGCCACTTGCTTTTGTGATCTTCAATGGCAATGTCCCCGGCTTTGGTAAGAAAAGCAACGCAGCAGTAATAAGCGTAGCCAACAACACGGTCGCTTTCATCTCAACAGCATCTCCAGCCCCTGTGCCGGCGCATGTACAAATTTTGCTCCCCGCACTTAAAAAAAAAACAGTGCTCATTTCCTTTGATGACACACTCGGAAGCTTTGATGCTGGGCTGGGTTAGGTGCAGCCGTACAGCTGCGGGGCGTGGATAGGCGCTCGCTGGGTAAGGTGAAAGCAACACGGCCGTAAACTTTGACGTGTTTGCTGTCAGGACGATGTCACCTCTCTCCATCTCTTAAAAAAAACTTTCATCACAGGCGATGGAAGGGTGGCACACTTGTGTTCTCAGATGCGAAATGGATGCACCACGACCCGGCCCGTGACCTGAATTTGTAAACTTACATCGCCCACGCAGTAAAAATAATCTTCCATAGTTTTTTTCATCATCACAAAAAAAAAACCTCCATCCTTTTCCCTTCCCCCGTACACAACTTGCGCAAAAACATACAAACTCTAAACCCAGTCATTTGAACGCAAGGGACGACGAACTTAACGTTGAGGGAAGTGCAAATTAAAGGCCCAGCCAGACTTGCGGGGAAAGAGAAAAATCTATCGCAAGATCTCGGTAGCATATTTTTCAAACGTGACGAATTATGATAGAACGATGATGTTAATAATTAATGATACTGCTCATAACAGTGAAAAGATGAGTGCGTGTAGTTCCACTGGGGAAGAGAGTTTGTCGTGGTCTTGTGCACAGACTGGATGGCACCTGAATCTGTCTTTAAAAATCAGGTCAAGGGGTTTGAGTTGGCACGCAAAACGAGCTGCATGAATCACTCCACAGAGCTGTATGCTGTTTTAGATGGGAAGACAAGTGAGTAGTCGGGTAGTCTAAACATCAACACCGAAATAAGCTGAAGCTGGGGCATCAATCCATTCTACCATTCTTCACACCGAACTTAGCGAAACGCTCGATTAATTGCCAGTCAATACAGACCATTGCACATGTTTAGGGTCCACGTGCGTGAGGCAAGCTAACTTACCCTGGTGGCTTATGATGGCATGGGGTAGTCGTGAACACTCAATATGCACTGCCGAGCAAACCTGAAATTCTATCGCGACCATTGGTGGGGAGACGTGAATGTGATCATTGTCACGTAGATAAAAGGGAAATGTACACGGCTCATCAACCCGTGAAAAATGACGTGCATCTCGTTAACTTAGAAAATGTCTGCAAAAAAAGAGAGAGAATCAGGCAAATTGCTTTGGACAAACGACGCGTGATGAGCAAGGAAGGCTCACCTTTCATCTCGTGTTGACTCTCTTCCCGTTTCCTTTCCAGATCTTTCCGATCGTAATTTAATCTCTTGAGGCACATGATGCCGTACTGCAGACTTGTCCTGTATGGGGAGCGTGCGTGCGGTTGTGTGTGTGTGCGCATACACACGCATGTGAGCATATGTACACAAAGTTTATGAAATCCAGTTTCGTTATTCTTTTTTGTTTGTTTTTTGGTGAAGTTTAAGACGTGGGTGGTCAGTGGTCATCTACACTTGCAGCCCTGAGCCAAAGCGGACATTGCCCAATACTACAGCAAGGACCACACTTCTTATACTATGCCCATATACATTACGGAGTGATATATTTAATTTCAACCGTCAATAAAAATCCATAAATGAATAAGTTGAATATACTATGAAATATTTAGCTTTTAAGACACGTGCGTTTCATTTAGGGCATGACATGAACGTGGTAAAATAGGTCACATTAACAGAATATTACGTGTTATTTTTTACGTATTAATCAAAGGTGCCTGACAAGGGCAAGTCTAAAGCCAGCCCAATGCATGGGGATAAAAATACTGCCTGGATCACAGCTTAACCAATGCACCGTCTCATCTTTGTCCTTGTGTAATGACAGTAGAGTCAACCTAGGGTGTGAGTTGACTAGTGGCCACAGGAGGTAATGACAGGGGAGGCAGCCTGCAGTACGAATGGACTGGTGGCTATGGGAATGATCGAGAATAGAAGCGTGGCGAGGTGACGGAAGAAGATGGTGGAGTCTGCTGGTAGAGTGAGCGGTCTAGAACCAGCAAGAAGGTTCGGGAATGGGGGCGTGGCCTCGGACCGTATATTAGGGAGATGCGCGGGAGACTCGGGGCTGTAGCAGTGGAGTCTCCGCCTGTTCGAGTGCGAGCACGTGGCTCCTTAAATAAACCATCTCAAGACAAGTGCGTCCAAGTCGTCATTACACTTGCACTACTGCCGTTATATTGCGCTTTGTTCTTCAGCAATCGTGCCTAGAATGAAATAAATAAGCAGACAATACGCCTCCTCCCAAATCTGTCCCTCCAAATACATTAAAAAAATTTTTTTTACACAACCCATATCAGCCCGCATGACCTTTTGGGAGTTATATTTTTTCAATAGCATTGCTATGCTTAAACCAACACTGGTAAACTGTTGGATGTTTATTGGCAAGGATCCTATCTATTAAATACAAGTAATTGTCTTGTGCTTTTTAAAAATATTTATACACTTACAAATAATAAATGTTCAAATATGAATATACGTTTTAATAGAATTACATTGTACTATAGCCTGAACAAATGTATATAATCATTATAAAGTGATGCACTAAAGGTGGAGGAAAATCTTAATTGCCCTATGCACATGAATATTGCACATGCCTAGAAGCTGTCGTTTGGTAAATTATTAATTTTCCCCAGCATAAACTGCATTCAAATGTGCATTTAAAATCAAGGCCATATGCACCCACACACAGTAACACACACAAATAAAATTAATATATATTTTAATAATCACACCCGGCAATGATGTACAGCGTGCTGAAATAATTTAAAAACGTTTCCGCCAAAAAATGTCCAACTCGGATATTTTCTTGCGTAGAGTAAACAGATATAATATGCATCTCCCTTCCGGAGATGTGCACAGGCCCTATTGCTTTGGTCTGAACGTAACCACTTTTGTTAAGGCAAAAAAAGTAACATTTTATTGAAAATCAACGACAATCGCCTGGCAGCTCCTCGTAATGGAAGAGAGAGATCATTTTTTTCGTGGTATTGTTACACTTGTTTACCCCAGAAAAGCCTCACCGAGTCTCAAGACTTTTCCTGGAGGGTCTTACCAAGTTTTCACATTGGCGGTGATGTTGCTGCTATGTGTAGACCCAATTGAGTCATTTGAAGGTATATTTTTAGCAGTACGACGTTTGGCCAATATGAGTTATTATATTTTATTTTATTTGGCGCGACTCCCATTATAAATTTCCACCCGATGATAAGCCACTTCATTGAGCGACTAATTGTGGCCAGGTCGCTTCTGAAAATAAATAGCTAAGTGGGCTTTACCTACTAAAATAGAATAGTTTTAGTTTATTTGTTTTTTAGTGATTTGCTTACCTTCCTATACTTTGCACTCCTATCGTGTGTTTTTACTATATGTTGTAACTTTCTGACCCGCCTCTGCTGGACATCTGTGAAAAAGAGTTTTACAAGTTCATCGGATTTCTCCGATGAGAGGATAAATAAAGATTCTGATTCTGAAAACCGAAAACTTGGAGGAAACTCATGCGGAACAAGAGGAGAACAATCAAACTCCACTTAGAAAGGCGCCCTAGTCGGGAGCCGAACTCAGGGCCTTGTTGCTGTGAGGTACAAGTATTACCACTGTGCCACTCAATGCTGCAAGTTGTGTGCGATTTTAGCAGGCTTTTAATTCCATTTACGTGGGACAAACGGTTTGTCTTGCATGTCCTGATTTTTTTTAAACATATATGGTACGTAACATGTGTAATGTTTTCCAAATTTCAAATTCATAAATTCTCAGGACAGTCTACTGTGCAGTAAAAGCAAGATACGTGCACAAGATGATTTTATACGTTAAAAAAAATTACCTCTGCACAAGTCTAAAAGAAACGCTGCGCCGTGCACATGTATTATGCATTAAAAGGCAGAGACTATTCCAATGCAAACATTTTTTTTACGGCACAGTTTTATTGCACACAAATGTGCTATTCACTTTGCACGTAAACGAAATATGTTGGGTCCAGGCTATAACACAAGCTATGATATATTTACTCTCAATGAACCTATGGGACCAGAATGTTAACAAAACTCACGTGGCTGGCTTAGTTGCACAATTGAAATTAAGTCTATGTGCTCCTGTACCGTCATGCATAGTTCCTGGTTTAAGAAATAATAAATTTCCACACACCGGTTGCAATGGGTATACACTGTCCGCTCGCATGCTATGCACATGCGAGAGATCAAAACCCACCTCCATACCACTCTTCTCGAGCTATTAATATGATTGTCATTCTCGTGAACTTCGCTCGTTGATTTCTCCACCCAGGTGGTGGAGTCTACCACCAGACTTTCAAAGCTGGCTCATCTATCATGTGTTCCACCACCAACAACAACGACCGCCATTCGCCACTAAGTGGCGGTAATGTTCACCACGGCGCTTGTGCCAGGCGATGTGCACGTTGAGGCCATGTGAAGTGTTCAACGCCCGCTGGCAGGGCACGGGGCAGACTCAGGTTCCATGGGTCGACTGACTGAGATGACTGGCCGATGCACCACCTGTGTTCCACCACCACTACCAACATCGCAGGTCAAAACAAGCCTCTTTCTCTGCTTTTCCCCCATGCACCGCTTCACACTTTGGAATTCTGCACCATGGTAATTTTCCGCCCAAGTTCACATATGCAGGGAGCCTTTAGGCCTGTGCTTAACAAACCATGATTTATTAAATAATAATAATAATAATTTAAGACAGTGAGCAGATGACGGTGTGAAAGGGGCCCTTCGCCAGTGTTCAACGCCACAAAGAGATGTCTCGATGCAAGTGAAAGGTGAGCATTAATTGTCTCGAGTGGCCCGGTGTTTGAAAATGGCTGGGAACGCTGAGGAGGGGAGCTTCGCCCGTAATTACGTTCTCTCCACCTCCTCCCTTACACCCCCCCCCCCCCACCCGCCCCTCTAAAATTATCACCTTCATCCGAATTTGCTTTATGTGCTCAGTTAGCCCATGGAAACTCAATGGAAATTGTGCCCTGGGGATGAATTAACGAGATGCATCGGTGGGAAGAACGGTGGGATGTAAATTAATAATTCACCGCGAGATGCATTCTAATTGCTGCTAAGCAGCGGGCAGGAGTTGGTGGCCACTGAATACTGTGCCCTCTCATAAGAGAGTCAATGTTTTTGGACAGAGTCCCTTTCAGCACATGCATCACACACCCGCGTTTGTGAAAGCAAACTTGGCAATTGTACTCTGCAATGCCAATTCAGGGAGAAAATTGTATCCTACATATTATTATTATTGTTGTATGCAAATGCAGCTGTAGGCAAGGAAATACCCATTAACTCCCTCAGTCACCCAATCACCCACCCAACTCAATCATCACCTAGGTCAATCTTATAATGAACCTATCCTGTTGTTCTCTTGAGTTATCACCTGGTAAAAAAGAAAACTACTGAAAACCTGAACTTGCTCGCTCACTCATCTTAATCATTCACTCATTCACCATCTCGTTCAATCACCCACTCAATGTAGGAATGCTCCCATGGTTAGCACACTGGACTTGCAATCCAGAGGTCACCAATTTAATCTGCCAGAACGGGAGTTGAAACAACGATGCAAGTTCCTTAAGCCCCCCCTGCCTCTGTCTGCTCAGAAGTACAAGTTGTGAACACCACAGTTATTTGATTGGACCAGCAGGTCGCACGTGGTGGGGGTTCCACCTCTTCTAAGTCGTTTGGCCAACGTGGAAGAGTAGGCCAAAGTACCCTGCAGGGGGCTCTACTGTGCCCCTTCTATTGCATGATCTTCCGCCAGAAGTGACGTGAGAGGAATCAGTAGCAGGGCTGCAGCTTTATCTTCGTCACCTTTTACATCCACTTTGTTTACAAAAGGGACCTTTTCTTCCCCATGGAGAGGGGCAACTAAAATCTCACGCAGCTGCACTGTGATTTGGCATCCATGCGACTACCAGCGACGCAAACAAACACATGCACACTCCGGTGTGAATTGACACCGAGTTGACACGTGTGTACTCCATTGTGAATTGACACTGGATTGACATGTGCACTCATTTGTAAATTGACAATGAGCTGACACGTGCACTCTGGTGTGAATCGACAGTCGATCAGTGAAGGAGGGGCCTTCATTCTGCTCACTATAAACTTCAACCAACTTAACAAACATCAGTCCTGAACATTCGAGAGCATTGCCAATGCAAGAGAATGTGATGTATATAAGGACCACCTGTTGTTAACACACATTTGTTCATGGGCTGCCACTGAAAGTGTATTTCATGTCAAGAATTAAGCAAAAATATGTTTCAGCCCTTCATCAATCTGTGGGAAGAAGGCCTCCCCATGCCGTGTCGGTTGTTGGGGTTGTTTGACCATACTTCACCGCACTGGTCAGTGCAAGTTCAAGCGCAGGAAGTGGCCAGGACCTATTTAGGTTATCACTCCCCATAATGACACGGCAAGAAATGGAATTCAAGGTTGGTGGGTTGATAAAGCAGTGAATTAACAAAATAATTACTGAGGGTATTTTGCTCGAAGGGTGATGACAGTCACGCTCAATGACAAATCCATGTGAATGTCCACTTTGTAGAGGAAAAATGAGCACCACTTTGTGGGAATTCAATGGTGGTGGTCCAGACTATAAATTGACCGGCTCCCACCAAGAGAATGTGAAATATCCACGACTGGCTCAGGATCACCAAAACTGAGATGAGCGTAGCTCTCCGTTGCGTTTTCGGGTTATACCACGTGCTGGGAGCTTCTGCAGGGGTAAAACCTCAGAGTTTTTCGAGCAACACACGGCAGAAAAACTAGGATACACCGGATAGCTATACAGCACAAATGTGAATACCTACACACAGGAAGAGGAGCATTGCCCCATTGCTTGCTTGAGCAGGGAGACACTTAGGCCTCCCTTTATGGCGTACAGTGAACGTCGTTAATGCCTGGACAGCTGTCGCCAGATTTGCATTATCAAGCAAGTGAACTGGCTCAAGGCGAGCGCTGCCGACTCTTCAGATATCCAGCCGCTTTAGAGCGCGAGGCAAGGCAGGCGAGTGCCTTGCCCGTCCCATGGGTCTCTCGCTCACCGGTGGAAGCTGTCGACCATCTTGAGCTGGCCCCGCAGGTCCTTCTTGGTGAGGTGGTCGAGCATGCGGGCGTCCACCAGGCACTCCATGAAGTAGCTGCGGTACTGCGGCAGGCCCAGGCTGGGCAGCCACTCGTTGCCGATCCACTCGTGGTTCATGTCTCCGTACGCCAGCGTCTGGGCGAAGAGGCATGCCAGCACGCGGCACGCACCGAGCGAAACAAATACGCACGACACACACAGCATTGCGCAGGCGCAGAGGTGGCGGGGGACGAACGTGGATGGGCACGCGCCAAGACACGCAGCCGCACGCGCACAAGTCGATGCCACACGTGTAGAGTTGAGAAAGCAGAGCAACAGGAAGCGTGGAATGTACAGAGGAAGCAACACGCACAGGTACACAAGCACACACGTACACACATGCACGCACACACACACACACCATTAAACCCATCCTTCATTTTTTTCTCCAAAATTAAAACATGCAGACATCGTTTAAATGCCTGCATAAATATCGTAAATATATACACATGTAGTTGGCTCCTCGTTCCGATAGCGGCAAGATAAAGCAATAACCTGGATGTAAATAATAAACATATACACACAAACACACACACATCTTCGAGAAAGCCTATTTATTAGGGAGGTTCATCATGTCCTCATCTCATTAAGATGCTAATGTAATTTAAAATTGTTTGCGTCATGCATGCGCAGCGCTCCCCACAATAACCAGGTCTGCCGTTGACAAGTCTAAAAAGTTTGGAGCACAATTTATTAATGCAATAAAGCGCGGTGGGGAATAAACTAGAAACCCAACACCATTTCTGAATTGAAAGCGGTGATTGCGCTTTGCAAATTTCTAAAGGGAAATTATTTCCCAGTCTAACAAGATGTGCATTCATTTTATAGTCTCATCTCTAAAAACGCAATGACAAGTTGAAAGCAATTGGGTTTTTTTTTTGGTCACGTCTAACATAATTAATTGGCCCTGAAGGTATTCTTTTTGGTCCCAGGCTCGATTGTCAATGCATGTAATATTACACCCGCGCTCTGGGAGTTACAGCGCCACAGTGACATGAATGCATGTGTGTGCGCGCACAACAACTCTTTAGTAAACACAAACGGGACCATCGCTAACCGGGAAAAAAAACAACCCCCCCCCCCACCGAGGAAAAAAAATCACTTCCGACCATCTCCGTCAATAACGGTGTCTTAAAATGAGTCCGAATCGCCACCGCTCTCAGTACCCTACGCAAGTCGGGCATGGTGAGCCCATTTCTTTCCCTTTCCCACACCAACCCGTGGAGCTCTGCATTCTGGGATTCTGCCCGTGGATATTTCTGTGCCCCCCTTCCTTCCCTTGTCATTGCTTGCATTCTGTACCGGGCTCTTGTCGAATAACAAAAACAATTAAAACCAAAAACAGTGTCTTAAAATGAAATATATATATTAATTAGGCGACGTTTCAAGCAACTGCACATTTCACGTGCTATGAATAAGAGCCATTGCCCAAATCGTTTCCCGTCAATATATTTTCTCTTTTAGGGGCAGAGTATTATTGACCAATATGTAGGTTTTTGAGTTAGTTCGCGTGAATATAAATGTGTTGTTAAACCCGCCACCACCCAACACCGCCAATTAGTAAGGTTTGTCACGTAAACAAAACATGCCAATTCGTTACTAGTACAGCACACTGGCGTGTTGCAGAGTAAACCCACGACAATTACAATTCGAGTACTGTGACATTTCGCCGGCAATTAAAACACCCAGTATCATCAGGCAACAGCCAGAGTTGTGGAGAAATCCTCTTGTTTGACGCTTGCGTTTGAGTTTTTGTTGTTGTTCTAAACGGTGCTTGTGCACCCAATACCAACGCAGCATCACCACATAATTGCTATTTACCTGCCTCTGGTTAGCAGTCGAAGCAGATTTATTTTTTCAACTACAACTGAAACTCGAGTGCCCAAACCAATATGCATGTATTCATATGCATATTTGTAAGAGCATGAATGTACATTTTAGGAACCTTTTGCAACAATTTATTGTATTATATTTTTTTAACTACAGTATAATGTCAGGCCTTATGATTTATTTTATATATGCACTTATTTTTTTTTATCAAATAGTATTTCTAGATTTTATTTTAAAGACCTGATATTAATTTACGTTTCATGGTACAAGGTCAAACAATATTGAACATTACATAATTGTTTTCATAATACAAGAGAGAATGCATATATTTATGCGATCTAACCCAAAAACTTCTTAATGAATGACATTGGTCGCGAAAGCCTACGTGTTATACCACATGTGTATGCATGCAGGCATACCTCCTGAAACTTTAAAAGAAATAAACAAATGCGTTTCTTGGCAGTGATTCTTCGCAACAAAAAATAATAAAAAATAGAATCTGACATGGAAACTCAAATAAAATGTAAAACATCACAGATGCTAAAGTTCTCGTTCACAGCACTTAGCAACACAGTGCTTGCAGGTGGAAATAACCACACATCTTGTGGTAGTGGAATTTACACTAAAAAATTTAAACTGGGCATACGGTTATTCTCTTTTAAATGGCGCTTACATTGTATTAATCATTGATATACTCTAATCTTAAAACACAATCTTTCAAAGCTATTGTGTTGATTGCCGATGGGCCCAATTGTACCATGCCCCTAGCTTGAAGGTGCTGAAACTCAAATGAATTAACGACCCCTTAAGAAATATTTAATTGGATCACCAAATGTTCGAGCGCGAAACAAAATTTCCATAATCAAACTGTCTCGGCAAGTTCTGCATTACCTTCAAAAGCATTCGGATGACTACTTTCAAAGCAGCCTACCCAAACCCCTGCCGAGTACACACCGCCAAGCACTGTGCGCATTTGACCACAGAGGACAGGCCCAGAGCCTGGGCTCACGAAGGAAACGTTCACTTTGATGAGCGCGGTGTGCTGCGTACGCCGCGAAAGACGTTCAACACACATACACACGATGTGTGCGTTAAAGTGAGCCTACCTGTGCCCAGCTGCCCTCCTCATCCTCCTGACATTACCGAGGCAGCGATTAGTGCGGACGGGGAAGAGCGACAGAAAGTAGTGAGGACAGGAAGGCAGAAGCTGGTCACCCACAGTTGCCAGAGTCGAAGAGCTCATTTGAAAATGCACGGAGAGTTGGGGGGTTGCCACCTCCGAGGTACAAAACAAACCACGGCGTATCATGGGAAGAAGAATATCCCACAATATCGGAAGAGGGGAATACTGCATTCGTATGCGCAGACTGGAATGGTGTATTGTTACGCAAGATTTCCTAGGAGAGCTACCTCAAACCGAGGACAATCCTGGGAAAACCATGATGGGGTGGCAACCCTCGCGCAGCCAGCCAAGAAGCGCATATACGTTCGTTTAGTAATTGGCATGCCGCTCGTTAAACCCTTTCACCTAGCAGCGGATGAAATACAATCAACGCATGCTCATTACATCCACTGTTAGGCAGACCGTTTGAGTCCACAAGGTACCAGTGTCATGCATTTGCAAGCGAGATCTTGTGTGGCTCTGCAAGACGACAACATCGCAAATGAATTCTGAAACTCAGAGCAAGATTTCAGTGACACGTGATATTATCATGAAATAAATTGGCACCACGAACAGGTGTTTAAATTAGAACAGAGGAATTGGTCAGTCCAGCTTAACTCTAGACGCACACACATAATCGTGGACTTTTACGACTGCACAGTCAGTACAACTCTATATAAAGGAACCTTACATAATTTGACTTAGTGACAATTGCTATGGCAAATTAGTTTCCAGGGCAGGAAATTACTTATAGTTAAGAGCTATACTTGGCTTTATGCAATTTAAATATACTAAGAAAGATAAGATAGCTTATAGACAAATAACATTTACAAATTACATTGCTGTGGTTAGTATTTGTCACGCCAAATTACTGTATTTAAATTTTTAGATAAATGCACGTACTCATGGCAGAACGCATGTCTAACAGCAAAATTAGTGGTTCTAATGCCATCTCAGTTCATGCCAAATGCTGCAGCCTGATACAATCAAACACAAAACACTGCAACTATTGGCCTGCGGTAAAGCAGCAGAGGCCTGAAATTCACATGAGCATTTGAATCTCGTGGGAAAAGCATAAAAGTTGACATTTGAAAGTTGACCGTTGTTGTTTCATGAAAGAAACCGATGCCGGCACCGATTGTTTACAAGTCAGTGCGTTAGAGCGAGGGCATGGTAGCTCAGTCTGTGTTAATATCCCTCGCCGACCTTTAAACGTACGTATTCCTTGCAAGGCCGTAGCCATGGAGTCAACATTGGGGGGGACCAAATTTTCCAGGGGGTCTGGGGTCCCCCCCCAGAAAAAAATCTAAATTTTAAAACTAATTTCCTGCCTAAAATATTAAAAAATTCACTAACACATAGGATTGACTTTTTATTTATTTTTAACAATAATGTCTAATAGTGTATTGTATTACATGGCTCTGTTTTTTTTTATTTTTTACCTTTTTTTTGTTTCATTGTACTGTATGTAATGGCAGAGATGAGGGATTAATAAAGTACAACCATAACCACAATCATATAAACAGAAATCTATGCATTGTTATATGAAGACAAGTCCAGATATTGTGGGCAAGGTTCAGCAAATTGTTATTTTTATTTACATAGCATAGCAATTTTAAAAAATATTTTTATAGCAATATATTAGGGGGGACATCTTGAGCATATTTTATTATTGGGGGGGGGGGGGGATGTGTCCCCCCCCCCCCCCAATATATATTATAATTACGGCCTTGATTTCTTGTACAGAGCACTGAATGGTATAGAACGTCCCACAAGTAAAAAAATAAATTGTGGAATTGAAACAAATTATGCAATCTTCCTAAAGGGCTGTGAATATAAATAGTGTAATTCCATCAGGACCATGTAAGATTCATTTGCAAATTCTTAGAGGAAGATGTTCTTGCAAAGGAGGTTTAAGAGTGTTTCGGTGAAGGGCTTTATTTTTTAAATATATGAGAACACAAAAGTTAAATTCCCTCATCCTTAGGGAGTACAGTTATAATTTTCTCCGCTTAATTGGTTCCCCCACCAGAACTGAATAATGATCGGATGGAAAACAGTATATTCAGATACAAAGTTTGTATAAAATAACGTCAAAAGGAATCTGGTATGAAGAAAACAAAGTTGCCGTTTTTGTCTCAGAGCAAGAAAAATAACTATGGGCAAAATAATGCGGAGAAATGTGGGTTTTTATGACGGCACATTTCTTGGTACATTGCCTTGAAATCATCTCTCCCTTTCAAAGCTGCAATTGAACTACATCTCACTGTTTATGGCTTAGAGCGATTGATTGGATGCTTAAAATGGTAGGGCCCACACACAAGTCTTGGCACCATTTCCATCTGCAATGAATATTGGCCAGACTACAGTCGACATCAATATCCTATTTGAATATTTCACAAATTAGATTTTGAAATTACCGTAGGATCTGTAAACAAATAAATAAAGAAAAATCTATGTTCTTTTCTTTCCAGGTGCCTTTGTGTAATGTTTTCATGCATGATGCACTCATCTATGTGTTTTTTAATGAATGGTAGATGGAAATAAACAAAAATATTTGTTTAGTTCACTGCTGGCAGAATCGCTTCCTCCAGAGGGAGCACTAGAGGGTCCCGCTGGAGGGTAATTTGGCATATGCATCCAATTCTTGGGAGAGGCGAGAGTACTCACACTTTACCCCACCTCGCATCGCCTCTCAATCGACTCTTTGGTGAACCCATTTATACTGCAGAGGGGAGTGAGGTGGTGGAGTTTTTTTCCAAGAAACCTGTCCCATTTTGGGACCTCCCTTGACAAAATTAAAACATGACATCTTAAAACCTGATTTATTGCCAGAAAGGGTAAAACCTATTCTTATAACTTGTCCCATTGTTTCTACTGCCACACTGTGAGATCGGAACCAAGTGGGGGGAGTAGAATGTCAATTTGCTTGTGTGGGATACCAACCAGAGGACGTGAACGCGATCGATTATGCTGAACATTCTAAACTATTGATGGTTTCATTACTTTAACGTTTCAGCGGGAAAATTGGAATGAGTAATAACCTGGCAACACAGCCTCAACATGACGATGCTTTAAGGACATTGGACGTTTTTGTTCTACATTGTTTAGAACGTTGGACTTTTAAGTGCAGCATTTGCTATGCACAGATATTTGAAAATGTTTGCTTGTTCCCAAAGGTGTGTGATACAAAAGTCCTAATCGGTGTGGGAGAGAGGAAAAAATGCATTGAGTATAACGGAAAACATGCTTGTGTTTAAACACGTTTCACACAACACAATGCTGCTTACTGGTAAAACAAAACACTCGTGTAGCACATATAGAGCATGCACCATGGAACATGCCACAGGCAGCATGCTCTTGCAAACAAATGAGGGATCCCATTGCAGCAGGCGATGGCAGCTTAGAGGGCATGGAGTTTAAAAATCGGACGCACGACATCGCAGCCGAGACAATCGTGAATACAATCGGCAGGAGAATATCACAGAGTCAGGTTCAGAGCAACGAAGCGTGTACAAGCCGCTTGAAGACGAACCCAACGAGAATCGCTTTTAAGCAAGAGCTCGAGAAAATTAAAATGTGAGGAGCGATTGAGTGCCCTGGTACCTTGGGATGGCGAGTTACTGAGATCACAAGAATCCACCAAGCATCACTTTTCAAGGCAGGCCAGCAGTAGCGGCGTATCGAATTAGACACAAAACGCTTTCTCTGGTAAATTCTCACGCCAAGAAGTCGTTCAACTAAACAAAGTGGAACGAAAGGAAAACGTGTTACATAAAAGCGTTGTATGTAACAACGCAGTTTAAAACATAAGCAAGTAAAAAGGCTGAAAGTGAAAAAATAAAATAAAATCTGGATCGTGGTGGGAGGTGACGAGATGGCAGGAGATAGACAGGAAGTGGTGAGGGCAGTGGAGAGAGAGAGAGAGATGGGTGAAGTGGGAATGAGAAATGTGTGGGAGTTGCAAACAAGGAGACAAGATAACGGAGTGGATAAGACAAAGGGGGAGAGCGAAGGCATACGACGAGGCGAGCGCGCGCACGCCAGAGAGAAGGGCACGGTGAACGGGACGGTAGAGCGAAAAGGGGCAAAGCTCAAGTTGCCTCGTAGAGGGGGTGGTCAAGGAGGAGGAGCGGGTGGCGGTCGAGGGTAGGAGGAGGAGGAGGAGGACGCGGCGGCGCAGCACTGACCGCTCGTGCGGCCGCCGCCAGCGTCTCTATCTCCTCGTGAGTCATCCACACATTGCCTGTGGTCTGAGGGGGAGGCGGCCGACCGACACGCGGAGGCCGCAGGGGGAGAGGAGGCAGAGTGCAAAGCAGAGGGTTAGCACGGCGTCGAGCGGGCACCGCAAGCGAAAAACACGGGTTGGCATCGCAAGCCGCCGGAGAGCCGGCCTAGAGAACAGAGGGCGGGGGTCAGAGTACTCAGAACCGTCCGCTGCAGGAGCGCTGCTAGTTTGACGCTCCATGGCGGCGAGTGTGCAGAAGGACCAGCTGTGGCATTAGCCTGGAGGTGATGCCGAAATGATATGACGGATATTCAGCTCCTTGGCATCTCTTTCACTAAATCTTAGACAGAATCAATAAGAAGACTGTGATGTCGATTCCAATGCTGTAATAATGGACTCTTTAGCGATGTAGTTTCATTTTCCCAATTTTTTTTTTTTAATCAGGAAAGTTGACGGGTGTGCATTTTAACATCTGTAAAGCTACGCTTGCAGGAACATGGGGGCAGGGGGGGAAGATCGGGATAAATAGTCGTGAAAGAATGCCTCGTTGAGTCGAGACTTTTTGAGAGGGTACTGCTTGAAATGTTTGGTCACTTCTTTGTCCAGTTCTTGCTTTTTGAGAAATAAAAAAACAGAACGATTGCCTCAAGAATACCGACTAAAGTTAGGAAATGCCTTTCAAATTGTACACATGCGGCAAGTCCTCACTTAATGCGTGTTCACACAACGCGTTTCCACTTTGATGCGGTCCTTCCATTCGGGGAAAGCTTTTCAGCGCAACGCATAACGCCTTTTGTTGACGACAAACTACTTTCTTGAGCTCGGTGGCCGAGCAGTACGATACAGTACGCGGAGTGATACGGTATGCGGCGGCGTACCCTCATCTCGGTTCTTTGTCCCGCCACGGGACGACTGCAGGTTGAAGTGACAGTGCAAATGCCATTCAGCACAGCAACTCCTAGTGTTTCGCGCGGATTTCGCTTCGCGTGTGACCTTTCAGGGACGCATCTACCGTGTTAAATGAGAGATTACTGTACAGGTTGGCACCCTACTCTTCACGTGTCTTCCTACAGGCACCATGCTATGATGCAACTGGGTGTGTCCCTACACAACATCATTCAATTCAACCAGAGGCACAGAGTTTGCGCATTTCACATCAGTCATTAATAGCACACTCCGGGCGTTTATTGTTCGTTACAGTCCCCCATACCTTTGACCCCACTGCCCATGAACAGACTTTCTCATACAGGAACAGAATGTAATACTTCAATCATTGGCCATAGTGAGGTGTTCCTTCAGCAGCAGCGATAATCTGTCTCTAACTGTGATGAATAATACCAGGTGCTGTGAGAGATGATGTGAAAGACGGTGCTGTGTTTCCATGAAACACTGGGAATGGTGCCAACTTCGGTACTCGACCTGAGAACCCCAAAACAGGTGGACTTGGTTACCCAGGCTCACGAGCTCACCGTCATGTGACGGAAGCTGCAACGCTTTTAACCCAGCTGGCATCAGGACCATCGTGACATCGTAGTGACATTGTAGTGCACCTCCAATTAGCATGATTGGCTACGTACGGTGCGAAAGAAGTTCAACACACATACGTGCAGACATCGTGTCAATGTGGAAAGGGGATGCGTGGTCACTTAGTCCAACCTCAAGGCCACGTGTCGGTTAAAAGCACGCGGTGAGAATTACAAAAGAAACAATGTGTTGGCTCGGAGACGCTTAGCCTGCTAACACAAGTCTAGATCAAGCTTTTAAAACTATTTTAAGATCGCTTCCACGTGGCCAATAGCCGTGGAAATGTAGCACGTGTGACCGGGCTGGGTGGTATGATCCTTAAACAAGAGCACCTGAGTGAGCTATCAGGAGTGAGCTATCAGCAACAGTTACACCGGTGAACCATCAGGACTTATTAAACCAAAGGATTTATCAGTTCAGTAAAATATAAAAAATACAAACGGCTACCAATAACTCATTGTTTTTTAAAGGAACATTTTAATTCAAATGATATATGTTTGCCTATAAAACTGCTGACAACTTGCATGCCATAATGTAAAATTAAAATGTTTTTTAACGGTACAAATACACAATAACTTATACAAATATAACAACTATGGGATCCGAGGCTGATTCCTTTGGCGCCTAACATTGACCAAACAGCATTATTTATGTTTGGATGAAGCATATAAAACTTATTTATTTATATGGAAATTACATTTTCCGATGTGGAGTCACCACAATCCAGCGGTTTGTAAATCATCATTGGATTAAAATATTGTCCCTGTAAAACACTACATGCTACGCACCGGACCCCTTGAGAACACGAAATCGATTTGCAGAAATTTTCATTTTCGTGTCCGAGGGAATAAAATTCAATTAACCCTTAAAAGAATCAGTAATCCCCAGCTATGCTTAGACTGGCTGTAAGATTTCACTTCAGAGACCGCCAAGATGATAATTTTTGCACTCGCAGGTCAGACGTGCAGATTATGTCCGTGGATAGAGACCCATGGGGAAACTTATTAACTTGTCGCCAATGACTAGGCAGAAGCCACAATGCTTCGCCGCTATTTGATGAAAGCTGTCCGCTCACGTCAGTGAATATTTCCCATTTCATCATCCTATTGCCCGTGCCTGTGTGCTGTGGGATTAACGGCTGACAATATATCTCAGTAACTTCCTCTTGACAGGGCGCTAAGACTCAAACTGCATATACAAGCTTGAATGGTAATGTGCAAAATGAAACCCATGCATTGGGCATTTCTGTTGGGATTTAGCAGTCTCTCCCCCCCCCCACCCACCCCCATGAGATGCATGCCACAGCGGTCGTTAATTTGCATGTTCAAATGTAAATTCAAATCTGTCTACCTAAATCAGCTCTAGCCTCCCGTAAATCACCTAACTTCTGTGCGGCCACACAATGCTCTGAAGCAGTCCCCTCTGCCCGCCCCCTGTGAAAACAAACGCTGCCCCGTGTAGCTCAGTTCTGCTTGCTCGTTCCTTCTCTTTCCCTGCTCTTCCCTCCCCTCCCATCGCAGACATCTTGGCCAAGTCATTTCCTTCTGCTCCCCTTTCCCTTCCTGCACTCCTCCTTTGTTCCTGCTGCTCATCCTGAGCCGTGGCCTCGTTGTCCGTCTTGGGGTACTTCCGTCCCGCACATCCCTTCCCTGCTCATCTTGCGCCGACTCTACTCCCCTTCCTGGCTGTTCCATGAGCCACGAGTGTCACATGTAAATAACCTAACACTCCACAACAAGCAGTGGAAAGCATTGTGAACTCACGGCCATTGCACGCCTATGGGTCTGTGTGAACTCATGTCCAGTGCATGTCAATGGGCCTCTGAGTGAGTCTATGGGTCTCTATATCAGTCTATGGGTCTTTATGCGAGTCTGAAGGCGTCATGTGAGCCTAATGTATGAATCGCAAAACATTGATTTTCACATGCACACTTTGATTCCTGCATCGTGAGCTTGAGAATCGATATTCATCAGTTAATAGATGCATCGTTCTACCCCTAATATACAGAATATGCAGCATGTATTAATTTTGATTGGTTAATCGCTATGTGAAGATGTGTGGCCAATTTGCCCACGTGAGGATACTTGTATGTTTACATTATCATAAATAAACAATTTATATCATTTAATCAAACCACTGCTTCTTGAAGGCCTCTCCGTGCAAGCTAGACATGGAGGTTGTTCAACCATACTTCACCACACCGGTCAGCGCAGGGCGGTGAAGCGGCATACAGATATTACTTGCAAGTGATGTTAGCAATGACCAGCAATCGAACTCAGGCTGCTAGGTGCAAAGTCCAGTGTACAAATAACTGGACCACCACACAACCCAGTTTCTAGCAGCTGCCCCACGTAATTGAATTTTCCAAGGGTTGGGATCATCCTGAGGGTTGTGTAACCACCTTCTCTAGAATGTAAAGCAGTAAAAATTGAAATCTGTAGATGGCTCCACCACCCCCTTGCAACAAAAAGAACCATCTTGGACGATTGACTTTATTTAATTGTCAAATGGCTGACGTTAGCCAAATTCTCTAAAGACACCATCTTCAAGAACACGTGAGTAAATAGGCGAAAATGCATCTGTATTGTGTACTGTGATATTCCACGTGATTTGGTTAATCCACAGATAATGATTTTAATTGCCAAATGGCTTCAATGGGATCACCTTTAGCCCCTAACACAAAGGTTAATAGGCATAAGGAAGGCAGATGCTTCCTTTGGCTGTGTAATCAGTGGCTGGTTTGAGAAATGGATAGGTAGGAGGACTGAACTCAGCATGTGTCGCGAGAATCACCAAGTCCCTGACTAATTACAAGGGTTATATGGCCAAAGGTCAGGGAGCCATTAGACTGCGAAAGGGCAAGTCGATAATCAGACGTAACCCTAAACAAGGCAGTCTTTGACCTCTTCTTAAATGGTCAGTTTGTGTGAAGTATTTCTACTGAGGGAAGCTGACAGCCGTTGAGAAATAAGGTCAAAGTGGGTTTGATATGGTACCCTAAAGAGTCAAATAGCTTGACCTTCTGAGGCCTTCAAGGTAATGTCTTTGTTGTGCTAAGAGCTAGAGATTCGCAATGTGCCGTAAGCTACCCTATAAACCGCCGTCTTTACGAAAAATCCCCAGGTCATTTCAAGAGATCCTTTACCATGTACTGCGGCCACTTGGGGTCTGATATTTGTATTTATAGCCCACTGGCACATTTACACCTAATCTACAACTTACATTTATCAGTTGGTGCTAGATTCAAAGCACAAACAATTATGATATTGTTTACACTGACAAGTAACGTGGCAACACGATAATTGGCAAGTACGGTTATACAATTGCGACTGACTGATCTGATTGCATTTCCAGATATATATGTTGTGAAATCATGTTACCACGGTGATAGTTCATAACGCCATGGTGACATGTGAAGATCATGTGACACAGCAATGTACCGGTCGATCAGACCAATCACAGATTCATTACGCAATGATAAGAGGGGCCTTACTTATTTTTTTGTTGAGCATTAAGTTTCATAACCAAACTTCGTAATAATAATGGATACTATTTTTTATTTTCAATTCTAATAAAGTCAGTTGATTCTTTAAAATAGGTTAGTGGTTTTATTTATTATGGTAATCTGAAAATATATTTTTTCATGATACTCTGGCAAGAGCCTGTCCTGGGCATCCCCCAAGCAAACTCAGCCTCAACAATTAATATTTGATACATTGTACAACATTGAGAAGGAGGGAGACAGAGAAAGAGGAAGAACACATGGATTCAATAAAATATGCAGGTTAAAGGCATCATTCAAACTGTTAAGAAAAGTAAGTGGGGCTTGGGGTAGGACACGTCACAGCAAGAAGAAATGACGGCCGATGGTGACGAATCATGATAGAGTGGCAGCTAAGGAATTGAACGGGTCTGAGAGGATGTCAACCGAGGAGATGGTGCAATGAAATAAGCTCGGGTGCAGGTGATAGGTGGATTGTTACATCGCAGAATCACGAGGGACGGTAGCAGCTTGGGGAGACCTTCATCCGTGAGTGGATGGACTGTGGCTCAAGATGACAATGATGTAAAAACATCAGAGTTGGGAAGATGCAGGCGACCAGCCATGGCGTAGGTCTATACCTTCTCCGGTATGTGCTCCGCCGGCCTGAGTAAATGCTCGCTCACTAAAAGCAAAATGCGGGGTCGTTGCGTCTGTGCGTTGGTTCGTGAGGGGGAACAGCGCGCGCGAGGCACTGGGGCCCGCACCACAACAAGGAGCAGTGCCCGAGCACTTTGGCCGACACCAACGAGGCATCGAGCCCTCGGAAGGGATGGGAGACAAGCGAGCGCGGCGCTACCGTGCGGGAGGTGGGTGGCGCCGAGGGGCTGGTGAGCGACACCATCTCCTGGATGGCGAGGCGCAGCTTGAGCCGGTGCAGCGGGTTCGAGATGCCGATCTCGCGCTGGATCTCGGTGTCCGACAGCGCCGACATGATGGCGCCGCTCTTGACGTTGGCGCGGCACGCGGCCACGTACCACGCCGGCATGCCCACCCACAGCTGAAAGACACGTGCACACGCACACATAGGGACAATAACCACGGCCTTGCTGGCCTGATGCCGAGCCTCTTGCTCTTTGTTAAGATCCTCATCATGGTCACAGAAAGGAGAGGAGGAATATTGAGAGGCGGGGGGTGGGGGGAGAGTAACACGACGTGATATTGTGGACTGACTGCGGAGAGGATTAGGGGTGTTGTGATACTGCAGTTCACATATGCTGAGCTCATGTATTTGGCTCTCCACGGTGGCCGGCTGGTTCAGAGGTCAGAGTGCAGAACTTGCAATTCTGGGACCCAGGGTTCAAATCAAGGCAGTGTCCCCCTGACCAAGTGTAGCAAATTGTTGGTCTCAGGCTGAACACCAGTGATTGCACAAAAACGCATCATATTTTCAATTAAATTTTGTACATTATTTAAAAAAAAAATCCAGCTCTATGACAACAAAAATGATCAGTTTGACGATCTTTGTAGCAAGGAGGGCAGGAAAGTGCTTCCCCCCTTTAGCATGGACAAGTCATTTTAAAAAAAGATATCAGAAGCAGTTCTGCGATATTTTTCTACAAAAGACCGTTCTGTGACATGGGGTGGATGCTCTGTCAAGAGTTCTGAACAAATTCCTTGCGTCATGACATGGCTCCAGTGATAACGCACTCGAAATCATAATTTAGGAACAATAAATATTTTAAAAGGTCTTGGCTCTGGTCACCTCTGGTAATGGCACACAAAAAGGGCAAATGTCTCCTTTTTTCCTGCCGCCGGTATATACATTATGCTGGGAAGCAACCAAGCTATAAATTGAACCCGTTGCAGATTACATCTGCAGCACCCTAAGCTGTCGATTGTCTAGAATTAAAGTATATTCACAAAAATGTAGTTGAACGTATTACATTCACCTCTTCATAAGCGTCCCTGGGATAGAATGCCACTTCATATCAAAACAAAATGTACTTTTTGCTGGTGCTTCAATAACACTTGGTCCTAAAGTTTAAATTTCCTGGGTTTCATTGGCTAGTATGTTATATTGGAAAAAACTATAAATCTAAATGCAAATGAATTAAAATATGTCAGACGTTTTTTGAGAATATCCATGAAAACAAAACTATACAAATGTATTATAATAATTGCAAATCCTCAAGACGGCATGTGAAATAGATTTTTTACATAGACCGTAAGAAGTTTACCGACATCCATATTACACAAATCCTGCAGCTATAACGAATGAGCAACACTCATTATTCCAGCATTCTCAAACGATTTTCTTTTCAAAAGAATTGCACAAATATGCTTAAAAGTAAAGGGTTCATTTCAACTTCAAATGAGATCCTACGTGATTGAAAAATAACACTGGACACGCGTGTAAAAAAAAAATCACTTTTGAAATGGAGTGTGCTCATCGCAATAATGTTCCCCCTGACAGCCGGTTAGGAACGCATTCCTGCCCATAATAGAATGCCCCAAAAAAATCTTCAATTGCTTTTCCCTTGCAAAATTGTTTTTATATCTGTTCGTGAACATCGTCACCGATATAACTGCCTTATCACCGAGTACTGCACAGAATATCCCACAGCTACGGGCCCTGTGACACGCTGTGCCAGTACTTTCATTGTACAGAGGGGAGAGATAAAAATACAGATCAGTCGTGAAGCAATACTCTTGTCATCTCTCCGCTGCTGCTGCCTAAAATACAATACGAATTTTTGTTACAACATAAACCAGTAAAATAACGATATGTACATTGATAATATCTCAGGCGTACAATAAGTCACGTTAAGGGGTTGTAGGGAAAAAAAAACAAATGCAAACTCACCGAGGATGTTTACATTATTGTGCTTGGGAAAACCATGTTGCACTTGCTGTTTGTATAATGTACAGCCTATTGATAATCCACTGCTGGATGAAGGCCTCCCCATGGCCGTTTGGGTCACGTTGATTTCCATACTTCACCACGCTCATCAGTGCGGTTGCTTATGGAGGAGTGCACCCAGGACCAGTTTGAATATCGATTGCCACTTATGTTAGCCGTGGCTGGTAATCGAACACAAGCAGCCTGGTTCATCGTGCTAACCACTGCACAACGCATACATAGGTAAATGCAAATAAATTGAAAATTGATCAAGATTTGACTGTTATGAAAAACAGACTTGCTTGAAGCAATGGCCTACCCAGGCCGTCACCTGAATATTAGTCTGAGAAACGTGTGGTAATCTGGTTATGGTGACCGATTGGATCCTGACAGACAGCTGTTATAGACCACTCGAGAGCTATTTTATTCCATTATCTACACTTCCGAGAAATCACATCAGATTACAAAAAATATTTTCAGGAATCCTACAAAAATTTAAATTCTTATAGGATTCTATAGTATCCCTTATGGAATTGTATGACTTCCACTCATACATACAATAATCTAGTAATATTACTCAACAGAATACCTTTAAAAGATTTCATGAAATAAACAAAGCACTTAACTACATACTGTAAACGGGGCAAAATGATGCCGCAGTGCCACACTATAATCCCAAGCATCTAAACTTCAGTGGCGAGTGGTATCTGAACCACCGGTCTGGGAACCCCATCCTTGACCAACTCACACTGACCAGCATGGTGAAGCATGGTCAAATAACCCCTACGACCCACAAAGTGTGGAATAGCCTTCATCCAGAAGTGTACCGACTACATACTTTATATGTATGTATGTTCAATGTCTTTCGCACTGTATGTAGCCAACCACACTAATCTATTATTTATCGCATAACTATTATTTACTTTACATATTATATATGGCCTTTGTTCAAGTGGTCACCCGATGAGGAAACACTGCCTCCTGCTACGGAAAAGCAGAATTTCTATGTCCAACTTAGAGGACTGGATCCCCAAAACTGGTTTGGGCAGGGAGACGGTTTATAGACTGTATTTACATATTTAACAAAGACAAAGATCCCCCGTATAGCCTTAACAGATAGTTGGGGAAAGTGCTATCAGCAAGCACCTATGAAGGCTGGCATGGCACATGAGGGGGTGGGTGGCGGTGTTTACACTTCGGATTAAGTACTAATTTTAAGACTGAGTCGACCTAGGAGAGGCCCAGGGCTGGTTCAGATAATCGTAACTGACATTGACCATCAACAGGAATCGAACTCGGATCACCAGGTTCATAGTGCAGTGCAATAACTAATGTGCTCCTGTTCCCCATTACATATATACACACAGACACACACAAACAGGGAAGAGACAAAATTTTTCAAGGGAAGCAAATTAAAATAGCAGTACTTATATACCACTGTGTATTGAGTGTGTCCAATGCAGTCCTTCAATACCTCCAGAAGTCCGAATGTAAGGCTATTTTAACGGGATTGCAACATCGTGATTTTTTTACGCTATTCAACTAAGGTTGAGAGTGTTAATGCATTATCTCTGTCCACCATCTGTCTGTCTGTAAGGATAAGCCGACTCACTTTTCATAAGAGTTAGAATGATGCATTTAACCTGTGTGTTCTCTAATGTGTACATTCATCTCCCTGTCTCTCAAAGTAATTGTAAGCATACACCTCTACACGTTTCTAAAAAGAATCCATGTGTGTGCATGATGTTTTTTGTCCTTGTTCACGTGGGGAATGGGTGGTGTTACCTCCAGCCACGCTACAACAGTCTGCCCATCCCAGAGGGCAAAGGGCAGGCCTTGTCTCCGGGCCTCCTCCAGCAACTCATGCCTGGACACAGTGGAAAAACAAGGGTGAGAGATCGATGTACAATTTGTAAGAGCAACGGGATGCTACAATGGTGTAACGGTGAGCACACTGGACTTGCAAATGCAAGAGGTCACTGGTTCAATATCTTGACGAGGCAAATTAATGGGAGCATTTCTTAAATCCCCTCCCCAACCTCGGTCCACCCAGCAATATAAATGGGTACAGTGAGTCGATCGGCAGGTCACCATGGCGGGGCAAAGGATTGTGGGTACTCCCACCTCTTCTAAGAATAGTGGAAGACGAGACTGAATGCTTGATTGAGGGGCTCTCGAGAACTGCTTCTCGTGGAGGATCCTTCCGCCATGAGCGATGGGAGCAAGTAATCGGTGACTCCAGTCATACCCACGTGATAACATACAGGAGAGAAACACAGTTGATGGCGGATGACTCAAATACATTGATGTGTTTGGCTCTGACCTGTAAAATTCACACCAATGTTGGGATGGCATTTTCTGCGCCCAATTGATACCATAAGCGATAATAAGTAACCAAGACAGTGCCCTGTTATGTTGGCGTCATACTGGGGAATCTCATACCAAACCCATTTCATACAAATAGACTAAAGCGCCATTGAATTACATTTTGTCATTCATCAATGTGCATAACATAATGAGAAATATAAAACGCAATAATGAGAATGCTATTACATTAGATAATCTTCGAACTAAACTTTAAACAATGTCTGTAAATTGTTTCATAGAGATTGGTAAACACAGTCTTTCGAAGAATATGCTTACAGATTGTGGAAGGTTTTTTTTTAATGAATAGAATAAAGACAAGGATTACAATTCTTTTTAAACTTTTAAACGTGTAAAGTTTCCATTATAACGTATTGTTAATCGTGGAAACAAATGTTTCGGAGTGAACGTGTTATTAGTACATGCACATACATCTGCTAAAATACAGACACATTGGAATCTACATTATTACTTTTATTATTAATGATTCTTATGCCTATTTAGTCAGGTCAAGTGAATGTTATTTTTGATCAAAATACATGACACTTTCCTGGCACAAATCTGCCACCCAGGAAAGCCTCACCGAGTCTCAAGCCGCGATCAAACGGGTTCTGCAAAGTTTTCACAGTCGAGGTGATGTTGACCAAGTGTCGTCCCAATTGAGTCATTTTCAGCGGAGAGATCGGCTTACGCACAAGATAAAGATGACTTGTGTGCCTTTGCAGAACCATGACGGACACCGGGCAACATCAGGAGCACGTGACCCAGCAGTGTATAGAACACGACTAAACTACTAAGCTATAAACTATTTTTTATTATACCAGGTAAGGCCAACTGGGCTATACATCTCTTTTTCAGAAGCGACTTGGCCAAAAATGATAGCCCAATGAAATGGCTTATCGTGTGGAAATTTGCGGAGGAAAAAACCGACCACGGGGAGAACATGCAAACTCCCAATATACAGGTGTCACAGGGTGGGGATCGAACCCACGACCCTCCTGTACACCAGGCAAGGTAGTTAACATCTCATCACCGTGTTCTCTCACATAATTAAACAGCAAGGTTGATATTGTTTGCCGACACCACACATATAATAATGTTTAACTTTTTGCTCTTTTTGTGTCCTTGGAAAAATGTGATTAATTTAAAATAACCATTCATTTTTATCGATGAAGGCGGTAGCATAAATAAGTTACGTAAACATGGTACACTCTCTCACAAATTTAATATGCACTTCCACGAAGTTTAAATATTCGGGTGAAGGTTATTTCACTTGTGAGCAGTTTTATAATTGTTTGTATTCATTATCATCCAGTCGTTGAACTTCATTAAATGTGTGAAATAGTAATTTGGAAGCCGACTTCTCTCTCCAATCTGCGAGTTACACATTTAGAAATGTATTCTCTTGTAACATCCAGTGTTTTTCAATCAGCAGAGACAAACAACTATCACCACGACTTTCTTTGATCTGGTGACACAAGTAAAAGAAAGAATAGGCAAATCTGTATTGAGAAGTCTAATTATGTAAGCTTTCGACCTTGCAAAATTGATGCGTGGGTCCTCCATAAGCTCCTTTCATATTAAATCATAAGGGATTAAGTGAATGGTAAGATCACTGCTCTTCATAAAAACCTGAAAGGGCAATGAAACAAGCATCTTGGGCCTTTCATTTTCGATAAAGATTTATAGGCCTTAGGTAGTGCCGGTAATGTTATATTGATTAACAAAAAATCCCCCCCCCCCACCTCTATGCTGCTGTCCATATTGAACAGACTACCCGAAATATTTTTGTAGTAGAGGCTGCAATCCGTCCAGTGATTTACCCATCACTCTCACAGGCAGCGCCAACAGCCCCGCGGCAGTTAAAAACATTGCTCAAGTTTTCAAATTATTAAACAGGTCTTGTGTGCATCAAAAGCCAAATGGGGACCCATAAACGTAATTCAGAATGGACTCTCGCAGCTCCTCCCGCCCAGTCTCAGTAAATGAAACGCTGATGCCCGTACCTCTCTGGCCACACGGCTGGAATCATTGATTAGTGTCTGTGTTGTGATTTTCAGTGCATACGAGCGCGTGTGCGCGCACATGCGTGGCGAGCAGTAAGTGTCGCGGTTCGCGAGCCGCGCTATGAACCTGGCGACCCGAGTTCGATTACTTCTCACGGCCAACACCAGTGACAATTACCTCAACGGGTTCTGGGCCTCCCCAAGGTCGACTCAGCCTCAAATGAGTACCTGGTGCAGTGTGCAACCATCGCGACTAGGGACACAAACCTGGCCGTGGTGCTGCTCGCCACCCACCCCCACGGGCGCCGTGTCGGCCTTCATAGGTGCTCGCTAACAGCACTTGCCCCAATAGTCTAAGGCTATACGGGGGATCTTTGTATTTTATGCTTGTGTGTATGTGTCTGTGCGTCTGCCTGCCTCCTGGTTTCGCAGTGTGCACGAAACAAGCAGTACGCGTGATTGCTAACAGGTTCTGCGATGGAAAAAAAAAACAAGCGATTGGCTCGAATAAGTGATTGTTAGGGTTTGCAAATGAACGTTAAGTTCCTGGTCACAGAAAATGATTGTGGAATTAGCACTCAATGTCTTCACCGCAGCACAGTGCATTTGGGTTTAGGGTGGGTGCTGACATTTGCATTTTCCATACCTCTCTTAATGATAGAGAGCATTAGCAAGTTGCAGTTTTAATTCCAGCCACTAAATTAGACCAAACGATCCCACCATTTAATGTGATAGGTTTTTTTTATGAGCAATGGACTGCTTTGCATTAATGTTGACCGAAAGGCCATGTCTGTAGATCTGAAAAGAACCTTTCCCTCGTGGAATTCACAATAGGAACCGTGAGATGTTTAATGGTCACGTATTAATAAAATAATAAAACAACTTAACGACGTCATTTTTGGCCCTGAACATTTAAAAAAAATCCAAGTAACTTTGACTTTACTTTTTGTCAGGCGTGAACACCGTTTTAGCACTAAAGCAGAAGCCTGAAAGATTTTCAATGTTTCACTTTATAAAGGTTGTGAGAACATGATTTTAATGCACGTCATTGGACCAAAAATGCGTGTGGCAAACGTGGTTGCTTACGCGTGAAACAAAACGCTCAGTTTGGTAAATTAACAGAGCAGTTCCAAGTTTTACTTTTAACAATTAATACAAAAAAATTGTGCTGGGCATTCTGGTGTGGCATATTATTTCCATTTCTGAAAACATACCCAAAGCACATTTCCAGAGAGTGATATCTATTTCAAGGCACAGTGACGAGGCACTCTACACGATAACACCTCCAGGATTATACTTTAATTTAATAATGCCACAAGCGCGAATAATTTATTAGTAGATGCCATGGCCGTAGCCTAGCATCTACACGGGTCAGATATGTATATACACTTAACATTAAACACAGCAAATAAAATGTATAATTATAAGGCATGCCCAACTGTTTTGTAACAGATTCATCGTACCATCTGTTGATATTATGGCTTCTTGTATTTTTCGATGTGTGATGCTCACAGCCTACCGATGATTAATCTTTCCATATTGATGTATATCAGATTTCTTGATTGCAAGGCCCGCAGGCCACTGGGAGCCCCTGGTGGCTTTTAGTGCAGCCCCTGACGTGCCCCCCCCCTCCCCCGACAATACACTACACGTGATAACACCCCCGTCGTCCTGCTGTCAACGACCAATGCTTCCAATCAAATGTGTAGCGGCCCTCACACCGATGTCTTAATCGGCGAAAGTGGCCGCCCTCTGAAAATTACTCAAGAACACTGATGTAAATAATGGTTTCACTCTGTTAGTGCCAATTATATTAAGCATTTGTGAGCACACGCAATCTGACAACAGCCGAGCGTCTGCATGTGAATTGAATGCGAAATCAAAAGTATCTCCCTGCTAAGACAAGCATGAGATGTTCATCTCCAGTGGTGGCAATTCTACATTCCTATGGTATGATGAGTATATCCTCAACGAGAAGGCAATTTGTAACTCGCACAATATTTCGCAGATATAAAGGGTCGTAACTATGAGGCGCACAGCCAAGCTCAGTGCCATTTGAAAGCCAGGCGAATGAGGTGGGGCCTTTAAGTGTCTCTTAAAAGTAGGAGTAGATTGAATGCTGCGAATGTGAAGCGGGATAGAAAAAAAGGATGTACTTAAACTCAATAGTTGCCACACATCACATGCCAAATCATAGAAATGCAGCTACAAAAGCCCATATAAGGCATGGCTGGATAAAATATGTGTGAGGCTTAATATACAGTAGTGTTATGCGAAAATGTTAGGAAATTATTTTTGGAAATTCCTGGCTCATCAAAAACTGAAGCGTGCGATTAAATATCTCGTTACATGGCTAGCAAAAGAGCCCCATGTGATTCACTGTTGCACCCTATCAGTCATGTCTGCGTTGATTCACAGGGTGACTTTGTGTTACCCTATGAACCTCACTCATGCCAATCGATAATTAAGACAGCAAAAACACACTGGTGGGTCAACAAGTTGAACAAAATCATTGAGGCTTACACGTTAACAAAAACATAAAATATTGTTCGAGGTTGAGATGGTGTTGGTGTTGTGCTAATGCCCAGATAAGTGTCCTTTACTGCTAAGCTCGTCAGAGTTTAGCAATCAAACCTTTAGGACGGAGCAGTTCAATCATCAATTTGGGCTCTAATTCCCAGCTCAAGTCTATTGCTTAATTAGTATTTGTTAGCAAATTTGTTACATTCTCACAAGTCTTTGTTTGCCAGTAAGCGAAAACAAAATGTAAGGATAAAAATATAAAATAAACTAGTAAAATTGCCAAGTCAAGAGAGGTGCTTACTTGACAGGTGATAAAAAATAAACATCAAAGCATGAAACTGAATTAAATATTATTAAACAGATGTTCTATTTTATAATAAGTTCATACCAAAAAAGTAGATGATTGCAGTTCTGCAAAGCTGTATCCACTTTACAGAAAACCATATTTTATATGTATAGGCCACGACTGTGTATAAAATCACCCAAAGGTTATAATGACCAGTGGTGATGTCAAAATGACCTCTTAGAATGTTTTTCACAAGTGACTGTGAACAGATTTCAGGGAATAAAATTGATTTTTGGGGAGGTTTTATTTTTGGTCGCACGTCATTGAAAATCGTATTGTTCCATGATCTTTAACCTGAACTTTTTTTTTCTCTGAAGTCTGAAATCAATAATATTCACTTCTTCAATAGTTGAGTAAAAATTATTATATGATTACCTAAGCTTAAAAACAATACACTGGAATGAAGTGTATTGTTCTGTTTTATATTGCTAAATATTGTTCACGTCATTTGTTTAATTGCTGTTTCGATTTTTTTTCCCAATCGGGAGCCTGTTTACTTGCTGTAGCTTTTTTTACTGTTTGGTGTCATTATATTTTACCTAGGTCTCCTTTGAAGAGGAGGCATCTGCTCTCAACGAGCTTTTACTTTGTTTAAAGAAAGACAAGCAATCACATTTATCTTCATGTCCACAATGGGATGTGATGACAGATGCTGTGGCACAATAAGGCTTGACAAGCAGACTTAAGCGTGTCAAAAATACTTTCACTTCCAATGTCTCAACAGCAATTACTGGATAGTGAATAACATACAAATTGAATTTCAAGTAAACGCATGCACTTGTACCTTACTTTGTAACGTGGTAAAGGCGCAGCCCTGCACTCCCTTGCTCATGCCACTGCTGGCAGAACGGCCTACACTAGGAGGAATTCTGGAGAACCTCTCTAGAGGGTGGGAGTAGCCACACTTTACCCCACCACACACCAATTGCCGATTGATTAACTGTGCTGTGAACCCATTTACTACACGGGTGGGGGGGGGGGGGGGAATTTAAGAAACTTGCCCAATTGTTGCGACAGGAGAACGAAACAGTAAACTCTAGATTTAAAACAAAAACTCAACACATTTATCTAAAACACTTCCTTAAAATAGAAAAATGTATAATCGGTGATTTTTTTACCGCAAAACCTCACTAATTATATCTTCTTTGGTTCTTTCGGTAAAGTCACGTAGAATGAGAATAAAATAATAAATTGATAAAATAAAATAACACAATAATATTCTCACGACGTTTCGAAACTCACTAATTATATTTTCAATATTATTGTATATTTATTAGAAAGGCAATCATGCTTTTATGTGCTATGAAGGGCAACTGCCCGACACATCAAATATAACATGTATATATTTGTTCTATTTTAAGGCAGTGCCATTGACGAATGTATTTGAGCTTGTGCGCTACTGCCATCACCAAACAATCTGGATTGCAAGTCCACCGTGCTAATCATTATACCACCGCAGACTAACACACATATTTGTACCTTATTTTATATTCCACCTTTACTTATTACCAGCTGAGACTAGGGGGAAATGCAAGAAATGTTACAGAAAGGGGTGGAGGTACAAATGTGTAAACATCTAAACATAAATTGGTGAATATCAAACAGAAACCACGGTGCCATAATATAACTAACGTTCAAGATTTGGAATATATTACATGTGCAGAAAATATCCACGGGCATAATTACAATATATATAATTTTATTTTAATAATTAAGTGGCTGTACAGCGTAGTGGTTAACGATACAAATCACAATATTTGCAAGGCTTGGCCACCGAGTGCTTCGGTCATATCTCAAACTCCAAATCTGAAAATGAACTGCATTCAGTGAAGCACTGATATTATGCACATTATTTATGGTCACTCGTGTAAAGTTCCCAGGCAGGGGGGGGGGGGGCAGTAAATGTCATCGGTCTTCTCCTGGAAATCAAACCATCGATTTTAAGCAAACTGCCTTAGAGCATGCACACTGGACTACTTGGTACCAATGCCATATCGTATATACCACGTGATACATATGTATACATAAGTGTCATGAGAACTAGTGTGGTTGTCCTACAATATTGTTAAATCTAAGTAGGGACTGGCACACACCAACAGAATGTGGACTAAAACGACAAAGCTGATCACAGCCTAATGCCGATGGTAAAAAAAAACAAAACGGGAAACCGCTTTGACACATGCGACTTTTTCTATAAACACCGAACGCTGGCACTAAGATGCGAACTGGCCGACTAAATGGCGGGGCTCCTGCGGGGTTCCACTCACTTTTTCTTGAGTCTCCGGTCCCGTTCCGCTTGGGTGCCCAACTTTGCGAGGCCAACGCCCTCCGGAGAGCCTCCCTCGCCTTCAGCCGAACCCCCTGCGACAGAGAAAGAGAGGCCATTTTTTTTCCCCCTGTAGGTTTTCGCGGTTGTGCCGTTTGTTTGGGTTGCACCAAGGCGTGATGTCTGATGTTTTGCTCCGAGTGCTCGGAGCAGCGTCTTCAGGAAGTAAAAACTCCCGGCACGTGGAGGAGGTGGAGCAATAACTTCGGACACCAGGCCGGGCAACACGCGGCACAGCCACAAAAACATGACAGCGAGCTAAATGTTCACTTTGGTATTTGTCAACTGACACATCTTACAACACAGCTTACAGAGGCATCACTAAGTGTAGCAGATGTGGGTTCTGATGCTCTAATATAATGCATGTTATAATGGGGTTCTCACCTAAATTGTAATTGTTGCCCCGTATTAAACAAAGCGAAAACTCATTAAGATACGTTATCATTCCTGAAATAGATATCTGGGTTTTATAAGTATGGTTGTTTTGTTTTTACAAGAATTGCGAATTAATCAGCCAATTTATGATTTTAACCATGATACTAACAAGTAACGGATTAGCCTATTGAATATTGACTTCACTGTCTCTATAGACAAGTTTGCACTTGGATAATTCCCAGTGGGAATTAGAATCTAAAAGTCTGAAATAAAACCTAGCCACCAAACTTGATTAGCAGTGCGATTATGGGGCTACAAAGTAACCCGAAAGAATAGGACTAAAGATGCGATTATAGCATTCTAAGGTCATGGTGTTATGGGTGTGCATACAGAACACATGTTTTTATCTTCAGATTTTGCACATAACCAAATATCATTTCTGTTTGGAGTTATCAATACATTTGAAACAGCCCCTCGCTGAGTCCATTGCTGGCCGAAGGTCTCGCCGTGCCGTTTTGATGAGGGAGCAGTGACAGCGGCGTGGCGGTGGCACATTTGCCACTTATTGCAAAGGTTCACGGTTTGATCCCAGTGGCCACCCCTGGTTAATACTGCGGAGTGCATTAACCATGAAACACGACTCCGGCGTCTACTTCAGAGTGGACGTTAAACGTGCCACAATGTCATTCGCCGCAGTAGGCCATTTTGTGCCAGCGTCATGGTCCAAATGAATCGAAATTACCCAAGTATTACAAAATTGGACTCCACGTAACTTGACAGGACCCTCCTGAAACAGATTCTTGAGAAGCAGTGAGGCTTTCTTGGGTAAACAAGTGATCTCGAATCCTGATGGGGTTCAACAATGATGACGTCATCCTGCACTATTTAAGACCGGAAGCAGGTGGATGGCTTCACTATTCTGGCAACTCGTATGAAGATGCTGGATGTAATTTCCAGGGAAACGTCGTACTCAAATTGTAAATGTTGTGGATCCACTCTTCAACACACCGGTGGGCTAAAGTAGTGAACTATTTGTCTTTTGTCAACGTGACACTTTTTTTTACTGATTGGCCATGTCGGGTGGTGGAGGGTTGTGACACATTTATAAACAACGCGATCTAACCCAAAAACCTTTATTAAGAAGGTTGTCTGTCCACACTTGACCACATTAGCCATGGTGGTTTGATGAAGGGGGGACCCAGGACAGGTTCAGGTACCTTTCACCAATATTAGCCATGTCTGGGAATCAACTGGGTTGACATGAAGTGTGCTAACCATTATGTCACTGCTCCAGCCTCCAACAATAAAATTGTAATTGGTTAGCATTATCGAGCATGTTATTTTATTCTAAAATAGGACATGTTAAGGATGCTTATCATAATTCAGACATGATAGTAAAACAACCAAGTTTCTGAGAAAGAATTGCATATTATCAGGGAGGAAAATACACAAATGATGAATCATTCGTCTTTTCAAAATTGTTATGGCATCTACTGACACATCTTGCCAATAAGAGAGCCACTGCAAGCGACAAAGGCAATTCTGCGCAATATTAATCGCAGAGCAAATAATGAGAACAAACAACAAAGTGAGACTGCGTTGGTTGTCATGCAAGAGCACAACTGATCCTAATCGTTTAAACAAAAAAAAGGCCCCTCAAAATATCTCCAATGCAGAAGGGCCATTTGGCCAATATTATACATTTTGCCTTTTTTAGCAACAGTGTGACGAGAATCTCATTGTGCACACAAAGCACCGCAGCCATGCGCACTCGTTTTGCCAGCACGCACTTGGCTACAGCATGATGATGATGATGCAGACACAGCCTTGGCCACACATCTGACGCGGCCGTCACGCGGTGACTGAATGCACCAGTGGGCGCGACCGGCGGAGCTTGGTCAGCATGGGGATGAAGAAGAGCATGGGGGGGGCCAGGGTGCATGCATGCTTGCTTAGGGCAGGCCGGTTCAGCAGGTTTAGGTAGGCTGGTTGATAATGGAGCAACGTAGCCGTGCACAATGCATTTGTGAACCGACACGGACGTTCATGCACACGTTTCTTTCTGCACAAAACGTTCAGTAATGTGTCGATTACTTTTGTTAATGCTTAGCATGCAGTGCCACGTTTAATCATGGATCAAATGACAAGTAACCTCAAAAACGTATACTCACAGTCGCCTGTTTGCACAAAAAACACAATCAAAGAGATGTTCTTAGGAATAAAACATCTCGGTGCATTACATGTGTGGTTCACGTAGCGTCGTCATCGCTTGCTCATCAAATACGACTTGCGCCGGGGCCTTGTTTGGAAGCAGAGCCTTGAATCATGGGAAGTCGTACATGATCACCCTAATTATGTTAACATTATTATTCTGGCTGGGTGGCACTGTAGGTGGAGAGCTCTACTCGTAATCAGAAGGCAGATACATTCAATTGGCAGTTGCTGGTTGATTCAGTCCACCATCCCTCTGGTGTTGATGAAATAAGTACCAGTTTGTAAGGAGTCTTGCATGGTTGTCCTACATATCCCTTCCATTCAAACGCAGCACTCCCACGACTAGCCAATAGACTCCCACGGGAACGAGCACCACCCCTTACTGCTCATCTCGGCAGGTGGCCACTTTACAATCATTTTTTAAAGGATTTTTTTCAGCTTCTTTTTGATCCACTGCTGGATTAAAGTTTTCCCATGCCGTGTCAAGCCATAGGGTTTGATTGACCATAATTTACCATCCTGGTGAGTACAGGTCGGTGAAGGAGGGGAGGAGCAAAACGAGCTCAGATATCACTGACCACTGATGTCAGCCGTGGCTGGGAATCACAATCAGGACAGGGAACTAAACCCACACGTGTATGTGTATGGGCAGTTCAAGTTAACGTAACTTTGGTAGCATGGTGTATTAAAATAATGCTTTCCAATTTAGAAAAAACTCAACCACTGGACATAATTGGTTGAGTTATCTAGCATATGAGCTGGACCTAAGAAGTTGGAATAATCTATGAGTGTGTTATTCAGGGCAGATAAACCCAATATTCTGTTATCTGCATTCACATGGCAAATAGTTTAATAAATAATGCACCACAGCATCTGTAAACAAGGGCTCTATAATCATATTTTGTTCATGTAATACCACGACATCCAAAGCGAACAATAACACCCATGGTATCCTCATAATGGCTCACAGCTGCTGAGAAGCATCGCACATTTCAGAGGTTTAGAAGCAAAACGTCTGCTATGGCAAAGATAGCCGAGCTCCAGTACCGCATAATCAACTTTGAAAGTGCATGGAATGCACACAGTCTGGTCCTGCCAACACCAAATTGGATTTTAAATGAGGTTTGGAAATGTGAACCCCATGGCTGGGCTTCAAGGGACCAATGCCTCATCTCAAGGGAGAAATCATACCTGCAAAAGGTCACCCGAAGTAGTGGGGGGCATTATGTAAATGCACTGTTAAGGTAATAAAAGTTTTCGGTGGGTACAATTATTACCTTTCTCTAGTATTGAAAAGTTGCGAGGCTCTAATCGCGGTGTGAAACGGCCCAGCGGTCGCGCGGAGGGCTCGTGGTTCGAGTCCAGAGGGCAACCCCGGTTAATAACGTGGCTATTGTTTAATTAAAAACGGGCCGTGCGAAGCGGACATTAAAGATTCTCCGTGACGCCAATTCGCAAGAGTGGGCCATTGTGCACCTGGCGTCAGGGACCAAATATTATTTTATAAAATGTAAACAAAAAATTACACCGCAAATGATTAAATGCGAATTTACAAGTGTAATTACGGAGAGTGTCTGTCCGAACTTGATGACATTAATGAAGAGCAGGGGGGAGGGGGGGGGAGAGCCAGTCATGACACTCAATGAGGCTTTGCTGAATAAACAAGAAAAAAATATATACATTTCTGTATTACACAATGCATGTGTATATGAGAAACTATTAACGTGTTTCGATCATATTTTGGCCACGTAAAAAAAAACACCCATATATAAACACAAATAAATAATCATATACCAAATTTCTATAAGCACCTCATGATCAAATCTTGTTTTAATGCTTGTTGCCAAAGTGTATTGGTATGTTTGTATTTATTTGCCATATCCCTTGGTACAATGACAGTTGAATTGAAGATTATACTATGCTGCTTAACACCACTATAAAAAAATGTGAAAATCCTTTTATCCGAATATTTTAAGGATATGGATAAACTTAAACAATATAGTTAACACTGCTGTATGAATCCATGACAACGGATTACCAAATCCATTTACCTGGGAAAAGAAAGATGAGTGTAAAATAAATACTTTTAGAAAATCTAAAAAAATACAAAGTAATTTGATGGTGCATGAAAATAAACCCCAATCATAGTTAACAAAAATTTTTTTCAAACATTGGCACAGCCAGATCTGTCAGGTCTGACACAAACCAAACATGCGCTGGTATTTTCTGAGGCTAAAAATGTGATTTCTCAACCATTGCCTTACGTCCGCATTACCGTCGAGTGCTACGGATAATAAAGCTATGTAATTGGCTCTTGCACAATCAATGACAACTACACGTGTTCGTTTCCGTTACGCTTTGTTTGTACTTATAATAAGTGGCATTCTCCACCCCTCCTTTTCATAAAAAACAAAGTCAAGTCTAGTTGTCTCCCTGCTCAAATTAGCATGCAGCAGCACGTGTCCATTGTTGGCCCCATCCATTGGTGGAAATCCCACATTCCGATGGTGGAGGTAAAGTCTCACAACCACTCAACATCACTGTTGAATTCTCACAAAGCGGTACTCATTTTAGTGATGCAAGAGAGACGGAGCCCTGATGACCGGGTTTTGAACTCGCATCCTTCCCATTCATTATTCGTTAAGCATTCTTACCCGCTGTGCCACCCTGCACAGAAAAAAACCGATTATTCAATAGTTGTTCTCACGTACTCTGTGATGAGGGCCTGCATGGTATACCATTGTCATAATCTCAAGGCGGTTCTGCACGTCCGGTTGGTTGAAGCCCCGCTGGCCATTATTAATTACACTCACCGCAATACCCCAAAGCTGGAAATGTGTCCAGTCATGAGTCATAAAGTGGGGATTCCTGATGGATCTTGGTCAGGAGGCAATGAAACGAACTGAATTGGAACGGGTTAATGGTGCTTTAGAGTGAGCCAGAAAATTACGAGGGTTGTGCTGCTTGCCCACAATTTACCATGACATTACACGAATAGATTTTACCACAATATGGCAATAATTGTATTGCAGTATAGTTTTTATGACCATGACACAAAATTACAACTACGACAGGCTTCTCTCTTATATTCTAGAAATCAATGCAGTTTTAGTATTATATTTTTAAACATCAAAACATAACAACAGCCAAATATGTAGCTATGTTAAATAAGACACATGTGTAAACAGTGCAGACGAACGGCTCAACAACGGAACATGTTACAATCTCAAAACTAACTTTTAAAATGTTTAGCATCCTTCTTTGCACGTGCCAGTAAAAACCACATTCGACCACATAGACGTAAGCCTCAAGACCGGCGCAAATTTTCCACGGGCTTTTATAACCAAGACCTTAGAGACCTGCCGTTGAGTTGACGACCCATAAAAGAAAGAGACAGAGCATTTGTCCAAAACAGTGGACAGCCATAAGATAGAGAGCAGTTCTGCCCACCTTGTCCAGGTGAGGCCAGCTCCTTGCTGGGTGTGAGAGGTCGCCCTTTTTCTTTTTTTCCAAACAAGCGGCCAAAGGACGACTTAATGCCCTTCTTTTTAGCCTTGTGCAGGGAGTCCTGGCTGCTGTTGCTGGAGCTTGGGTTGCTGGCTCCGTCCTGTAAGCCAGACGACCTGCTCACAGCAAATCACGTTCCGGGCGCATGGCAAAGGGATAATTGAAACGTGATCTCAAACCCCACCCTACCACCACCACACGTCTGCCCCATTTATGCTCGTTAGTGGTTTAATGTTTCCCATTCAACATTCGTCTCCCAAGCATTGCAATCGTGTCAGTTGGCTAACGGGAAGACAGTCAAATGCAAACCCGAATGGCATCCTCACGATAAAAGGGAATCACGGTGGAATGTGAACGGTTGCCGGGTGCTTCCATGCGTTTTAATGAAGCAGAGGCAAGTACACTTGCGGAGAATATTGCCGACCGCTCCCGTGCTCTGTCACTCCCGCCCAGACACTGTTCGGACTATAAATCAGCAGGACAGTGCGATTTGCCTCGGTCAGCAAAACGCATAACCCTACGCCGAGCGGGCACCTTGCAGCTGACCAGCGCCTACATGCCCTCCTCGGCCTAAACAAACACCGCCACTGCAACGCAGCCGGCGCATTCGGAGGGGTTTCTAATGGCGCTGCCCTTTACCCTCGGATGTCCTCTTGGCTGGCCGAGTGCAGGGCTTGTGACACGCGGTCGAGGCGGCCAGACCGCGGCGTCTGCGGCGGAGACGTCTCGCACTTTATCGTGGCTTTGTCCTCCCGCGCTTCGTCCCGCGAGCCGGCCGGCTGGCGTGGTGGGGGAGGGATGCGGGGGGGGGGGGGGAGGAGATTGAAGGATGGACGGACAGAGGGACAGAGTATTAGATGCGAGGCTGTGACTATGAGCATCCTTCACATGCGTAAAATTATAGAAAACGATTTTGATACTGCTTTGGCGGTGAAGCGTAAACACAGATGATAAAAACGCAACATATTTGTCAATAACTTTGCCCTAACGAAAAAAACATATATGATAGGCAACTTGTCTGGAAATGGTCCCTCTTTATACAGAGAGCTAGAGGGCCCAAACATTTTGAGCGAATGATAGTTGGAGACTGCATTTCTGTCGACACCATGGGGCCCTGATAGAAATGTAAATTGAGGAATGTTTCATTTTGAAATATTCATCTAGAAATATTCTATTTGGTGTGGAGTGCATTATCCCAACTTTAAACATTACTTCTCTAAGCTGCACGTGGAACTATTACCTAACATCTTAACACAATTGACCTCATAATCTTAGAATGGAGCTATCTACAGGCAAATAATTTCAATTTGGAAACTGTCACTTGTCACCGGCACCTGGTGAATGTTAATGCACACATTCGCAAGGCTGCACAAAACCTAAACAAAATGTAAGCCAGTTGACATAAGCACTTTTATAAAGTTCTGGTAACAGCTGTCAATCATTTAGGGGATAATATGCGAACTGTGAATCACCACTGCCAACAAAAGAACGGGTTCCTCTTGCCTATATAAAGAGGCTTTATGTATCTCCATTCTATCCTATTATCCTTCTCTTTTTCATTCCACATAAACCCCTTGCATTAATATCACACAACGCTCACATTTATGACGGCCCAAACATGCAAATAATCATATTGTGCTCCACAGGGATAGAAATCGTACAGTTTTCTGATGAGTTGCAAAATCATATTTTGCATTTCATTGATTTTTTTCGGTCCATTCATTTTGAAGAAAAAATGTATATAACGCGAGTAGGAAATATAAGAAAAAATTAGGAAACACAAAAGGGATGAATTTGAGTAGAGGATACATTTTTTGTTAACCTATTCCAGCTTCATCCTCACCCCGTTGGGACGCGTCAGCCCAATATACAGCGACTCTGGCACTGGCCAGAGCAGCAGCAGCAGCAGCAGCCAGGTTCGAATGGAGCAGCGACACAACACGGGCAACCGTTTGAGCGCAGGGCGTGCTACCTTTTTCCCCGTGACACTTCGTTAAATCACTCGCTTGGCAGAGACAAGTGAGCGAACGGAAAAGGGGAGAACAGAAAACAATAAGCAATAAAACAGGCCAGTCGTGAAGGTACATTACTGAGCTGTCAGGCACTGCTGATGTAATGCAAGGCATCCGTGATCCCTGGGGACGGCTTAGAAATGAGTCACGAAGGGCCAGAGCGCTGGGCCACAGAGATAAGCTGGACATAGCAAGTCAAAGTGGGCATAGCCGCCGTTGTTAGTGGTGTGACTACCTGCATGCTGTTTTTATTTTCGTAATTAGTTTGATTTTTTTTTCTCTTTCCCTAGAATTAAAATAGATTCACATGCGTGGCCCCTCATACGCAATCCAAGTGAAACGATTCTATGCAACTGCTCGGGAGGCTGGAGCTAACGCAGTAAAATTTCAAACAGCAGCCTTTAGGGTATATGAAATATATTAATGATGGATTTGACATTACCGCCGCAAGTGAAAATACTTAAATAATCCGAAGAGAATTCTCGCGCTCTATGGAAAGGAGGATTGGTAAGTGAAAGTTTATATGGCAGTTTTAATCTGTCAAGTCCACAAAATATTTTATTTTTTAGCAACTTGGGAGTAGAAACATTTCAATGCTATCTGGAACATTTCACTTTTAGCTGGAAATATTAATTTAAAAAAAGATAATTTTTTTTCAGCTCTTGTAAAGGTAAATTTTTTAAAATAAAATGGCTAACTGTTGGAGTGGTGAAAACCCTATTTTGTTGGGCTCAAAGTTTGTTCGTATCATAGTTTAAATCGGTTTTCATTATTACTTTCCTTCAATTTTGTCTTCGTGCATTTTACTTTGAAGTTCTTTTTATCTTCGTATTTCTCAAAGTCATTTTGTTTTGCTGCAAAATACATTCATCATCAGCACAAGCGTACGGAATGCCGTAAAAATGTAACAATGTGATGAATCAACAGCGGTCGCATACAAATATTTTTTCACATTCTCTCCCCCGCAGTTATGGAAATATATCACTCAGACGCATTCACGTTTGACAGGGCACATGCCGTGTCGCCTATCTGCGAATAATTCGAAAATAATTTGTTTTGAGTTTGTTGAGAACACCTTCTGAAGGCACAGAGGTGATTTGAATTTTTACGAGCACCTTGAGACTGTGTCGACAACTGTACACCCTTTCAACGAAAGAAGCACCTCATTTTAATTGATAGCCAAAGTTATTGTGACGATTATTCCCCAACTCATTAAAAGATACTCAACTTTTAGTGACAAGAAAGGCTCTCGTAATATGTACATATATCTTGTTTAACAAATAAAAATGTTTGAAATTAGCAAATTTAATTCAAGTCATTACACTTACAAGCATTTAGATGCAGTTGAAAATACAAACATTTTAAATGCTAAACAAATACGCATTTCAGAATGAAAATTAACACATGCCGAAAGTATAATTGGCCTGAGGATGATTAACTTTCAATTACACATCACAGATTATTTAGAGGGAGTTTTTCATATTTGAATGGGGTCAAAACTGATATTAAAACCCTTCACAATACATTTGGCAAAATATTTAAGAGAAAAGGTATTTAGCAACTAATCAGAATTAAATCAATATTGTGGACAATTATTATAGCGAATTGTAACTAAATGGAATGGAATTGGAGCATCTGGTGGTAAAAGTTAAATAACGACACTCATTTGCCAATGAGGAATTTGTTGCAGAATAAATATATGAAATTAGAATTTAGTGTTTTTTTACATTTGTCTTCTTGAGAGGATGGGATGTCTACTCAATAATTAATGTGTGCCAACTAATTAGGTTTATAAAAAAAAGTAATATAACTTTTTGCACAAATCATTTACAAACCCCTACAAATGGCAGTTTCTAATTTGGGATTTACTGATATGGTATGCACACTTAAAATTCTCCATGATGAATGTGCTTTTTTCATTTCTTCATTGTAATGTCAATTAACTGTTAAACGTGACATAAGATGAACAAATGTGTTTGTTCAGGTGTTCTTAAGAAACTTGGGGTGATTGATGATACTTTTTTTTGCAATTTGTATCATTTACAATTTATTTGCAAACTGAACTGTGAGGCAGACACACAATGGCCTCTTTAAGGATAACGAACCCAACAGCCTCTTTAAGATGCACACGGCAGCAGATGTCCAGAATTGGTAATTATTCACAAACAGTGTGTGTCAACTATGGGAATGGAACATTCAGTTGTGATTATCACGCTGACCAATTAACAGAATTCAGGTGACTTCTCTTTCTGCATCTTTCCTTATTGCTTAACTTTGGAATTCCATCCCATGATCTCCTTTCCCAACTTCCTACAATCGTAATCAATGCAATTAGCAATGCATTAACGTATCTACGACATTCAATGTGACATTTCATGCTGGCTACTTTGCGTGTTGAACATTTGGGGTTGCACTGTACATAGCAACTGGGGGAAAAAAAAACTACTACTCATAACAAACATAATCTTCCTATATAGAAAATTAACAGTCATACAACCATCAACACGTGTCATATGACGTCAAACTATGTGTTGCATTGTTCGTGGAAGTAGTTGTAATAGCACATGTATGGTGCAAAAACCAAAACACGGCTTCGCTAAAACTGCACCTATTTATGAAGAAAAGCTCAAGTGAAGGGAATGTTAAACTCAATAAAGGCAAAAGCAAAAAAGCCACTATTAATATGAAGCTTACTCAAATGTAACTATTTTATTCATGCACGGTGGCTGCCCTCGGGGTTTAATCGCCGTTTTAATTGCCTCCTGACACGCGTGTGTGCATAATTCCGATAAATGTCATTGCAAACAAGGTAGCGGCGGCGGCAGCCACAGAAGCCAAGCAAGCTCAATGGTGTTACAATAAAAAACACGACGTTGCGTTCATCTCCCTGCCAGCCACGTCTGCGCAGTGTCAAGATCTGCAGGCAACGAGATTTTATGTGTGGGGCAAGTGAATAAGAAGGAAACTCGGGCGCCATAAAGCACTTGCTAAAGTTTCTTCACCGAATGAATGCCGAATCCCGATGCTCGAGGACTTATACAATGAGGGGGGGAGGGAGGAGACGTTTCAAGTTTTGTTGAACCAGGTAGGAAATCAAGAGACCAGAACAGTCTCATTTTCAAGAGCGACCTGGGGCATGTCTGCCAACAATGATTGCATGTACAATCTCCAGTTAATTAGTTTGCAAGTAATTTTCATACTCGCCAAACTTTGACCACGCCACTGGCACACAACGGTCTCCTCTTTGCAAATTAAGTCCAGGGATCTTTAACATCCACTGCGAAGCAGACGGCACACGTAGTATCATTATGGTTTTTACACAGTATTAATCAGGGCAGCCGCTAGACTCGAACTGTGAACCTCTGCAACGAGCGGTGATGCGGCAGCGCGCTCGCCGCTCGTTGCAGAGGTTCACAGTGAGAGCGGCGCGGCACCGGGATTGCATGCGCTGGCTGGGCCCTTTTTTTCCGGGGTCACAAAAGTGACTTGGATGTCTGAATGCGTGTCAAATTCCCACGCCTGATGTGCAATGCCAGACGAGCGTTCGGCAGATAAAGATGCGGTTCATCATAGCGGGCGTGTCACTTTCATTTGAACGTCAAGTCAAAATCAGAGAGACTCCCTCCTCAAGTGAGCAGTCTGGTGGCACTCGTCTCCAACAGCAGCGCTGAGTCAGCGGTGGAAATTCAACGTTACCATGGCAGGAGCCAGACCCGTCCGTTTAACACTCACTTTTTACGACGACATGTGTAAAGCGGTCCTAATTT